TTGGGTGCGACCGAAAGATCCAGCACAACTGGTCTACCACGAATGCAAGAGTTTACCACAGAACGAGGTACCGAGGGCACAACTCGAGGAGTTACCGAAACTCCTGCTTTCTCCACCGGAACAAAACAACAGTTTGAAACTTCCACCATGCAAATTGGAGAAACCACTCTTGGCGTGACGGAAAGACCAAGTAGCACTGGAATGCCACGAGTTCATCTTGGTAGCACAGAACGAGGAACTGAAGGAACAACGAGCGGTGTTACCGAGACTGAATTTTTCACCACTGGAACTCGGCAATACTTTGAAACTTCCACCTCAAAAATGGGAGAAACTACTTTGGGTGCGACCGAAAGATCCAGCACAACTGGTCTACCACGAATGCAAGAGTTTACCACAGAACGAGGTACCGAGGGCACAACTCGAGGAGTTACCGAAACTCCTGCTTTCTCCACCGGAACAAAACAACAGTTTGAAACTTCCACCATGCAAATTGGAGAAACCACTCTTGGCGTGACGGAAAGACCAAGTAGCACTGGAATGCCACGAGTTCATCTTGGTAGCACAGAACGAGGAACTGAAGGAACAACGAGCGGTGTTACCGAGACTGAATTTTTCACCACTGGAACTCGGCAATACTTTGAAACTTCCACCTCAAAAATGGGAGAAACTACTTTGGGTGCGACCGAAAGATCCAGCACAACTGGTCTACCACGAATGCAAGAGTTTACCACAGAACGAGTACCGAGGGCACAACTCGAGAGTTACCGAAACTCCTGCTTTCTCCACCGGAACAAAACAACAGTTTGAAACTTCCACCATGCAAATTGGAGAAACCACTCTTGGCGTGACGGAAAGACCAAGTAGCACTGGAATGCCACGAGTTCATCTTGGTAGCACAGAACGAGGAACTGAAGGAACAACGAGCGGTGTTACCGAGACTGAATTTTTCACCACTGGAACTCGGCAATACTTTGAAACTTCCACCTCAAAAATGGGAGAAACTACTTTGGGTGCGACCGAAAGATCCAGCACAACTGGTCTACCACGAATGCAAGAGTTTACCACAGAACGAGGTACCGAGGGCACAACTCGAGGAGTTACCGAAACTCCTGCTTTCTCCACCGGAACAAAACAACAGTTTGAAACTTCCACCATGCAAATTGGAGAAACCACTCTTGGCGTGACGGAAAGACCAAGTAGCACTGGAATGCCACGAGTTCATCTTGGTAGCACAGAACGAGGAACTGAAGGAACAACGAGCGGTGTTACCGAGACTGAATTTTTCACCACTGGAACTCGGCAATACTTTGAAACTTCCACCTCAAAAATGGGAGAAACTACTTTGGGTGCGACCGAAAGATCCAGCACAACTGGTCTACCACGAATGCAAGAGTTTACCACAGAACGAGGTACCGAGGGCACAACTCGAGGAGTTACCGAAACTCCTGCTTTCTCCACCGGAACAAAACAACAGTTTGAAACTTCCACCATGCAAATTGGAGAAACCACTCTTGGCGTGACGGAAAGACCAAGTAGCACTGGAATGCCACGAGTTCATCTTGGTAGCACAGAACGAGGAACTGAAGGAACAACGAGCGGTGTTACCGAGACTGAATTTTTCACCACTGGAACTCGGCAATACTTTGAAACTTCCACCTCAAAAATGGGAGAAACTACTTTGGGTGCGACCGAAAGATCCAGCACAACTGGTCTACCACGAATGCAAGAGTTTACCACAGAACGAGGTACCGAGGGCACAACTCGAGGAGTTACCGAAACTCCTGCTTTCTCCACCGGAACAAAACAACAGTTTGAAACTTCCACCATGCAAATTGGAGAAACCACTCTTGGCGTGACGGAAAGACCAAGTAGCACTGGAATGCCACGAGTTCATCTTGGTAGCACAGAACGAGGAACTGAAGGAACAACGAGCGGTGTTACCGAGACTGAATTTTTCACCACTGGAACTCGGCAATACTTTGAAACTTCCACCTCAAAAATGGGAGAAACTACTTTGGGTGCGACCGAAAGATCCAGCACAACTGGTCTACCACGAATGCAAGAGTTTACCACAGAACGAGGTACCGAGGGCACAACTCGAGGAGTTACCGAAACTCCTGCTTTCTCCACCGGAACAAAACAACAGTTTGAAACTTCCACCATGCAAATTGGAGAAACCACTCTTGGCGTGACGGAAAGACCAAGTAGCACTGGAATGCCACGAGTTCATCTTGGTAGCACAGAACGAGGAACTGAAGGAACAACGAGCGGTGTTACCGAGACTGAATTTTTCACCACTGGAACTCGGCAATACTTTGAAACTTCCACCTCAAAAATGGGAGAAACTACTTTGGGTGCGACCGAAAGATCCAGCACAACTGGTCTACCACGAATGCAAGAGTTTACCACAGAACGAGGTACCGAGGGCACAACTCGAGGAGTTACCGAAACTCCTGCTTTCTCCACCGGAACAAAACAACAGTTTGAAACTTCCACCATGCAAATTGGAGAAACCACTCTTGGCGTGACGGAAAGACCAAGTAGCACTGGAATGCCACGAGTTCATCTTGGTAGCACAGAACGAGGAACTGAAGGAACAACGAGCGGTGTTACCGAGACTGAATTTTTCACCACTGGAACTCGGCAATACTTTGAAACTTCCACCTCAAAAATGGGAGAAACTACTTTGGGTGCGACCGAAAGATCCAGCACAACTGGTCTACCACGAATGCAAGAGTTTACCACAGAACGAGGTACCGAGGGCACAACTCGAGGAGTTACCGAAACTCCTGCTTTCTCCACCGGAACAAAACAACAGTTTGAAACTTCCACCATGCAAATTGGAGAAACCACTCTTGGCGTGACGGAAAGACCAAGTAGCACTGGAATGCCACGAGTTCATCTTGGTAGCACAGAACGAGGAACTGAAGGAACAACGAGCGGTGTTACCGAGACTGAATTTTTCACCACTGGAACTCGGCAATACTTTGAAACTTCCACCTCAAAAATGGGAGAAACTACTTTGGGTGCGACCGAAAGATCCAGCACAACTGGTCTACCACGAATGCAAGAGTTTACCACAGAACGAGGTACCGAGGGCACAACTCGAGGAGTTACCGAAACTCCTGCTTTCTCCACCGGAACAAAACAACAGTTTGAAACTTCCACCATGCAAATTGGAGAAACCACTCTTGGCGTGACGGAAAGACCAAGTAGCACTGGAATGCCACGAGTTCATCTTGGTAGCACAGAACGAGGAACTGAAGGAACAACGAGCGGTGTTACCGAGACTGAATTTTTCACCACTGGAACTCGGCAATACTTTGAAACTTCCACCTCAAAAATGGGAGAAACTACTTTGGGTGCGACCGAAAGATCCAGCACAACTGGTCTACCACGAATGCAAGAGTTTACCACAGAACGAGGTACCGAGGGCACAACTCGAGGAGTTACCGAAACTCCTGCTTTCTCCACCGGAACAAAACAACAGTTTGAAACTTCCACCATGCAAATTGGAGAAACCACTCTTGGCGTGACGGAAAGACCAAGTAGCACTGGTATGCCACGCGTTCATCTTGGTAGCACAGAACGAGGAACTGAAGGAACAACGAGCGGCGTTACCGAGACTGAATCGTTTACCACCGGAACTCGGCAATACTTTGAAACTTCCACGTCAAAAATAGGAGAAACTCCTCTTGGTGGCATGGATGCTAGAAATTTTGCATCCATGGTGCGTTTCACAACGAAGTATACGGAAGGAAGTACAGTTAGTAGCACTTTAGTGGAGGGCTCAACGTCTAGGGCAACGCACATGAAATTTCCATTTAGGAATGATACTACAGAATTTCAAGTGGTTGATGATGTAACGGAAGATATTGGAATAGAAACTGAATTTGCTGGAACTACAACTGAATCAACCAAATTTGACGAATTTTCGTCAAGAGAGCGTACTTCAAAAGCAGGGCCATTTTTTGGAATTACCGAACACGATGTTACCGAAGAGACAATCTCACATTTAGATATGTCGACTACAGTACCAACCATCGAAATAGTTTTAGGAATGAATCTATCCCACTCAATTCCCCCTCATCTTGATATTTTGACACCTTCTGACAATACGACTGATCTCAGGGTAATTATACGTGATAGACTACGACTGTTTAGCAACAACGTTTGCGATACAGATAACGACTGCATGTCATCTAAGGCTTGCCTCTTAAGTTTTTGCGTTAATGTTTGTAAAGTTTTTAAATCTTGTAAAGAATGTTTTATTAACAATCATAAACCTCGTTGCTCCTGCTCTACTGGAATTAAGCCACAAGACTCCTGTGATTATGAAAGCCTGGCAGGTAAAGTTGAGAAAAGCCAACTATGAAATATTGGCGTTACTCACACAATAGCTTCGTTCAAAATTTGGAGAGCATGAACCTAAACCAAGCATCGTTAAAGATGAAATTTTGCACGTGTTCGCTTGCAAATCTGCTATAGTAGTACATAATTTATGATGTTGTACGTGTGATTATTATATATGTAGAATATTCTACTTCTCGTATACGTGTTCGAATGAAATACGGCTGGGTTTTCATTGTGAATTCTGTCTGATTAGTTTTAGTGGACGAATGATGAAAAATGCTAAAAATAGGCAACAATTGAATATTATAATGATTCAACCTATTATAATTACATAATTGGTTTGATGCTGAGAAATTAATTATTGGTGAACGGTGTGCTAAACATAAACGATATTGAAAACATGATAATAATGTCCGATTTTATTGCATGATAATACCATTAATTTTAATTACAATTGCCTGAATGAATTTAGCATGTCTAACTAAATACAAATATTATTAAGCCGAATTGTTCAATTTGTCTGTTTGAGCAAGTAGGCTATAACTAACGGGATTTTACTGAATGATTATTATGAATCAACTAATAGCATGTTTGCATATTAATTCTGCCGAGTATTTTTTGCTAATTTATTAAATTCCAATTTACAGAAGAATGCAGGCAAGACAGTGACTGCCCCTCCCACTTGAATTGTTTCAACAACAAGTGCGGCGACTTATGTCAGATCAACAATCGCTGCAATCCTTTAACTGAAAAGTGTGAAGTCCGAAATCATATCCTTACCTGCATTGGTGACACCAGTATGGCCAGCAATTTTATTCTGCTTATATATTTTTTTACATACATGAAAAGGCCATCGTGGTATTCCTATTTCTATATATCATTACTAAACTCATTATATAAACAGGTCCAAGATGTCCGGGTGGAGCAGTGTGGGATCCCATAAACCGTAATTGCGGACCAGGTATGAGACGTCGCCAGGAAAATTTGTGTCCTTTGCTCTTAATACGCTTTAGTAGATTATAAGTGATGTGTGAATGTGAGTGTGCAATGGTTATAACTTTGGCAAATTCTAAAACTAAAAATAACAATGCGAAAAACATCGGATTTCTTGCAACCACATTGGACATCGCACATGGGTCTCTCACACCGTAAACTCACCCTGTAACCAATCCCCACATTTTGGGTGTTGGGTGATTCTGATTGCCGACCACATCGCCAAGGTCATCACATAAACTAACCAACTCAACAACTACAAACAGGTTATCGTTTCCAGGCTACACAATTAATGAACACATTAACTAAACAATGTCCAAGTTTTTGCATTCCAGCACAAATACTACCACTACTAGAGTCAGAGATCTATGATGCAACATCATAAAACCCTAAAACACCTCCATCTTCTCCGCTTGGTCAAAACATACACAAAATAATATAACCCCTAAAAACCACATACTCCTCCCACTACCAAAATACCAAATTTCAACGCATCTTCAAGGATGGGGTACATCACTGAGAAAACTTTACACACATCCGAATAACTCCACAAATGCAAGATCATGGATACACATCCTCTTAACTAACCTTGCTTGGAATTTTCAACTAACGAGATAGAGAGAGTAAGTGAACAAAATGTGCTTAACTGATATCCCCTTCCACCTACGTTTATTAAGTTATTACAGTATTTCATATATGGTGAAGGGTTTCTGGCAATATTTTTACTCATTGTATCAAAACGGTTTTTCAAAGGACTTAGTTTGAAGACGAGAATTCCAAATTAATAGAATTATGTGTATAAAATAGGCTACTGCACCAACAATGAAGAATGCTCGTGGGATGAGGCTTGTCATGGGGGCCAGTGTTTGAAACCCTGTTCGGGGTATTCCTGTGGGTCAAATACAGTGTGCAGAAATGTCAATCATAAAGCAGTTTGCTCTTGCAAGGAGGGTTTTACAGGTTGGTAAATTCATTTGAACAACCAACAATGGCCTTCACAACTAATTTTATTTGCAGGAGAACCCACTAGAAATTGTGCTCCTATCATCGCATCCAACTTGAAAGAATGCCAATACAACGGTGAGCATATATCCAGCAAAGATCATTAACATGCATATGCGGTTGTTTGAAGGCACGAATTGAATTAAATATTAAAATGCATGTTTAGATGATTGTCCAACGAACAAGATCTGCGATAGGACGAATGGTGTTTGCAGATCGCCTTGTATGCAAGATACTTGCGCAAGTAAGATAAGCAACCTTAAGCCGACCAATATGACGTTATTTTTCATTAAATTGCTTTGATTTTTGAAGAGAATGCCGTGTGTACTGTTCAAAAAAGAGTTGCAACGTGCAGATGTTTCGCTGGATACACTGGAAATGCGTATCAGTCCTGCAACCGACGTAATACATAAATTTAGAAATGTTATTAGTATTTTGGAATATGTGTGGTAAAAGTTTCTTTTAATTTTAGCTCCGTCTGGATGTAGAAATTCAGGTAAGATCATGATGATAAATAGCAGTATTTATTAAACACTAATTTTTGTGTCTTGACCGTAACGAATTTCTGATTTTAGATGAGTGTCCAAGTCACTTGGCTTGTATTCAACGCAAATGTCAAAGTCCTTGTAAATGCGGAGAGGTAATGTTTTCAACAAGTTTTTTTCTAAGTTACAGCCTACTTAAACTTATTTTTTTTACATTCAGAATGCAAACTGTGAAGTAGTTAACCATCAAGGTAATTGTTTTATTATTTTTATCATAAATTCAGACATTCTAACCAACTTCACAACTTTTACAGGAGTTTGTGTCTGTCCAAGAGGATACACTGGAGATGGTCGTAATGGATGCACAGGTAGCTAAATGTCATAAATACTTATATTTAAGATATATTTGATGAATTCCAGCTTTTAACCATTAATCATTAAATTTACAGAAGGAAAAATTACAGTGGACGCTTGCCATCCTTCACCATGTGGCAAAGGTGCGTTATGCGAATCGTCGTATCAAGGAGCAATTTGCAAATGCCCAAAAGGAACGACCGGAAATCCTTTCGAACGATGTGGTAATTATTTAATTTCAAATGTAGTTGCAGTTATTGAAATGCATAGTGCTTTGCATAACTTTTTCGTATCCTGTTACATCCAGTTACAAACAACGGTGAATGCCAACGAACTTCATGTGGTCCTGTAAGATATCTTAATCAAATGAATAATTAAACGTTTCGCTTCGATGGATAATAATTCCATGATTTTTATGCTCAGAACGCACAATGTGTCGTTTCCAATGGAAAGGAACTGTGTTACTGCTTGACAAATTATGTTGGAAGTAAGTAACTGGCGACATTTTATTTTTTTCGAATTTTGCTACAATTTTCCCTTAACATTGTTCCAGATCCTCCATCAGTTCCATGCAAAAGACCAGAAATGTCTTGCTCACAATCCAACTGTGGTCCAAATACACAGTGTATCATTAGCGGCAATGCATTCCGATGTGTTTGCGTCGACGGTTACATAGAAAGCCCAAATACTTTCCATGGGTGTATTAAATCTGTGAATCCATGTAATCCTTCCCCTTGCGCTGCGAATGTAAGAATAGTAAATTTTTAGTCATTTTCAGGTTATTTTTTAACGTCAATTATTTTCTGTTGGGTCAGGCTGTTTGTGACACGACTAGGGCAGTTCCATGTGAGAATTTTATTTAAATATGTAGAATATTTTCACAATCACGACGATTAAAAATAAATGTGACATGCATTAATTAATTCGTCTTTTAGGCTACTGTCCAAGTGGTACAGTTGGAAATCCTTACGTCAACTGTTCCGTCTCTGGCGTTTTGCTATGTCGACCTGGTCCCTGTGGAGAAAGTAATTAATTCAGAATCTTATTTAAAAAATTGACATTTTTTTACATGTGTTCATTAATTCATTTTATAGACGCTGACTGTTACGTTACAAATGGAAACGAAGTTTGTAAATGTAAAGGTGGATTCAAAGGAAATGCTTATGATTCATGTCTGCGAGATATCAACCCGTGTTTTCCATGTAATTTGATTACCTGAGTGATTGTGATTGTATTTGTATTGTCTATGTATTTTTATGATAATTTAATGACCATGTTTATTTTAACATTTAGCACCTTGTGGTCCCAACGCAGGTAATCTATCAATCAATAGTTCATACTAGTTGTGTGCAAGTTATATGTGTTAAAAAAATCACAATTTATTAATTATGTACAGAGTGTAAGGTGCAGGGAGATTCCGCAGGTAAGCATATACTTTGTTTGTTGCATAAATATTACTATTATTGTTCTTTCTCGTACTTATTTATTTATTCTGAAAAATTTCAGTCTGCATGTGCAGAAATGGCTACAAGGGTCATCCAATTGGAATTCGTGGATGTCAACCAGAGTGTACCAAGAACGGTCAGTAACCACAAATTTAAATTATATATCACGAAATATCATGATTTATATTTGTTACCAAATATACGGATGTTCTACTCGTTTTACAGAGGAATGCCCATGGACCCAAGCCTGTATTAATTTCCAGTGCGTTGGTAAGTGTTGCATATTTTTCGATGTATCATAATCGAAAAATAGCGAAATAATTAATTTAATAACTTATCCATAATTTCTAATTATCCGGCAGATCCGTGCGTTGGAAGTTGTGGGGTATATTTGATTTATGAGTTTTGAATTATATTATTTTCTACATTATTTTACAACTGGGAATTTCATATTTATTAATTTACAAAAGATTGGATCCGAATGTCGTCCAGAAAATCATCGCCCAGTTTGTTACTGTCCTTACGGTAAGCGATTATTTCTGTACCCTCTACATACATATATTGACTTAAAGCAAAGATATTCTACATTTTATTATCTGCATATAATAGGCTATGTTGGAGATCCATACATTCGATGCACAGGTCGTAAGTGACAATTTTTATTATAATATAAAATATGCTGACAAATAGCAAACTTTTGTATCTGACTTTTGTATCTGTACTTTTTTTTGTTAAATTATTTTAGAAATCATTACACCAAGACCAAATGTACCAACCAAGCAAGACCCTTGTAGCCCATCACCTTGTAAGTACACGCACTATAGTTATTTATGCATACAACTTACCTACGTGCTGTGAGCTAATGTCAAAATTTTTGTTTATATTAGGTGGAGCCAGTAAGTTTAGTTAAACAACTATAATTATTCCCAATGCTAAATGTTGTATGATTTAGATACCAACTGCAAAGTTTCGAATGGTCGTCCGGTTTGCACCTGTATTAAATCGTATTTCGGAGATCCAATCAAAGGATGTCATCCTGAATGCATTGTAAGTCTTAAATTATAACTGGTCCTATTTTTATTTGAATGATTACCGAAAAAATTGTGTAGGTCAACACTGAGTGCGCTCAAAATATGCTGTGCAGAGCCAACAAATGCGTCAGTAAGTGTTCTCATACGTGTATTTTCTTCACTCTAAAATAAACTATCAAATGGACTAAATGGATAAATTTGTTTCTCAGATCCATGTCCAGATGCTTGTGGGGCTAACGCTCAGTGCAGCGTGGTTTACCATTCTGTCCGATGCACGTGCCTTTATGGTTACTCAGGAAGCGGTTACAACAACGAATGTGAAAAAATCAGTATGTCCTTTCAATTTTTATGTCATGAGTTTAAATTATTAAAGTAAATTACAAATTTGCTATAAAAATCGTTTTGCTAGATGTTCCTTCTAAAGAGTATCTCCCCGCTCGTAATCCGTGCTACCCTTCGCCATGTAAGAGAACATACTAATTTCATATTATGAACATCACTAATTTCATATTATAGACTGAAGAATAAATCATAAAATCTTATTGTTTAAACTTTAGGTGGCCCACATAGTAGATGCACTGAAAGTAATGGACAAGCAGGTTCGTAATTGACTGGAATACGTTTGTAAATTTGATAATGATCACCATTTATTTTATTCTGGAATTCAGTGTGCTCTTGCTTGGAAAATTATTTTGGATCAACTCCCTATTGCCGACCAGAGTGCATGGTTCGTCACCAATTTTTAATATGCCATGTTCTGGGAAGATGTACATATATGTAATTAAAATGATTTTTCATTATTTACAGGAACATGCGGAGTGCTCGTCAGATAAGGCCTGTGCAAATTTTAGATGCATTGATCCATGCCCAGGGGCATGCGGAGTAAGTGTTATTTCAAATGTTGAATCGAGTCTGACAGGAAATTAGAAACTATGTAAATGTTAATTGACCAATTTCAGGCGAATGCAGAATGTAAAGTCATTCAGCATCGACCAATTTGCTATTGTGCCAATAATCGCGTTGGCGATCCGTTCGTAATGTGTAGAAATCGACCACCTCCCAAACCCACGCCAATAAATCCGTGCCACCCATCGCCATGTAAGTTTCGCTGAATTTGCTCATTTTAAGTTTAGTACAAGTGGTTCAATGATATTTATGCTATAATTTCTCTTTGATTTCAGGTGGCAGCAGTAAGTCGAAACTCGTAATGATTTTGTATATAGCACGGATGCATGATTTTTATGAAAAAAATTTTCAGATACTATCTGCGAGGTCAAAGGCGACACTGCAGTTTGTAAATGTAAAGAAAATTATTTCGGGAATTCACGGCTAGGTTGCCATCCCGAATGTGTCCTTAACGGTATTAATAATTATTATTTGAAATATTTTGTGCTTTTATTAATTTTCTCTCCTTTCAATAGACGACTGTCCTTCCAATAGAGCTTGTGTAAATTATCGTTGCGTGGGTAAGTTACAATCAAAAGTATACTCAATGAATCAGAATTTAAAATTAAATTTCCTTTTTTTATGTTCATAAATAGATCCTTGTCCAGGAACATGTGGAATTAATGTAATTGGAGCATGCTTGTTTTGACGTTTTGCTGTTGACTTTGCATCACATAAGAAAATTATGACAATTAAAATCTTGTGGGTTAAATTAAAATGCTTCTTATATTCTTAGGCTGATTGCATAATCAGGCATCATCAACCAATTTGCTCATGCAAACACGGATTCACTGGTAATTAGATTTTGAAGCAAAGCCTAAGCAAATTAGTGTTAAAGATTTTTTTAAATTCACTTATGTTTTTTTAGGAAATCCTTTCTCTGTTTGCAAGAAAGAAGGTAGCAATAAAATTTTATAGTGATGTACATATGTACATTACGTGTAATTGTTGATATATGTTAATAACAATGTACATATATTTTAGAACCACTTCCACCTGTCCCAGTGCGTGTTGACCCATGCTCACCAGGTCCATGTATGTCATTTCACCATCCAATTTTTGAAGTTACGATATTGAATGAAAGATAAGGGAAGGTGTAAATCAAACCTCTCAATTATTTGTAAAAGGTGGACCTTATAGTCAATGTCGAAGCATTTACGAACGGGCAGTTTGTACTTGCTTACCAAATCATGTGGGAAATCCACCCTATTGTCGTCCAGAATGTCTAGTCGGTATGAATTTCATGTACCAAATTTTACAACAGGCTACATTGCATAGTTGTCGAACAAGTGGAATCTAATTCGTACGGTGACTGATTTGCAGATTCTGATTGTGTTCTTACCAGAGCTTGTCGGCAGAATCGCTGCACAGGTATGAAGACATTTACGGAGAAAAATGTGTTAACCATCAGAAATATGAACTATAACGTTATTGTTCCCTCATTTCAGATCCTTGTCCCGGAAGTTGTGGTGTTGTGAGTGATGCTTTCATAGTCGTATTTAACAGACAATGCACTAACATTCATCTTTTTCAGAATGCCGAATGTAAAGTGCGATCTCATTCTGCGGTCTGTATTTGTCCAAATGGATATGGTGGAAATCCGCTACTTCAATGTTCCAAACTTGAATGTAACTTTCTTAATTATTCATTCTTGTCGAAAGCTTATTATTAAAAAATTTCCTTAAACTTACAATTAGTACGATCATATTATAATTATATTGTGATACCAATTTAACATATCATCTCATCTATGCAGATCTTCCCCCACCAACTGCAGCACCCAGACCAAGAGATCCATGCGTTCCATACCCGTGTGGTCCCAATTCTCGTAAAATAACCATAAACATATTTATCATTTTTATTTTTATTACATATACTAATTCACCTTCCATTTTACACAGAATGTCACAATGGCGTTTGCTCCTGTCAATCGGGATTCTTTGGTTCTCCTCCATACTGCAAACCAGAGTGCGTCCTCAGCGATGAATGCCCTCAAGATAAGGCATGCATAAAAAATCGTTGTTCAAACCCATGCATTCCATCTCCGTGTGGTATTTCGGCCTTCTGCGAAGTAATTGCTCATGTTCCGACTTGCCGATGCGAAAGAAATTTTATCGGCGACCCTTTGAGCCAATGCAATCGTATTCAACCGCAAGTGGTCAAAGACGTTTGTGTGCCAAGCCCGTGCGGATCTAACGCCGAGTGTAGAGTTCGTAATCATGGAGATTACCCTGTGGCCGTCTGCCAGTGCATCCCACCTCACGAGGGCGACCCGTATGTTGCTTGTCGAAGCGAATGTGTCAGAAATGCGGATTGTCCACTGAATAAGGCTTGTCAAAACTATCGATGTGCCGATCCTTGTGCAGGAACGTGTGGTATCCTCGCAATTTGCACTGTGCATAATCACTCTCCAGTGTGTTCTTGTAAGTACTTTGATTATTCAATATAATTTACGGGGAATCTAAATTGTTTTATAAATTTATTCCTTTTATCAAATGCATAGGCCCAGAGCGTCACGAGGGTAATCCGTTTGACAGATGTTCACTGATAAACGAAAACCGATGTAAGAAGACTCGATTTCTTTGAAATTATTACACAGCAATTTCATTAAGTTATTCTTGTTAAACTGTTTTTCCATTGTTTTTAGACCTTCCACCCAAACCGTCCGACCCATGCAGACCATCGCCATGTAGGAAAACTAAGTCTAAATCTTTTATGGAAAACGAGTTAATGTTTACTAATTTTCCTTTATATTATTATAACAGGTGGACCGTACAGCCAGTGTCGAGTACAAAATAACCAAGCAACTTGTAAGTTTTGCATATTATATAATAGCAGTGAATAATAACGTGCATGCATCGACGGGCGAATTAACTAAACAATATTGTGTACTTATTTCCAGGTTCATGTCTCGAACAGTACATTGGAACTCCACCTTATTGCCGGCCCGAATGTGTGTCAAGTTTTGAATGCTCTTCCGACAAGGCCTGCACGAATATGCGATGCGTGAATTCATGCCTCAACAACCCTTGCGCACCATCAGCAATATGCGACGTTCGGAACCACTCCCCTCTCTGTCGCTGTCCAGCCGGATATGTGGGAAATGCTTTCATTCATTGTGACGTTGAACCACCACCCATTAAAGTCGATCAGCCCATAGCACATCGCGACCCCTGTTATCCATCTCCGTGCGGTCCATTTTCCGAGTGTCGCACAGTCGGCGAGTCTTACGTGTGCTCCTGTCTCCCAGGTTATCAGTTTTCAAGCCCACCAAACTGTCGACCAGAGTGTACGATTTCTGAGGAATGTTCCAATGAGAAAGCGTGCATTCGTAACACCTGTTCAGGTAAGAAGAAGTTTTTTTATTAGAATTTGTATTTAATTTGTGCTGCATTTGAATTTATTATGAATACCATCTTATAATAATTGACAACAAGTTAAAAATACATTTTTTACAGATCCATGTCTCGGCGCTTGTGGTTGGAACCATGTCCAATGCAAGGTCTTTAATCACGTGCCAAGCTGCTTCTGCGAACCAGGCTTTGAGGGCAATCCATTTTCTGGATGTACAAGGATAGTTTTCATCGAGCAAGACCCATGCAACCCGTCTCCCTGTGGACATAATGCAATTTGCGAAAATATTAATGGTCGACCTACCTGTCGCTGCATCGACCTTCATCAAGGCGATCCTTATATCGCATGTCGTCCAGAATGTGTCATAAATGCGGACTGCCCACTTACCAAGGCTTGTGCGCAACAACGCTGTTTCAACCCTTGTCTATCCCCCGGGGCCTGTGGAGAAGGGGCGGAGTGTTCCGTATTTAACCATGCCGTCTTTTGCACCTGTCCAGCCGGCTACACAGGTCAACCACTCTCATCTTGTCATCCTATTCCCCCACCTCGAATTGAACCACAACCCATCCTGGATCCTTGCATCCCATCCCCTTGTGGACCTTACAGTCAATGCAAGAGCATTTACGAGCAAGCAATTTGTTCTTGCAATCCAGGAAATATTATTGGAACGCCACCAAACTGTCGACCAGAGTGCATCGTTTCATCTGATTGTCCGCTTGATAAGGCATGTTTGCAACAGCGGTGTTCTGATCCTTGTCTGGATGGACCCTGTGCCCCCAACGCTATCTGCCGAGTTGTCAACCACAGCCCAATTTGTAGCTGTCCAGCAGATTATATCGGTGATCCATTCTCTGGGTGTCAACCGAAACCAATAATTCCAGAGGCACGCATCGACCCTTGCAACCCATCACCGTGTGGTCCGTTCAGTCAATGTACAGCAGTTGGCGATAGAGCAGCTTGTAGCTGTTTGTTGGGTTATGTCGGCTCTCCACCTCAGTGCCGCCCCGAATGTACAATTGATGCTGAGTGTCCTCAAGACTTGGCATGTCTTCGCCAACATTGTACTGACCCTTGCCCAGATTCCTGCGGTTTTAATGCATTCTGTAAAACCATCTTGCACCAACCCAAATGCTACTGTGAGGATGGACACACTGGGGATCCGTACTCCTCTTGCGTGTTGATTCGACCAATTGAACCTGCCCCACCACTGGACCCCTGTAACCCATCCCCCTGTGGTAGCAATGCCATTTGCACAACCCGAGACGGAGCTGGTTCTTGTCAATGCTTGCCTGATCATAAAGGCGATCCATATAGCGGATGTCGGCCCGAATGTGTCCTAAATGCTGATTGTCCCTCTCACAAGGCTTGCGTGAAAAACCATTGCGTGGGTAAGAAGTTTTTTATTACGTTTATTGAGTTACTAATAGTTAATATCAACTTGGGCTCGGACTACGCCATAAGCGTTCCCAGGACGAGCTATACATACAAAAAGTAAATAACACACCACTTTAACAAATACATTTTTTTACAGATCCATGTCCAGGACTTTGTGGAATAAATGCGGTCTGTTCTACTCTTAATCATATCCCAACCTGCACTTGCGACTACGGACACACTGGTGATCCTTTCCGAAGTTGTCACAGAATTGAACCTAAACGAGAACCTGTCATTATCATCGACCCGTGCAACCCATCCCCATGTGGGCCCAACAGCCAGTGCAGGGAGTTTAACGGGCAAGCAGTTTGCTCCTGCCTCACAAATTTTGTCGGTTCTCCACCAAACTGTCGACCAGAGTGCGTCGTATCTTCAGAATGTCCACTTGACAAGGCTTGCATTCAACAGCACTGCTCCGGTATACATTTCTTCATTATTTCTGTTTCAATAATTTTTTTGAGATGTTTGTAGTAATGGTTTTTATCGTAAATTTCTAGATCCATGTCTGCAAGGACCATGTTCTGCTCAAGCAATTTGCAAAGTGGTCAACCACTCCCCGATTTGTACCTGTCCTCCCAACCATCTCGGAAATCCATTCATTAGCTGCACCTTCCGTGAAGAACCAAGAATTCCACAAGATCCTTGCTCACCATCGCCGTGTGGACCCAACAGCCAGTGCCGTGAGATCAATGGAGTCGCATCATGTGGCTGCTTACTGGGTTATGTTGGGGCTCCACCCAATTGTCGACCAGAATGTATCATTGATCAAGATTGCGCCTCGGATAGGAGTTGTCGGCAGATGAAGTGCACAGACCCATGTCAAGGTCTATGTGGTGTTAATGCACATTGCCGTACCGTAGCGCACAGTCCAAATTGCTATTGTAACAAGGGCTACATCGGTGATGCCTTTAACGGTTGCCACTTCCCACCAGCCCAAGAAGAGCCAAAGGTCAACATCATCCACATTGATCCCTGCAACCCCTCACCTTGTGGATCAAATGCTGTCTGCACGGCAAGAAATGGTGCTGGGTCCTGTAAGTGCATTGACTTGCATTTCGGAGATCCATACACCGGATGCAGGCCAGAGTGCGTGGTGAATGCAGATTGTCCACAAAATAAGGCATGCACTAGAAACAAATGCGTTGGTAATAAGAAGTTTTTATTACGTTTATTGAGTTACTAATAGTTAGTATCAACTTGGGCTCGGACTACACCATAAGCGCTCCCAGCACCAGCCACAAGCTATACATATAAAAAGTAAATAACACACCACTTTAACAAATACGTTTTTTACAGATCCATGCCCAGGAGTCTGCGGAACGAATGCGGAGTGTCATGTCTACAACCATTTGCCCAGTTGTGAATGTATTTCCGGATATCAAGGAAATCCATTCCATGGTTGTCATCTAATTCCAATAAGAATTGAACCCACTCAGCCACACGATCCCTGTCATCCCTCGCCATGTGGACCATTCAGTCAATGTCGAAATATCAATGGTTCACCGTTGTGTTCTTGCCTGGAAAACTATCTCGGGCCTCCACCATCTTGCCGACCAGAGTGTGTGATTTCTTCGGAATGTCCGCTCGATAAGGCGTGCGTGTCTCAACGTTGTTCTGATCCATGTCTACGAGAGCCTTGTGCACCACGAGCAGTCTGCAAAGTCCTAAATCATTCACCAATTTGCTCATGTCCACCAAATCATGTTGGAAATCCTTTCGTAAGCTGTGAATTGGAGCAAATCAAGAAAATTGAGACGGATCCATGTCATCCATCCCCCTGCGGTCCAAACTCGGAATGTCGAAACATCAATGGTTTTGCTGCTTGTTCTTGCCAACGAAGTTTTGTGGGATCTCCGCCCAACTGCAGACCAGAATGCAGTATTAATGAAGACTGTCCTTCGGATAAATCCTGCTCAAATTATCACTGCGTTGATCCTTGTCGAGGCGCTTGTGGCGTCAACGCGGAGTGTAGAGCTTTGAATCATCAAGCAGTTTGTACTTGTGCTGTTGGATATGACGGCGATGCATACAGCAGTTGCAGGCAGATACCAAAATACTTGCCACCCCCACCAGATCAGGTTCAAGATCCGTGCAATCCATCTCCTTGTGGGACAAATGCTCTTTGCTCTGCAAGAAACGGGGCAGGATCTTGTGTCTGCCAAGAATTGTATTTCGGTGACCCGTACGTCGGATGCAGACCAGAATGTGTTCAAAACAATGATTGCCCAACAACCAAGGCGTGCAGTCAAAATAAATGCATCGGTAAGAAAAACATCTATGCTTTCAAATTTACAAATAAATTGTTACTAATTAAAAAAATTAATATAATTTCCAGATCCATGTATCGGCCAGTGCGGTTACAATGCAGAATGCTACGTCAACAACCATGTCGCTACGTGCCATTGCATCAGTCGATTTACAGGCGATCCTTTCCGTGGCTGTACTGAAATCATTGAAATAAAACAACCAACCAACCCTTGCGTTCCAAACCCATGTGGACCATTTAGTCAGTGTCGAGACGTTCATGGAAGTGCAATCTGTTCATGTCAGTCTTCATATATCGGATCACCTCCCAATTGCAGACCAGAATGCGTTTCGAACAGCGATTGTCCCCTGGACAAGGCTTGTCAAAGAGAACGTTGTGAACCAGTTTGCGCCAACAATGGTCCTTGCGCCCCCACCGCTTTGTGTAAGGCACACGCTCATAGTGCAATTTGCACTTGTCCCCCAGACCATAATGGGAACCCATTCAGCGGATGTATGAGAATAATTCCGGACAGAATTATTGTCCCTGTCAATCCATGCGACCCCAATCCATGCGGACCATTTTCAAGTTGTAAAGAAATCAATGATGGCCCAGCTTGCAGTTGTCTAGAAAGCTATATAGGACGGCCACCCTTCTGTAAACCAGAATGTACCATTTCGCCCGATTGCCCTGCCGATAAAGCTTGCGTGAGACAACGTTGTGTCGAAGTTTGCGACGGTGTTTGTGGATACAATACGGATTGTCGAGCTGTAAATCATGAACCAATATGTACCTGTATCGTTGGATATATTGGCGACCCGTATCGCGGATGTTCACCCAAGCCACCCGAACCTCCACAAAGAATTGATGAGATTGTCGACCCCTGTAACCCTTCACCTTGTAAGCCAGTGACATGATAATTACTTATGACACTGTTTGTACATGTTATACTAATAATTCGTTCACTTTATTTATTCCAGGCGGAAGCAGTAAGTTGTTAATTGAATTTGTATATATCATCATTTCATGTTCACTAACTAAAACGCTGTTTTTTTAATAATTTAGATGCCATTTGTACAACAAGAAATGGAGCAGGTAATTTATACAGTTTAATTTAAACTGATCATTTTACAACAATCTAACACTTTTAAATATTTAGAGTGAATATTTTATCAAAAATTTCCTCTGTTTTTCTTCAAGGTTCATGCAAATGCATTGATCTGTACCTCGGCGACCCGTACAGTGGATGTCGACCTGAATGTGTTCAAAATGGTTCGTGCAGTATTATAAATATGAACGATAGCAGAAATAATGCAATCAATATTAAATTGCAAATGTAGATGACTGCCCTCAAAATAAGGCCTGCGTTCAGTTCAGATGCGTGGGTAAGAAGTTTTTTATTACGTTTATTGAGTTACTAATAGTTAATATCAACTTGGGCTCGGACTACGCCCAACACAAGCTATACATATAAAAAATAAATAACACACCACTTAACAAATACATTTTTTACAGATCCATGTCCAGGCACTTGTGGAATAAACGCGGAATGCCACGTTCGAAATCATGTTCCTTCATGTCAATGTTTCCCAGGTGTGTAATCTTATCAATTTTGGGTGCACTGTCTACTTCATATTTGTAACATTGATTTGTATTTATATATATTATGTTGTAGGATACACCGGTGACCCATTCCGTTCGTGTCATCAACGTAAGCTATTAACCCAGCCATATACTAACAGTAATTATATGTTTAAGAGTTTTAGTTACATAATATTCAACCAACATGTATAGCTCCCCCAGAAATTGTGAAGCAGGAACCACGAGATCCCTGCCAACCATGTAAGCTGACCAAATACTATTAATATTTAAATTAAGATTATTTACAGTTTTGCTAGAAAAGTTTAATAATTTAACCACGCCACCTTTGCCTCTTTTTAATAGCACCGTGTGGACCGTACAGTCAGTGTCGAGTTGTTGGAGAAAGTGCAAGTAAGCGTTGTTCATATAACGTTAAATAGTTGATATGCCCATTCTCACTTTATTATCACGATCAACAGTTTGTTCCTGCCTGCCTTCGTATATCGGATCTCCACCAAATTGCCGACCTGAATGTGTCTCCAGCTCGGAATGTGAGTTGACAAAGAGTTGCGTCAATCAACGTTGCGTCCCAGTTTGTCCAGGACCCTGTGCCCACAATGCCGTTTGTCGTGCTGTGAATCATGGTAATTCAAGCAACCTTGTCACTTGCATACTTACCTGCATATTTTACTGAATAATGATTTTTGCCAATGTAGTTGCCATCTGTGCATGCGACAGAGATTTTATTGGGGATCCATTCGTCGGCTGTCAACAAAAACCACCTGTTCGAGAGCATGTAGTCACGAATCCATGTGTACCATCGCCCTGTGGTCCGAACGCTGAATGCCGCAACATTAATGGAGTTGCTTCCTGCAGTTGTTTGCCATCGTTTTTGGGAGCGCCACCAAATTGCAGGCCGGAATGCGTGGTGAATGATGAGTGCCCAAGTGATCGGGCATGTGTTCAAAATCACTGCATCGACCCTTGTCTAGGTTCTTGTGGTTCGAACGCGTACTGTCGCACGGTTTCACATTCACGTAAGTTAAATAATTAATTTGCGTTACCTGTTATTGCAAAAAAAATTTCTTCGACTTAAAATTCATGGCAATTAACATTTTCGCATTTCTTACAATCAGCGAATTGCTACTGCTTGGACAACTTTGTGGGTGATCCATTCAACGGGTGTTATCAAAGACAAGAGGAGAGAGTGCCACAGCTTCCCACAGATCCTTGCAACCCCTCACCTTGCGGAAGCAATGCGGTCTGCACTGCCAGAAATGGAGCTGGAGCTTGCAAATGTATCGAACTCCATTTTGGAGACCCGTACACTGGATGTCGACCCGAATGTGTTCTCAACGATGATTGCCCTCAAAACAAGGCCTGCAGACAGAATCGCTGCATTGGTAATTAATATGCATTAACTTAAATAAATTCATGTTGTATTTTTTTAACATTATTGAATAGCATGCAATAACATTTTGTTATTTTAGATCCATGTCCCGGAGTTTGTGGTATCAACGCCGAGTGTGTCGTATACAATCATGTCCCCAATTGTGAATGTATCGTAGGACATCAAGGAAATGCATTTAGAGCTTGTATGAAAATTGTCGAGCCAATTCGTGTCATCGAACAACCACAAGACCCATGTCAGCCCAACCCCTGTGGACCCAATAGCGTCTGCAGAGTTCAAAATGGTTTGGCAGTTTGCTCATGTCTGCAAAACTTTATCGGAACGCCACCCTCTTGTAGGCCAGAATGCGTCACAAGCTCAGAATGTGATTTGACCAAGGCTTGCGTGCAACAACGTTGCGTCGCGGTTTGTCCAGGACCTTGCGCTTCTAACGCTGTCTGTCGTGCTGTTAATCATGCGCCAATTTGTTCATGCGGAGTGGACCTTATTGGTGATGGATTTTCAAGATGTCAACCAAAACCACCCGTCAGACTAGAAGAACCACAGGACCCATGCAACCCGTCGCCATGTGGCCCTAATTCCGAATGCAGGAACATCAACGGCGCTGCGGCCTGTTCTTGCGCCAGAGATTACTTTGGATCGCCACCAAATTGTAGACCAGAGTGCACCATCCCTCAAGAATGTCCGGGTGATCAGACATGTACTAGAAACAAGTGTGTCCCAGTTTGTCTAGGCGCTTGTGGATTTAATGCGGAGTGTCGTGGCATCAACCATTCTCCAAATTGCTACTGTCATCAAGGATACACCGGAAATGCTCTTCATGGATGTTACGAAATCGTTCCAGAAATCAAACAAGAACCACAAAATCCATGCATACCCAGTCCCTGTGGAATCAATGCTCGTTGTGAAAATAGAAATGAAGCAGCAGCCTGCGTTTGTAACCCGGAAACTTTTGGTGATCCTTATGTCGAATGTCGCCCAGAATGCGTGATCTCTGCAGATTGCCCCTACAACAAGGCATGCAGTCAACAACAAAAGTGCTACGATCCTTGCCCAGGTGCTTGTGGGTACAATGCTCAGTGTGACGTCGTGAACCACTCCCCGATTTGCTCATGTTTACCTGGCTACACTGGCGAACCACTGAGTGGATGTCGAAACATTCCACCACCACCACCGCCTACGAAAATCGAGGTCAAGAGAGACCCCTGCAACCCATCCCCTTGTGGACCCTACAGTCAGTGCCGAACTGTGGGAGATAGCGCGATTTGTAGTTGTCTCCCCAATTACGTGGGATCGCCACCATCCTGTCGACCTGAATGTGTTACCAGCTCAGAGTGTGAATTGACAAAGGCATGCATTAATCAGAAATGTGCCGGTGAGTAAATTCAGTTTTACTATTTCTTATTTTTACATCGATTTTTTAAGCGTTCGTTAATGTTGTTCCCGTGTTGTTTTGGTCAGATCCTTGCCCAGGACCATGTGCCCCAACTGCCAATTGCAAAGTGATTAACCACTCCCCCATTTGCTCATGTCCTCCAAATTACGAAGGAGATGCTTTCTACGGTTGTCACGAGATTAGAAAAGCTCCAGAACCCGAACCCAGGGATCCATGCAACCCCTCACCATGCGGTCTCAATGCGGATTGCCGAGATAATAACGGGGTCCCATCTTGCACTTGTCGCCAAGGATTTATCGGAAATCCTCCAAATTGTAGATATGAATGTTCCATTGATCAAGACTGCAGACAAGACCAAGCTTGTATTCGGACTAAATGTCGATCACCTTGTGATGGTGTTTGTGGCGTAAATGCTGAATGTCGAGTTATTAATCACGGTCAGTTGCTAAAATAATAGCTTTAAAATTAATGACGATATCCAATTTTATGCTGCATTTAACCAACTTTTTTTCTTAATCTCATAGCCTCAAGATGCCACTGTATTCCCGGATATGAAGGAAATCCGTTCTTTGAATGTAAATTGATTCAAGTTAAACAAATTGAACCCGAGAGAGATCCTTGCAACCCTTCACCTTGTGGAAGTAATGCAAGGTGCACGACGAGAAATGGTGCAGGTAAGCTTACAGTTTAACTTATCAAACAACAAAATAATGCGGAGTTTTAGTTGCTGTGTATTATATTTTTTTAATCTGTCAATTTTAGGTTCATGCCAGTGTATCGAAGAATATTTTGGAGACCCTTACGTCGGATGCCAGCCAGAATGCACAATTAACAATGATTGTGATCGGTCCAAGGCATGCAAGGACTACCACTGTCGAGGTAAATAATATAAGATTACAGTATAAATAAATGTCGATTTTATTCATGCTCTGTGTAATAATCTTCAGATCCATGTCCCGGAGTGTGTGGAACCAATGCAATTTGTAGCGTTGTAAACCACTCCCCCATCTGCCAATGTCCACCAGGATATACGGGATCTCCTTTCTCAGCTTGTCACGAAATAATACCCGAACGTGTCCAAGTACCAACGGACCCCTGCAATCCGTCGCCGTGTGGTCCATTCAGTCGCTGTCGAAACAACAACGGATATGCAATTTGCACCTGTGAAGCTGGATATATTGGATCACCACCAAGTTGTAGGCCAGAGTGCACGGTAGACTCCGATTGTAGTTTTACCAAGCAGTGCAGAAACAACAAATGTCAAGAAGCATGTCTCAATTCACCATGTGGCTCGAATGCCTACTGCAAAGCTAGAAACCACTCGCCAACGTGCGTCTGCAATGACGGATACGAAGGAGACCCATTTTCAGCTTGTCGATTGAGACAACAACCTAAACAAGGTACCTCATGCTAAAATAGTTAAACTTTATTCATACGTGTGCCCATATTATTGTGCATTTTATTTAATCATTTAAATATTTTTAAAAAATTCTTTGAAGACGTGAGGATCGATCCCTGCAACCCGTCCCCCTGCGGACCTAATGCAATTTGTAGGACAGTCGGAGCCAGTGCCAGTTGCGCTTGTCTCGAGGGTTTTGTTGGTCGTCCTCCAAATTGTAAACCAGAATGTATCGTTAACGAAGACTGTGCACAGGATAGAGCTTGCTTAAATCAACGTTGCTCAGGTCAGAAGAGTAAAAATATCCTATCGCTTTCTCTCAATAATGCATATTTCTTGGTCTGAATTATGATCATACAATTTTTATTATTTTTGTGTGCTATCTTAGATCCCTGTGGTCAATGCGGAGTCAATGCAGACTGTCGCGTTATTCGACACAATGCTCAATGCGAATGTAGAGTGGGATACACCGGCTCTCCACAAAGCTACTGTTATCCAATAGAGAGAAGTACTCCAGCTCCGATCGTCATTCCGTTAGCCCAACCCTGCAACCCATCACCCTGTGGAAGAAACGCCGTTTGTCGAGAAGTCAGTGGGGCTGGAGCTTGTGAGTGTCGCCATGGAATGATGGGAGATCCCTACGTCGAGTGCAAGTTCGAGTGTGAAATTGATTCAGACTGTGATACCCGAAAGGCTTGCACGCTCAACAAATGTCAAGAAGTTTGCAACGGTGCTTGCGGAATTAACGCTCTGTGCACGGCTGAGAGACACGTTCCCGTTTGCACGTGCCCTGATGGCTACATTGGAAACGCATTTGTGAGATGCTATCCAAAACCAGAGGAACGACAACCTCCTCCAGTACCCATTGATCCATGCTACCCATCACCGTGTGGACCTTACAGTCAGTGTCGAAATGTTGGTGGCAGTGCAATTTGTTCATGTCTGGCCACCTATATCGGCTCACCACCAAATTGTCGACCTGAATGTGTCACTTCTTCCGAGTGTGACTTGACAAAAGCATGTGTTCGGCAACGTTGTGAAGATCCCTGTATTGGCGTTTGTGGTGCAAATGCGATATGCAAAGTCATCAATCACAGTAAGTCCGCAGTCCAAAATCACCACCCGTTCAACATTAATTATTCAAGATTTTAATTAATTTTTTTTGTAGATGTTTTCTGCACTTGTCCCTCTGGCTATGTCGGAGATCCATTTGTCCATTGTTCCATTGCACCACAAAAAGTGGAAGAACCAAGACAAAGAATTGATCCCTGCAACCCATCCCCGTGCGGACCATACTCTCAATGTCGAGCTAATGGAGAACAAGCTAGCTGCACCTGTCTGGAAAAATATATCGGATCTCCACCCAACTGCAGACCAGAATGCGTCACATCAAATGAATGTCCAAACGACAAAGCATGTTTGCAAGAACGCTGCTCAGACCCATGTCCTGGAAGCTGTGGGTACAATGCTCACTGTAATGTCATCAACCATGCCGCGACTTGCACATGTGATAACCAGTTTACTGGTGACCCATTCAGTCAGTGTTATCCTATCCCCGTCGCTCCACCAGTTCGAACTGATCCCTGCAACCCGTCCCCGTGTGGAAGTAATGCGGTTTGTACAGAACGCTATGGTACAGGATCGTGCCAATGCTTGCCAGAATATTTTGGTGATCCGTACACTGGATGTCGTCCCGAATGTGTGACCAACAACGACTGCCCGAGCAATAAGGCTTGTCAAAACCAAAAATGCGTCGACCCATGCCCCGGTGTTTGTGGAATTAACGCTGAATGTGCTGCCGTTAACCATAATGCGATCTGTACCTGCATTTTGGGACATGTGGGAAATCCGTTTTACATGTGTCGTCGTCAAGAAATACCACCACCGCCACGATATGACGTAAAACGAGACCCGTGCAACCCATCCCCATGCGGCCCTTATAGTCAATGCAGAGAAGTTTCGGAAAATGCAATTTGCACTTGTTTGCCTACATATGTCGGCTCCCCACCCAATTGTCGACCTGAATGCGTGCAGAACAGCGATTGTCCCAACCACTTGGCCTGCATTCAAGAAAAGTGTCGAGGTAGAGTTGAACGTTTTAATTTTTGATTTCACTTTTTACGAAGGATGATATTGATTGATTTTATATCTTATGCAGATCCTTGTCCTGGAGTTTGTGGATACGGAGCAGTATGCCGAGTCCACGCCCACTCTCCGATTTGCTCTTGTCCAGCCGACTTTACGGGTGATCCATTCCGTGGATGCACTAGGATTCCACCGCCCCCACCCGAACCGAAGCAGCCAGTACAAAGAGTAGACCCTTGTCTGAACAATGGCCCTTGTGGTCAGTACGCCTACTGTCGAGCTGTAGGAGATGTCGCTCAGTGCCACTGTTATGAGAATTATATTGGTAAGTATATTGACGAGTTAAGCTTATCGAAAATGAGTCTTGTGTATGACAAGGTTTATATATTTACTTGAAATTCTTTAGGTTCACCACCCAACTGTAGACCGGAATGCACAACTAATCAGGAATGTCCGAAAACGAAGGCATGCGTTGCACAAAAATGTGTGGATGGTACGCAAGCATTAACATTTTATACATTGAGCATTTCAAGTATATGCATAATTTTTTTTAATGCATAATAAACTGAGCAAATATTTTATGGTTTTCAATTGACAGCTTGCAGATCAGATACTTGTGCACCATCCGCACAATGTCAAGCTGTAAATCATGCTGCAGGTAAATATATTTTAGATAGGATTGTGCATCTTTTTAATTATCATCTCAAAGTGTATTTCTAATATTTTTATGTCTTTGAATATTTGCAGTTTGCATTTGTCCCCCAGGAACGACAGGTAGTTTTTTAAAATTAAAATCATGAGACACTTTTTTAACAAAATTCCATACAAATATTAATACAAATTTATCTTAATTTTCATTAGGTGATCCATTCAGCAATTGCTACCCCATTCCTCCCGAACCTGTTGCAGAACGCCGTGACCCATGTAATCCATCTCCATGTAAGTGATGATTATATGCAAAATTAAAACTAATTAGTCAATGTAAACGACTCATTTTAACATTGTTAGTATTTTTTACTAATGATTTTTTTATTATTTTAGGTGGGACAGGTATGCACGGGCTTCAATGTTTACGGAATCCAAAACATACGTGAATATATGTGTACTTATTGTTATCTATAATGTTTAGGTGCGTATTGCAAGGCTTATGGGGACCGAGCTTCATGCCATTGTATCGACCTTTATCATGGTGATCCATACGTAGCCTGCAGACCAGAATGTATTTCAAATAACGATTGTCCAACGTCCAAGGCCTGTAACCAACACAGATGCACAGGTAAATATCTTTAAACTGATTAGCTGACAATTGTTAAGCATTTATGTATATTATTAACATGTGTTATTATTTCTATTAATTTCAGATCCATGTCCTGGTATGACGACTCATTTTTATAACAATTTAATAATTGGCACACATTTAACTAATTACAAATTTTAGGTGTATGTGGAATCAACGCAAGATGCGACGTCATCCAGCATATTCCTGTCTGCACGTGTTACGAAAAATATACGGGTGATCCGTTCACTCGGTGTCATCCTATCCCTGTTGCCCCTCCAGTTCGTGTCGATCCATGCAACCCATCGCCATGTGGACCCTTCAGTGAATGTCGAAATGGAGTCTGCTCTTGCAAACAAACGTACATAGGATCACCTCCCAATTGCAGACCCGAATGCGTTTCCAATTCGGAATGTCCTCTGGACAAGGCTTGTGAGAATCAGCGATGTGAACCACCCTGTCAGAAAAACCCATGTGCCTCCAATGCCATCTGCAAAGTTCGGAATCATTCCCCCATTTGTACATGCCCAGAAAACCATCAAGGAGATCCATTCATCCGCTGCTATCCAATTGAAAGACTCCCAGAACCAGTTGCTCGAGATCCATGTGAGCCTTCGCCTTGTGGACCGAACGCCGTTTGCCGAGTGACTGGTTACGGAAATGGATACAGTTGCTCCTGCCTGCCTCGGTACATTGGAGAACCTCCTTTTTGCCGAGCAGAGTGTGTCGTCAACAGTGATTGTCCAAGTAATAGGGCGTGCAACCAAGAGCAAAAGTGCTACGACCCATGCCCCGGCGTTTGTGGAGTTAATGCATATTGCACAGCTATCAACCATGCTCCCGTGTGTACATGTAACTCTGGATATGAAGGTACGTTACAGATATATTTATATACTTATAATATAGTAAAGTATGAGATTATTTACAAAAATTACTTTCGACTTTCCAGGCGATCCGTTTAGATATTGTTCCCTCCCAGTCAAAGTACAACCTCAGCCAACCGACCCTTGTTATCCGTCACCATGTGGAAGCAATGCAATTTGCACCGTGCGAAACGAAGCAGCTTCTTGCAAGTGCTTGGCCGGATATTTTGGAGATCCGTTTGTTGGTTGCAAACCGGAATGCGTGGTCAATGACGATTGCCCGTACAACAAGGCATGCAAATCTCAGAAATGTGTCGATCCATGTCCTGGTGTTTGTGGGGTGAATGCATATTGCGAAGTCCAAAATCACAACCCAATATGTACGTGTACGGCTGGCTATGTGGGAGATGCTTACTCGGGATGCAGATTGCCACCACCTCCTCCCACTTCTCCACCCGTTCGAATTGACCCTTGCAGTCCGTCGCCTTGCGGTCCATACAGCAAATGCAGAGAACAATCTGGTAGCGCAGGTATGCTGCATATTTACCTTTTATTTAGTTTTGAATCCAAATGTAAGGTTTATGTATATAATTAATTTATTGTCATTTTATCCTTTAATAGTTTGCACATGTTTGCCAACGTACGTGGGGTCTCCACCAAATTGCAGACCTGAATGTGTCGCAAACAGCGATTGCCCTCAACATCTGGCATGTAGGAATCAACGATGTACTGACCCTTGTCCTGGAACATGCGGTTACTTGGCGGAATGCAAAGTTGTTCAGCATAATGCCATTTGTTCTTGCATTGCTGGCCATACCGGTAAATAAACAATTGAAGTTTTAGCGCATATTGTGCTCTCACATTGTTAGATTTCCGTAGCTAACTTATTCGTTCTCTATAAAAGGTGACCCATTTTCCGGTTGTCGACGAATCCCACCTCCACCTCCGGTCAAAATTGAACCAGTCGACCCATGCTATCCATCCCCGTGTGGACCAAATGCTGACTGCACTGCTGTCAACGGACGAGCCGAATGCCATTGCAGACCTACATATATTGGTTCACCGCCAAATTGTAGGCCCGAATGCAGCTCCAATGATAATTGTCCCCTCCACCTGGCTTGCATAAACTCGAAATGTCAAGGTGAGGGAAACATTTCATTTACTGTGCATTCGTACACATATTAGAAATATGTACCATTTAGCAATGAATATATTTAAAGAGTGTCTAGGACAACTTTGAAACTAATCCTGTTTTTGAATTTTTTATCAGATCCTTGTCCAGGATCCTGCGGTGCCAATGCCGTCTGCAATGTTATCAATCATCGTTCCTCTTGCACTTGCCTTCCTGGACATGTCGGCGACCCTTTCACCTACTGCTACGTGGAACAGAAACGCGAACCTGCTCGCGTCGAATACCTTGACCCATGCAACCCCTCTCCGTGTGGACAGAACGCCGTGTGCTCGAGTCGACAAGGTGCTGCTGCCTGCACTTGCATCAAAGATTATTTTGGAGATCCCTATGTCGCCTGTCGTCCAGAATGCGTGACGAACGCAGATTGTCCAAATGATAAGGCTTGTCGCAATTTACATTGTACGGACCCATGTCCAGGAACATGTGGAGTAAATGCGGTTTGCAGAACTCTGAACCATTCGCCAACTTGCACATGCTTCGAAGGATACGAAGGAGATCCGTTCAGTGCATGCAGACTTCGACCACCACCACCAAAACCACAAGTTAAGGTGGATCCTTGCAACCCGTCGCCATGTGGTCCGTTTAGCCAATGCAGAGAACAGTATGGAAGTGCAATCTGCTCCTGTTTGTCGACCTATATCGGATCACCACCCAATTGCCGACCAGAATGTACCGTCAACAGCGATTGTTCCTTGACACTCGCATGTAAAAATCAAAAGTGTGTTCCACCCTGTCCAGCATGCGGTACTGGCGCGGATTGCCGTGTCATTTCACACTCTGCGATTTGCTCATGTCCTCCCGGGTTCGAAGGAGATCCGTTTTATCAGTGCACTCGAATTCAAGAACCGATTAAAATTGTGCATGAACAGCCAAAGGTGACCGTCAATCCATGTGTTCCATCACCTTGTGGACCATATTCTGAATGCTACGCTAGTGGTCCCAATCCAACCTGTACATGCAAAGTTGGATATTTTGGATATCCTCCACAATGTCGACCAGAGTGCGTCACGTCCAATGATTGTCCAAATGATAAAGCATGTTTCAACGAACGCTGCTCAGACCCATGTCCTGGAGCTTGTGGTTGGAACACTATTTGCCAGGTTGTCAACCATTCTCCAATCTGCACGTGTGAATCTGGTTATGAGGGAGACGCTTTCCGTGGCTGCTCCAGAATTCCTGTCCGAGAAATCAAACCAACTCCAAAGGACCCTTGCGCCTTGTGCGGAACTAATGCCATCTGCGAAAATGGTGTGTGCAAATGTCGTCCAGAATACTTTGGGGATCCATATGTCGCCTGTCGTCCAGAATGCAGTATCAACAGCGATTGTCCAAGTAACAAGGCTTGTAGGAATTTCAAGTGTCAAGATCCGTGCCCCGGAGTGTGTGGAATCAATGCACATTGCACAGTTGTTAACCATGCTCCAATCTGCTCATGCGACAACGGCTACATTGGCGATCCCTTCGTTTCCTGTCGATTGAGACCATCCCCACCACCTCCCATAGTCAAGCGAGACCCATGCAACCCCTCCCCTTGTGGTCCATTCAGTCAATGTAGAGAACAGTATGGAAGTGCAATTTGCACCTGTTTGTCATCTTATATAGGATCACCACCTAATTGCAGACCTGAATGCGTCAGCAACAGTGATTGTCCACTTCATTTGGCTTGCAGTCAAGAAAAGTGTCGAGATCCTTGTCCTGGAAGTTGTGGTCAAGGTGCCTTGTGCCGTGTGGTCAATCATTCCCCTGTCTGCGTCTGTGAAAATGGATACACGGGTGATCCCTTCGTCGCTTGCCGTATTCAACGTGTCGAAATTCCCCCACCCATTACTCGAGATCCATGCAATCCTAACCCATGCGGACCAAATAGTCAGTGTCGAGATGTTGGTGGAAGTGCAATTTGTTCTTGCCTGCCTACATATTTCGGCTCCCCACCAAATTGTGGACCGGAATGTTCAGTCAACGCAGATTGTCCTTTGAATCGAGCTTGTCTGCGAAATCGTTGTGCAGACCCGTGTCCTGGAAGTTGTTCGTCCACAGCAATTTGTACCGTCATCAATCACTCGCCAGTTTGCTCTTGTCCTGAAGGCTACTCCGGGGATGGCTTTACATACTGCCGCATTATCACAAAAGTGGAAAAGACTAGACCATGTCAACAAGCTTCTTGTGGAGACAATGCAGTTTGCACAGAACATGGAGAATCTTCTTACAAATGCTCCTGCCTGCCTAACTATTTTGGTGATCCCTACGTCCGTTGTAAGCCGGTTTGTCTGGTCGACAGTGATTGTCCAAACGACAAGTATTGTTATAATACGATCCGTTGCGACGATCCTTGTCCTGGAAGCTGTGGTCAGAATGCGGAATGCAAAGCTGTCTATCATCGAGCAATGTGCACCTGCTTGCCTGGATACACCGGAAACCCGACGACATACTGTAGAAGAATTGAAATTCCAATCGTAAAAGAACCAGAAATTGTTTGCGGTTTGAATGCAGAAATACGAGTTGTGAACGGAAGGAAGACTTGTGTCTGCAGGTCAGAGTATTTCGGAAATCCATTAGTTGGATGCAGACCAGAATGCACGGTCGACTCGGATTGTGACCAAACCAAGAGTTGCCTTCGTCTTAAATGTGTCGACGCTTGTTCCACCAGTGTTTGTGGACACAGAGCAATATGCGAAGCTCGAAATCATCGACCAGTCTGCAAATGTCCACCCAATTTGACCGGAAATCCATACGCTCAATGTAACGAAATACCAGTGAGAGTAGAACCAGAACCAATAGCTGATCCCTGCTATCCCTCGCCTTGCGGGTTGAACGCCATTTGTACTTCAAGGCCTGGATCACGAAACGCTGTGTGCTCATGCCCTCCAAATCTGCGCTATGGTTCTCCATACATTGAATGCAAGCCGGAATGCGTCGTCAACTCGGAATGCCCTTACTACCAAGCCTGTATTTCTCAAAAGTGCCAAGATCCCTGTGTGACCAACTCCTTCGAGCACGGCAGTGGAGGATACCAAGTCTGTGGAGCAAATGCATTGTGCAAAACTGTGAATCATGCTGCAACCTGTTACTGTCCACCCGGTCTGGAAGGCAACCCTCGAGTTCGATGTGAAACTGTGAGAATTGTTCCAAAGCCAGAATGTGAAAGAGACGACGACTGTCCAACCGACAAAACGTGTGTCAATCAAGTCTGTAAACCTGCTTGCGCCAACAATCCATGCGCCGTTAACGCCGAATGCAGAGCTTTCAATCACAGACTTACATGCGCCTGTAGACCTGACTATACCGGAGACCCGTACAGACAATGTATTCCAGTCGGATGTCAATCCTCTGAAGAATGTCCGTACACTGAAGCCTGTATAAATCGTCGTTGTCAACCAGCCTGTTTATTTGACAAGTGTGGAATAAATGCGGAATGTCGAGCAGTAGCACATCGGGCTGAGTGTTATTGTCCCCCAAGATTTTATGGAAATCCGCGAGTCCAATGTGAACGTCCTCAGTGCACCACGGATGAAGAGTGCCCTCAACATTTAGCTTGTGAAAATGAGAAATGCGTCAACCCATGCAAATGTCCCCCATCCGCTATTTGCAATGTCTTCAATCACCGACCAGTTTGCACCTGTCCTGCCGGATTTACTGGGAACCCAACCAGCAATTGCTCCCCAATCCCAACCCCTGTCCAAGTTAAGTACGAGTGCGAGACGGACGGAGATTGTCCTAGCCGACAAGCCTGTATTGAGCGTTCCTGCAAAAATCCATGCCTGCATGGGAAACCGTGCGGTGTTGGAGCCGAATGTTATGTCCATAACACCTTGCCCAACCGATTAATGACATGTCAATGTCTTCGAGGTCTTATTGGAAATGCTCGTGTTGAGTGTAGACAACGTAAGTCATGTTTTCTTTGGTTATTTTGTACATTTCCTGTTCATCAAATAATTTTTAACATGACTCACTTATTTTATATTCCAATACGTTATACAGAAATGACACGAACCTCGATACACAAAATAATATTTGCTAATCTTGTCCTTACAGTTTTTATTGCAGGAAACAAATCACACTTCTCACCGCAACATGATCACTATATAAAAAAAACATAGACTACAAAGTTGTATGAATGAGAGTGCGAATGCGAGTGTGAAATTAGTGATATTTAGATAGATAATTATTGCAGTAAAATTTGCTTGCTTCTCGTCTCATTCTGTCACAGTTTTCGTATATTAATAAGTTTTTTATAAATATAGCGGAAGTTATCGGATGCAGAAGTGATGACGAATGTGGCGACCAAGAAGCCTGTCGCAATGGCGTGTGTATCAATCCATGTCGAGACATTAATCCGTGTGCTCCATCAGGTATGAAATTACATTGGTGCACTTCAGCGAGTGATGAAAAATAATATGATTTCATAATTTACACTTCATAATTAATGCATTTTTTACTTGCACTATTTTTCAGCAATTTGTGAAGTTGTCAGACATCAAGCCAAATGTTCCTGCAGTCCTGGACTGGTGGGCGACCCGTATAGAAACTGTTTCGCAGGTATGAAACGGATTAATTCTTTGAGCGAAAGCAAAATATTTATGCAAACAATAAAAATTATCACAATGCTTACTCTAAACTTACTCTAAATATGAAACTAATAACTAACAGTTGCTGCACGACCTTCGAGAAAATGTGCCACTGACGATGAATGCTTTAATAATAATGTGTGCTGGAAAAAAAGCTGCCATAATCCCTGCTTTGTTTCTAATGTGTGTCCTGAGTCGACGATTTGCAAAGCTTTCGAGCATGAGGCGTTCTGTTGTCCTCGATCAATTGGGGAGAATGATGCATGCTTTCCAGGTATAGAGAAACTAACGCCTTACGAAAACTACATGATATTTGTGCAATTTTCGAATATTATTTCATTTTTCTAATTACAAATAATATTTAATAACTTATTTTCTTAATTGGAGTGAAAATGTGGACATTGTATTTATGCCTGTTTGCACATTTTTATTGCAGCTCCGCCAGTACCGCAACCAGAATGTACTCAAGATAATGGTGAGTGTTTTTTTTAATGTTTAGTATCTTATAAATTAGAAAGGAAACTTAGTAAATATTAATAAATAAATTCACAGATTGTGCCGATGATAAGGCTTGCGTGTCACAAGTTTGTCAGTCAGTATGTGCGGTACAAAACCCATGTGCAGCCAACGCTATTTGTAGAGCTCAGTTCCACCGACCTCTCTGCGTTTGTCCGGTGGGATGGGCTGGAAATCCACAAGTTAGATGTTACCAACGTAAGCTATGCGATAATAATTTAAGAAAATTGAACAATTTGCAATACGTGTGTAATGGAAATAAGATTCATGTTTGTTTTATTGTAGCGGAATGTGTGCAAGATTCGGACTGTCCAACAGATAGGCAGTGTATCTCAGAAAAATGTAAGCTTTTTGTGGGGATGATGCATAAATTTGTAGTAGCTGAACCTAGTAGCTTGACTAATTTGGGTTTATTTTAGGTGTCGACCCGTGCAGATCTTCATCATGCCCTGTGACAGCAAATTGTAGAGCTGTCGCACATCGAGCACAGGTACGTTTCTTTCTTTAAAAAAACTTGCTGAAAACCAACTGATTAGAGTTATAACCGGTCATTCTGATGTGTTTTTAGTGTTATTGTCCACCTGGAAGTCAAGGAAATCCGTTGATATCTTGCGTTGTTGTGGGTTGCTCATCTGATAACGATTGTAATGAGGATGAAAGCTGTGATCACGTGAATCGAGTTTGTCGCCGAGTTTGTACACCGACCACTTGTGCTCAGAGAGCATACTGTGAAGGCAGACATCATCAAGCTATCTGTCAATGTCCTAGTAATACCAGAGGGGACCCGTACGTACGATGCATCGAAGGTATGTGTACAAATTTACTAAAATCCAGTTAAGGTGAGGAGTATTTATTTCGAAAATTATTAATTTTCACTTCTAAAATACAGATGTCAAAAAACCATCCGAACCTGAACGAGAGTGCGAAGAGGACTCCAACTGTCGCAGCCACATGAGTTGCGTCAATTTCCATTGTGTCGACCCCTGTGCAATCAGCAACCCTTGCAGTCCATTGCAACAATGTAGAGTGATGAACACGGTGCCATTCCGCGCAATTGTTTGCGAATGTCCTAGCGATACCAAGTTCATGAATGGAGCATGTGTCAAAATTAGTACGTCCTTCCCTTCTTAATTTATTTCGATTTATTTACTTTTTAACTCTCCTTTTATGCGATTACTTTATTGGCCAATTTCTACTTGCAGCAACGGAAACTGTTGGTTGCAAATCAGACTCGGACTGTAATTTGAACGAAAAGTGTCAACGTGGAGCGTGTATTGATGCTTGTCTTCTGGAAAGCTGTGGATACAATGTACGTTTTAAATGCGTCATAATTAATTATTCTTACTCATTAATAAATTATCTAAAAAATATATTCTTAATGCTATGTCGTGTATTTCATATTATTCAGGCCATCTGCAGAGCTGCAAACCACAGTAAGTTTCATATTTCAGTTTTCTTTATTCTTCTTATCTTTTTTATAATAATAATTTACCGTTTTTTCTCTAGATGGAATTTGCTATTGTCCTGCGGGATTGGAAGGTGATCCTCGCGTTAGATGTTCAGAACCTCCCCGACCAAAGTATGAATGCGTCGTTGATTCCGACTGTGCGGATGACCTCGCATGTACCAATAATTACTGCTCGAGCCCATGTAATACGGCCACCTGTGCGCCGAATGCCTTATGCCACGTGGAATATCACAGTGAGAATACAAAATTGGAAATATCATTTTTACTTATAGCACGAATTAAAATTATATAATTTAATCTATTTAATCTAGACCCCATCTGCCGATGTCCACAAGGCTTAGAGGGAAATCCTCGCATAGAATGCAAAATTCGCGAATCTGGTAAGAAAAGTAGTGATTTCTTTACTATACAATTTTAATTTTGTAATTTCAAGAGCTCATGTAATTGTTTCCTTCACTTTCTCCAGCTCCACCTCAAGTTGGATGTGCCTCTTCCGATGAATGCCCATCCAACTTGGCCTGTATTAACAGGGGTAAGGAAAATTTCTTGTTTTTTCAAATATTTTTGTAAGAGTTACTTGACACAATTCCATGTTTTCTAAACACAGCTTGCGTCAATCCCTGCCAATGTGGACCCAATGCCCAATGCAACGTCCAAAGTCATATCCGTAAGTCTCTTCTTGAAGTACTTTTGTTTTATTAATATTCAACTAATGCGTATAAATATGTACTAATTTCTAATTACACGTTGTTATCTTGTTTTAGCCATTTGCACCTGCAGCGCAGGTTATTCTGGAAATCCCAACTATGGTTGCTTCCAACGTAAGTCTTTTCATTGTAGCATGTTGTGACCAAGATCAAACGGCATTGAACTAATTAATACTTTTGATTTTTTTTCATAGTCGGATGCTCTCATGACGGAGAATGCGCTAACACCCAAGTTTGCAGTAATCGACAGTGCATTGACGCGTGTCGATTGAGCAATCCATGCGCAATTACAGCCACTTGTTTCGGGCAAAACCACCGTTCGAATTGTAAATGTTTGCCAGGATTGGAAGGTAAGATTTACTTAATTGATGTGGTCCAGTTTTAAATCAGTAACTAAAATTCTCAACTATTTTAAGGCGATCCGTTTGTACGATGTGAATCACCCGGATGCTCGACGCACAACGATTGTCCACTAGGCAAGATTTTATTTACTTATTTAGTGCATTCCTAATTTAGTGGTGAATTATTTAATAATTTAACGTTTCCTTGAAACAGACAAAGTCTGCAAAGAACGCAAATGTGTCAACCCATGTTATTATGATAACCGATGCGCTTCCAACGCCGTGTGCCGACCTGCAAACCACGCCGCTATTTGTCATTGTCCGGAAAATCTCCCTCGTGGAAATCCATTCTCATTCTGCGAAAGGCTCGACGTTGTGGCACCACCTCCACAATGCGTCTACGATTACGAGTGTGACAGTAACTTGGCTTGCTTCTCTGGTGAATGTAAAAACCCGTGTACGGAAATTGGTCCATGCGATTCTAGTGCTGGTGAGTTTTACATTACACTCAGTTACCTATTACAATGAGGCAATAAAATCACATAAATAATCGTATGAATGAATATCAACAGTTTGCAAAGTCATCAACTCCACGCCTGTACGGACATTAATGTGCATCTGCCCTGAGAACTGGGCACCCAATGAAAATGGCCAATGTCGACCTGTCGTGCCAGCCTTACCTCCACCAGGTTGCACCTCTGACAACGAATGTCCGTCTGATGAAGCTTGCATAAACAGTGTATGCCGTTCCCCATGTCTTTGTGGTCAAGGTAAGAATTTCGGAGCGGATGATCTAACGGCTTATTTGCATTTTTACATGAGACTACGTACAGGATAAAGTAATAATCACATTCTTTCATATGTTTTAGGAGCGTCATGCCACGTTACTAACCGTAAGTCAAGCTAAACTTAATCCGTATAGTTAATGAATGAATTGTTAATAATGTGAGGTTTTTAAACTTTAAATTTTTTTAGACCGGTCAATTTGTAGCTGTAAAGAAGGATTTGAAGGGAATCCCAACATTGCTTGTTATCCTGGTAAGTTACATATTTCTGTTTCTGAGAGCGGCATTAAAATAAAAATTGTTTTTAATTATTTTCTTAGTTGGCTGCCGTTCGGACGATGAGTGTGACTCCAACAAAGCTTGCGTTCAAGGGGAATGTGTCAACATTTGTCTTCTCGATCATACTTGTGGCGTAAGTGCTTGACTTGTTAAATATAAATTCCTTCTTGTCCCTGCATGAAATTATATGAGCGTGCTATCCTAACTTATAACTCTTGTATATAGACGAATGCGGACTGTATTGCCATCAGACACAGAGCCGGTATGTTATTCAAATAATTTAATATATTAATTTATAGAGGCAAAGTTAACTTATTATAAATGCATGATTTAGAGTGCCAATGTCGCCCAGGATTTAGAGGAGATCCGTACGTGGCTTGCAAGGTTATTGGTTGCACTTCAAATGGTAATAGCTGAAAACATTATTAATTTAACAGTACAAATTAAATTCAGTTATAGTGTAAGAAATATAACGCAATCGTTCTTTCTCCGTAGATGAATGTCCTCTGGACAAAGCTTGTATTAATTCGGATTGTCAAATACCATGCCAAGTGTACAATCCTTGTGCACCATCCAATTCCATCTGTACAAATGAAAATCATCAAGGTATGAAACTTTGCCTGATTACGATTAATTTTAACTTTTGTTTTATTGCTGTAACTTATTTTTTAACTTGTTTTTCATTTCTAAAGCCACATGCCGATGCCTTCCATCGTTTATCGGTAAGAAATACATTTTCACAAGTTCGACAAATTATTCAATTCGACGTTACTAGCGTAATTTTTACTGCTCGTTTACAGGAAATCCTTACATCTCTTGTGATCCTGAGCCCAAGCCAGAATGCGTCACGGATGCAGACTGTCCCTCTCAACTTGCTTGCATTGATGACCGATGCCAACAGCCTTGTCATGTCCTACGACCTTGTCTCTCACCTGCTACTTGCAAAGTGGTTGACTCTGTCCCCGTCAGAACTATGATTTGCATCTGTCCTGACGGATACGCAGGTGGAAATGATGGAACATGTCGACCCGTTAAATCTTTGACCACTGTTGGATGTACGTCGGACTCTGAATGCGGAGAAGAACACGCTTGCATCAATGCCATTTGCCGCTCACCTTGTCAATGCGGTCCGGGTATGTACTTCATTTTCTACACTATTAAAAGATATTACAATTTTTGTAAGTTGTCTAATACTTAATTGGAATATTTACCCAAATTTTAGGAGCAAATTGTCGAATTGTCAACCGTAAGTTAAAAAAAATACCAAACAATAGCAAAGTTCAGTAAAATGTAACTATTTGTAATCACCAAATTATCATTATTTTCAGACAAGCCAATTTGCACATGCTTAGAATTTTATGAAGGAAATCCAGACTATGGTTGTTATCCTGGTAAGTGGAAACACGCATGAATTTTTGGATTAAATTAGTTTCAGTATTATATTTATATTAATCATTTAAATAGTGGGATGCCGATCAAACAATGATTGTCCAACAACGCACGCTTGTCTGAACAGAAATTGCGAACCGGTCTGCGCCCCATCACCAACACCACCTTGTGCCAGAAGTATGTTGAATTTATGCCTCAATATATAGCTATATAATAAGTAGCATTCTAATGTTATATTTGTTATTCAAATATTTTAGACGCTGTCTGTCATGGAATTGCTCATACAGCTATCTGCAAATGTCCAGCGGGTGCTCACGGTAAGTTTTAATAATATTTTTAATTCAGCTATTTACATAATCTTAAATTAGGACCTGTATTTATTAATGAGTTATATTTATTTTGGTCTAGGTGACCCATACGTTTCCTGTATAACGATTGGATGTGAAACATCAGAACAATGTCCATCTGACAAGTCATGCATCAATTCTCGCTGCGAGGTATATACTACATCAATTTATATATTTAGGTACATTTTATAAAAATGAACATATTTAATTGAAATCAATTATAATATTTTCAGTCTCCTTGCGCAATAAACGATCCTTGCGCTTCTCCATCAGAGTGCAGAGTTCATGGTCACGTCGCCAATTGTACCTGTCCACCAGGTATAATATACATATATATAATTTAGTTAGCAAAATTGGACAGCGCTTCCATTAATATTTTAACCAAATTATTTCTAGGATTCTCTGGCAGTCGAGGAACTAGTTGTCAAAAGGGTAAGGGATATATCTGGAATAGATTTTGTTTGCAAGAATTGCATATATTCATTGTCTGATTTTTTTACTTACAATCTAGTTAAAATCGGTTGCGAGAAAGATGAAGAATGTCCTTCACAACTTGCCTGCATTGACACGACCTGCAAGAACCCTTGTCTAATTGGTGAACCTTGTGGAGTGAACGCTCAATGCAGAGTGGTAGACACGCTCCCAGTTAGAACCATGATTTGCGAATGCTTACCCGGATATCGAGGAAATGCTGCAATCAAGTGTGACTTACGTAAGTATTTCTATAATTGCAAGTCTTGATTTCAATTGGTATTTTTCTAATTTTTATTTTCAATCGTCTTACAGCTCCAGTTTGTCCATTTGACAAAGGCTACGTGTTGGACGCCAATGGCAAATGCATCTGTCCACCTGGATTCGGTCTGGATGAGAATGACAATTGTATTCCATGTCCGTTTGAAGAGGGCTATAAAGTGAATGAGCGAGGAAGATGTATTTGTGCCACTGACAGAGGAATGGTTATCGACAACCAAGGAAAATGTATTTGTCCCGTCGAACAGAAATATGTTCTGAGGAATGGCTATTGCGAACCAATCCCACCAGATTGTGTAGTTGGTATGTACAAAAAGACCGTTCTCCCGATAATTTCAAATTTTGCATGCAACTATATCTATTCTCATTTTTATATTTCAAATTAGATGATGACTGCCCAGACGATAGATTCTGTTACACAAAGAATAGCACGTGTATCACTCCGTGCCTACCGGAAGTGTGCCCCACAACAGCGTACTGCTTAGCTATCCACCATGCCGCTGTTTGTCAATGTCCAGAGGGTACGAAAGGAAATCCTACACCAGCCGACGGCTGCGGTAAGTATTCAATGCTTTAGTAGTTTTCAAATGTAAAAAAAATATATCGACTCCTGATTTAATGCGTCTCCTTCTCAAAAATATTTACAGTTCCATTACCAAAAGCTCGAACCGATTTCCCATCTCCAGCAATGACGGTTAACTGCTTAGCGGATGGAGTTCAAGTCGATGTCAATATTCAGAAAACGGAACCATACGTAACCCAAGGAGAGTTTAATGGTTTACTATACGTCAAGGGATACTCGAAGGATCCCAACTGTCGAAAATCTGTCCTCTCTGTGGACGATGGGCCGGTAGATTTCAAGGTCAAGTTTGGTACTTGCGGATTGGAACACAAAGATGTAAGTCTTTTTTCTGCTGTACGATTCCTTCACAATTAAGATATTTGATCACAACTAAAGCTTTAACTCTGTTCATATAAACAGGGCGAAGCCGGATTTGTTTTGGTAATTCAAAAGCACCCAAAACTCGTCACCTATAATGCACAAGCTTACCACATCAAGTGCGTCTACATGACCGGAGAGAAAACAATTACTCTAGGATTCAACGTGTCCATGCTCACAACGGCAGGCACGATCGCAAATACTGGCCCACCTCCAACTTGCGTCATGAAAATAGTGACCGCTACCGGTGGCGAAATCACTTCAGCTGAAATAGGAGAATCATTGATGCTTCGTGTAGAAGTACAACCTCAAACAATTTACGGAGGTTTTGCAAGAAACTGTGTCGCTAAAACAATGGACGGAGATGCTGAGAACGAATATTTAGTGACTGATGAAAACGGATGTGCTACTGATCCATCTATATTTGGGGAATGGGAAGTAGATCCCAACAACTTGTTGTTACTTGCGCATTTCAATGGTATGCAAAAGTTTAATTAATTTCAAATATTTAAGTGAATACGAATAATATGTAAACCCTCATTTTCTATAATATTTTCAGCCTTCAAGTTCCCAAGTAGTAGCAGCATAAAGTTCCAATGTAATGTGAGAGTCTGTTTTGGAAAGTGCCAACCGGTAAGAAGTCGTTAATTTTATTCACTTTCCGTGCATTTTTAAATCCTACATATATTTTAATAACGAATAATTCACAGGTGAATTGCCGTGGTCAAAATGCTTTCGGAAGAAGAAAACGACAAATCTTTGATGATACGGATGCTAGCTTGTCAACTTCCGTTTCTGATTACGTCGGCCAACTAAGAGAAGAAGTAACTGTACAGTCTAATCCTATTTTAGCTTTAGAACGTCGTGAAGAACGACTCACAGATCCATCCGAAGGTGAGAAAAACAACTCGTTAATTTTGAACTTATTCATAAAAAATTGTAAAATGATTTACAATGACTTTGTTAATTGATCTCATAGCCCAACAAGTTCAAAAGGAGGAAGTCTGCGTGTCCATGGTGGGCTTTATCATATCTCTGATATTAACGGCTCTCCTGGCCCTTGTCGCAGTCGCAGTTGCAGTCTCGTGTTGGCTCCTCGCGTACAGAAGAAGGCCGAAAGTGGACGGGCCACTCCCGCATCCTCCAGAATTTCCAAACCCACTCTTCACAACGCCAGAACCCCTTGCAGAACCTTCTCCTGATTATCTCTCGTAGTATTTAAGTAATTAATTAAGTTAGGCTTTTTTATTCCAATCTGTACATTTGTTTTGTGTGGTGACGTGTGCATGTGTAAGCGAGTCGTCGTCGTCGCCATCGTCGTCATTGTAATGGTCGTCATTTAAAAAAAAAACTGGCTGCTGATGATAATGATGTCGATGCATATTTATAAGAGTACAAGAAACATTGTTAGAACGAGGAGAGGAGTATAAGTCATAAAGATGTGCATGATCTGTTGTATGAAACGTGTGTGTTTTATACCGTTTTAAATGTAACCGTTTTTATATCTTTTGTATTTTTCTACGACAAATGCGTACTAATCCAAAAAAGTGTGATGGATGGGTGTGGGGTCCAGCGCCATATTAGTCTCTCCTTCTTCGCTCCCCGTCCTCCCCTCGCCCAACCACTCGAAAACCAACCATGTTAACGGATTTTATAGCATAGATGGAAGAAAATAGATCTTTGACACTGACAAAAATGTGATTTTGAAGCCTGACTTATACCTTTTTTCTTTCTAGTGGTAATGGGACAAGTCTTGTATATCGACTTATCGGTTTTTCATCATGGTTGCTGGTCACTTTGTAATGGGTATTAATATTAATGTGGTAATAATATTAATATATGATTAATTAAGTATATAATGAATAATATATGCACCACCATTTTTACCATGTACTAAGAAACGTGTATGTTTTTTATAGTCTGTTATTAATTTGTTTGTTAATCAACTTTTTTTAGCCGTAGAGCATTTAACTGTTGATGTACACAGCACACAGTCAATTTGTTAACCAGTTTTTTATATAATTTGTTATTGTTAACAGTGTAACCAAAAACTAATAATAAATCTGTAAAAAATTTATACTTCTCTTGCGTAATTTCACCTTATTCAGATTTGCATGCATGCAAAATTGCGATGTGCATTTTTAGCATGAATTTCTTCACGGTGAGGCTGCTGCTGTTGTTTATACGACTCGATGCTGAGAAGAACAATGCATAGAAAGCCAAGAGGCCTCTTGGACTCATTCTTACCACGTGCACGCTTTGCCCACTCGGCTTCTTCCTTCTCACCCAGCAGCAGCTGAAGTAGTGTCACTTGGTTGGCTGGTGCTCGCATTTAGAAGAGTATTTCTTTTACCTTTGATAATCGCTAATTTGTTATTTAGTAGTTGTTTAAAGCGAAAAATTAATTATCGTTTTTTGTTCGTATTTCAAAAGTAAAATCAAAATGGAGCCGGGTCGGGGTGCCGGAGAGGGTAATTTACCCAGGTTGCTCTTCCAACTCGCAAAGGGTGAGCTGACCCCAAAAGGTCGCGATAATCTGAAACGAGGCTTGTTAGACAATACCATAAAAAATATGAAGATGTCGAATAAAACTTCGTTTCAAAAGTATCAACGATATACCCCCTCGCCGGTGTATGGGCTTGAGTGGTGTCGAAATGGGTAAGACTGGTTCGTGGTAAAAGATTTTATTGTCGTTCTTACATATCTATTTTTTATTTTAGGAATATGCTGCTTTCTGCTCATGGCGACGGAATTGTCAACATTCATGACCGAAGAACTCAAGCGAATGTGATGCACACTCCTCCAAGTACTTCAGACGGGCATTTTGACGCGGCCAACGGATGCACAGAAATTGATAGTAACTACTTTGCTAGTTATTCGGATGATAAAACAGTTCTTGTTTGGGATTTGAGAAAAATGGCGAGTTGGGTAAAGAAGTGTGTGGGTCATAAGAACTGGGTGAAGAATGTGAATGTCATGCATGATGGGAGATCATTGGTCACTAGTGGTTGCGATCAGACCATACGAAGTTATGACTTAACCAGGTACTTGTTATAATAATAATAACGTATTGAGGCTTTAGTGAAATTATTAAAATTAACTAATTCGTATTTTGTTCCAGTCCGGCGTCTGCACTCGAATCCGATCCATTATTATATTTTGATGGCTTGTGCCGCACTAAGCTAAACCCGTTCGACAATACGCTCTACATTACTACTTGGAGGACAAATGTGCTTGCTATTAAGAATCTGGATCTCGAACACTTGGAGAAGGATTCGCTGAATTATTATGTATGTGAAACAGCTAGTACATGTCATGCATACTTACTAGTAGTGTCGGAATATTGGATATAATATATATCTAAAGCTTTAAAACTACTACTGATTTTGAATGTTGCAGCTGACAGCTATGAAGGAAATTAAGACGGACAAATATATACCCCCGTTCGCCAAAACTAGGAACCGTCTCGATATTGTTCATTATGTTCCATACAACGGCAACTCTCTTTCATCTGGTCAATCATTAGACATCCACCCAGAAGGGACTTGCTGCGCTGTTCGTTGTATCCGAGAAGAGTCATCGTCATATCGCCCCCAAAAAAAGTTTGAAGTACTTGTGCATTATTTTGAAACTTATCATATTTTTTATTCTCTTGCTAATGATTTAATATATTTTTTAATGTGTATATACAGTGGTTGTCTGTTTATGATTTGACTTCTGGAAATGTTGTTCCTGCAAACTCCGAGGAGCTTAAACAACAACCTCACGAGGAGGACGACTATTCTCAAGAGTTTACTGAATGGTTACAGAATGTAAACTGGGACCTTTTAGATGCCAGGTCCAAATGGAAGATTTGGAAAACAGTCAAATTAACGGACAAGGTCGAATTGGATTTGTTGCGGAATGCGACATTGACTAAATTGCGGTTAAGTATGCTATATAGTCAGTGGAATGAGACCGAGGTCAACTCACAGGAGATGTACCGTTCTCAATATTACAAAGAGTGTGCTCCCTTCTCGGACGGATTGATCAAAGAAATCAGTTTCTCGAGTTGTGGGCGTCTTATCCTAGATCCTAGTCCCCAAGGGTTTCAGCTTCTAGGCTTTGACGGCGATCTTAACAATTACTCATTCGATCCAGTAGCTCAAGATACGAACAACCAGTATAAACCCCTTACGGTAGTGAAGGAGTTTATCCTTACGGTACCTTATTTGAGGAACACCCCTCCCAAATTTGAGAATTGTCTGTGCGCCAAGTTTTCCCCGGATAATTCCATCATTGTGTGTGGATCTCTAGAAGGGAAAGTAACGTGGTGGAAAGTACCCAATGACCTGATGCGCAAAGCCCCGATGAACAACTACCAAGACCTGATTGACAAAGCCCTGAAGCACAATAATGATTTAAGACTTCGATTCAATTTTTATGAAAATGATTTCTCACATTTTCACTAATTTTTTTATATTTTGTTACATTTTTTAAAGGTTTGTATTGAAGCTTATTTAATACTTCAATAATAATTTTGTGATTTACTTAGTCTCGTAAAAATAAAACCAATCGGTACAAAGGGTATTATAAATATAGGTATTATAAATTATCTCAAATATTTATATATATCCCTATAAAAGAGATTTGTTCTTTATGAATAATATTTACATGTGTAATAATTTATATGTAAAATAATACAAAGTCAGCCAAAGTAATCATTTATCTCTCAATGCAGAGCAGTTTATTGTTTGTTTTTTCGCCAAACTTAATCAACAATTGATATTTTATTAATAAAATGTTATTTGTCACACGGTAGTAAATTAGCAATAAATAAGGAGAAATATATAGTCGTAGTATATTTCCACGTAATATATAGTCCATAGTTAACGCTTAATCATCATCAGTTAATGAGTAAGTATGAGAAAAGTCAAGAATTGTGGGGGGTTTCTTGAACATTTTAAAAAAGTTTTTTTTTTAATATAGGAAATCAATTCCTAAATGTCTGCTGGATTTTTGACACATACGACAGAATGTGGTCATCGTCAAAATATTTTTTCCACATATATTATTAGTTATGATCTCACAATGTATCATAATACCCGACCCAAGACGATGACGAGGGCACTTCTACCTCACGTAATAGTAGGCTCATATAAATGCTTCTTGTTTCTGGTCTGACCTGTTCTAGATAAAAACACGAAGATGAGCTTCCTCACCTATCGCTCACTCACTCACACGCCACGCACACACTGGGGAAAACTAGAAATAATCAACAATATAGTAATAATATCCCCAAAAAGAATAATGTTATCTAATACGTATGTCCCCCAACCGAGAAAGCCATTAGATAATTATATAAATAGTAAACAGGTAGGTAGGTGGTAGGACATGGTGGAGATGTTTTGTATTATTGGTGTCATTCTACTTGTTTTTAATTCTTCTCCTTTTTCACCTCGAGTAATAATGGCGTGGTCATAATAATCATAATCCTATCAGAATAGGAGGAGCAGGAGGAGGATTATACCGAGATTTCGTAATTTGTATCATAAATACTGGACCTTTCCGACGTCATGTCATTAATATGGCCTTGACCTTTCGGCGTCCCTGCTGGACTGCTCCTACTTGCATTTGGCGTTCTATTCGACATTTCTAAAGAATCAGTCATTTCTAATGCTCGAACGAAGCTCATAGGCCTTCGGGAAATGGGACTTGGTCTGATCCCATCGGAAATCGAGTTTGGTACTGTAGCTGAAATCCCCATCCCTCCATACATTTTCTTCTTTCCACCCGATGGAGAAAGTGGTACTTGGTTCATTCCTCCAGCACCAGCACCATATTTGGGTTGTTGATTTGGATTGTATGACGACATGTGAGAAACTCCTCCAGTGGGATGCATGTATGCACGATTGCCTCCTCCGTTCCCATTGTTCACCAAGTTGTGTTGAATAGGAGAGGTAGGATTGGAGTGAAAGTAGTTGCCGGCCACAGCTGAAGTGGGTGAGTTATCCTTCCACATGTAGACGCCGCGTTGTGGTGAGCTCGCAAGTTCTCGAATTGGTCCACCACCAACGACGCCACCGGACTGGTCGTGTGACATCAAGTACTGACGATCGTACATGAGCTCCCCTTCGGACAGGATTCTTCTCTGCTCTCCGTTGGGCATGTTGTACGTGTCGTAGTAGGGTGGGCCGTGCATGGGACGAGGTGAAGGGTACTGCTGCTGAAGGGGAGGTCCACCCACATGTTGTTGTTGTGATAAGCCTATAAACTCTGGCCTTCCTTGTTGTTGCTGCTGCTGTTGAGTTGGCGTGGGTGGATTTGAGAGGCGTTGTTGAGTGATTGGGCTGGCCGTCGAGGCCGCAAATGGGGTTGGGATTCCTCCTATTGCTCGCAATTTCTGGTGCATGGCGGTCGGACTGCCAATATTCCCATTACCGAGACCCATTCCATCTCCGTTAGGGGAAGATAAAGAGTCAGGGGTGTGGCTTCGGGAAGATCTACCAATGCCGTCTGAAGGCCTGAAAGTAAAGGGTCAATTTCTAATTTACCTAACTAATCAGAAAAACTGCTTCATATAATAATTTAATTGCTAGTTTCACACCGAGTAGTGTTTTACCTGTGTAAAAAAGTATAAAAAACACGAGGGCAAAGTGTAAGTATTTAGGAGGAGTTGGATTTGCATTTGATAAAATCCATACCGTTGAATGAAGCAAAAGGTGTGCGTGTAAAAATACCAAGCTTGGAATAAAATGATTGATGCAAATAGACAGCTGCAAGAAGTATGAAGAACGTCGTTCCAGGGACAGTAAAGTAGTTTCAATTATACTATTAAATATTTTACGTGTGACCATGAGTGAATTATTATTATTATTATTATACTTAAGTAATTGCCACCATGCATGCATAATGCTGTGAGAATAATTAGCCAAAAAAGAATAAAACTCAACACAACACACGAGAAAAAAGTATTGTCGTTTACTTTTGCATTTGGTAAAAGACATTTCGCAGACAGAAATAAGGCATTAACAACATTACATTAGTGTATAAAAGGCGCATAGGAAGAAGATGATGGAGGAGGTTAAAGACACGCAAATAAGCTTAACAACTAGGGTATACAAAATAACAAGAATTTTGACGTTTTCAAAATAAAAAATTAGGAAAACTTGTAGTAAAAAGTAGTTACCCATACCCTCCCCCCACCCAATTTTTAAATTGTGCATAATAAACAAATAAATATAGGTATATAGGTAGGAACTAAGGAAGGGGAATAATATCATTCTTTGGACTAGCACGAGTTCAATCAATATTGATATCGATACCTCTGTCGATTAGGGTGTGGAGATCCGTTAATGTAACCTCGATAGTGACGTATATGTCCCATCCCGTGGTTCATGTCGATATCGTCCTGATTGGTAGTGGTGGGTAAGAAAAAATTGTTTTTAGACCCGTGCCGTTGAATTGGAGGAGTCGGCTCGCAGTCTATTGATTGTGAAGCTTGCAGCCCCAAGTCGTGATCGGATACATCTCTATTGGACGTGGGCATCATCTAGTAAAAGTCCAAAAAAATACATTTAAAATATTTTAAAACATGTAACTTTTTGGAATAGATAGTATTCTAGGTATCTATTTAAACTATTAAGGTGTAGTGGTACTCTGGCAAGCGGATAATGTGGAAAATAATGTGAGATTTGGCAACGCAAAGACACTATGATATAAAAGCATGCAGTACGAAAGGAAATATATAGATAGATAGCTTCACTCGACTGCATTCTCCCACAAGTTTCAGATTGCATAGAGAAATAGTAGTAGTTAGATCAGAAGAAGAAGAGACAGTTGTGCCGAATCGCCAAGTACATATAATATCAGTCATGGTTCATTAGTCAGTAAAATAGAATAGAATATGAATTGAGCAGTGATAGCAAAAATTTCCCCCTCCCCAAGGAGAGAGCGAAGAGAGAAAAAGAGACACAAGTAATAAGAATTATTTGATTTGCCTGCTTTTGTGATTTTCCTCCAGCTCTAAAGATTCTTACCTGGCGATAATTTCTGGGAGAATGCAGGGAGGGGAGGTTTCCTGACAACGATTTCTGGGAATAGTTTCCATTATCGACGTACACGTTTACCTGGTTCCCAGGACCACCCATGGGGTTGGGGATCATTGGCCCGGTTTCAGGTGACGTCTTTTTAGAGTTCTTGGCGTTTGCAATAAATCGAATACTTGATGCTTCAGTCGCCCGCTTTGCTTTGTCCAGTCTGTAGTTTTAATAAGAAAACAAATTAAACACAGATAATCGATGTATAAAATCACTACATATTCTAAAAAGCCAAGATTTCTTACGAAGGATAATGAGGACCACAGAGCGTAAACCAGCAGTTCAAACAACACCCACGAGAAAATGGATTATAGCCTCCACGATACTTCCCAGTGACTTGTTCATTTGTAGTCCGGCCACGAGAAACAAGGATGATGTGAAATCCCGTTAAGCCCAAAATTGGTATGAACAAAATCGAAATCACCACCATGATAGAAATTCTATAATGTAAATAGTAAAATTGATTCAAAATTGATTATCTAATCAAATCTTATAGTATAGTAGAATTTCAATATTTAAAAAATAATGTTGAACAAGAACGACTTACGATACTACCGAAGATGCTTGGGACATTTGGTCCATATGTTGATACATGTACGCAAAGCAAAGTCCAAAAATTGTAATCATGTGAACTGATAAGGATAATAAAAACATAAAGAAATAACGGTAGTTGCGCCGGCCAATGCAGTTATTGACCCAAGGGCAATGATGATCAAAAGTCTGCAAGTTAAAAACATTCAAGTAAGTACAAACATACAAAATACACCGCTACAATTATAATTGGCAAGATTGATTATTTATACACCTCTATACAATTGTTGCACACACTACAGTGCGAGCATCTTGGAGGACGGTAAAATTGGCAAGTGACGCACCACTTCATTCGAACTGTAATGCCATGCACTTCCACAGTTTTGTATAAAGGTGCTCGGAGATCATCGTTATCATCCTCCCCTCGATTTGCTGAGCACAAAAAAAATCACAAATTAATAAAAACATTCTTACTGACGAATGTCACAAATGAATATTTTTTCCTAGCACACCTTTGGGTATGATACCAGGGTCCATAAAGGTAGCAAGGGTGAAATTTGCCACCACCACAACCGTTACGATTCCCTCCCCAATAGGAATCCATATCGAATAGTTTGATACGTACCACTCCGTCCTGCATTAAAGACACAGAATGTGAATTATTACACACACAATTAAAATTAATTGAGCCAATTCATTCTGGTACGAAAATTCTCTTACAGGAAGACAAAAAATAGTGCCGTCGTCGAGATAAGAAGCAGCCACGCAACGGTGGCCGGCAGGTACCGTTTGACTTCTTTGCACTTTGACATTTTGACGCCTACGTTGTTCGAATCCGTTCCGCCGGTTGAGAACGGCATTACCAGTTCTGCTCTCCACACGATGACCACCCCCACATTTCTCTTATAGTTCTAATAAATGAAGTTTTCACAATAATAATGCACGCGTTCACAACCAATCAGTAGTTCACCGTAGTAAGTAGCAGAGTTGCATAAAAGTGTCCCCAACTAATTAATAATAGCAAAAACTTTCTCTTTTTTTTCTTCTTTATAAAATGGCACTAAATGAATGACTTAGGTTTAATATACTCAACTAGTGAAACATGCATTATTCTTGAAATACTGATGACGAGTCTTATTCTGATGCCGCACAATCATACCCACGAAATAACACTAATCACGAACGACACAACTAGGATTATTCAGTCAGGCAGAAATTGCAAACTGGACACAACCGCAGAATCATAATCGGCAAGATACATAATAATAACGTGATATAACATCAGCACTACTACTATTATTCCTACTACTAATTAATTTTGATTTAAAATGGCATTTATTAAGCAGAGCAATTGATTATATTGATGTAAGGCCGCCTTCCTCCTCCTTCTCTCCTCAAATTCCTGACAGTCCACCCACCCAGAATTATCTGCTCACAATTTAACCCCAGAAATAAAAGTCCAGCCAATGTGGGTGGGTGGGTGGTTGGTTGATTTTTGATTGCTAATCGTAAAATGAGGGCACTTGACCGTCCACGCTTTTTCGAGACACACAGGTCACTTTTGTACAAGTTTTGCTCGGATTCACTCCACCGTAAGAAATAAAATATGAAATAGGCCTTGATTTGTGGGAGGTTGGACAGGTTTCCGAACTTTGAGCGGGTGGGAGTGGTTGGAAAAGTGGAATTAGTGGGAATTGGACGTTGCTGTGGCTGACGTCTCGGCTGAGTGAAAAGGAGGACCAGGGCAAGAGAGAGAGGAATTCATAATTTCGCAAATTTCCAACCCAAGATCACTGTTGTTGGTCGCACCACCACCACGAATGCCCAAACCGATGGCACTAGTCTCACTTTGATCTCGCTTCACGCTACCCAGTGTCGGACACAGGATTACCCACCCATTATTTCCATTCTCCGATTTCTCCTACTCTTTACTTATTATGCTATTAGCTACCTACATCCAGTCATTCAGTCAGTCAGTCAGTCAGTTCAGTACACCAGTCCGAAAAAAGGTCCGGCGCAACTCCGGAACTGCTGCTGGGAACCGAAAAAGAGTTTCCTCTCTTCTCACTTTGTTCCTTCCTCATTGGAATTACAGGGTGATGAGATGAGATGGGATGATATTACGATACGACGAGGAGCATTGTAAATGACGATGAGATGACATAAGCGATATGTAATATTATTATGGGATAGCAGTGAAAGTCAAAATCATCGACCGAGATTTAATTATTAATTATGAGATAAGGTCCAAGTGTTCGGAGATGGGATAAATGATAAATCCGCCGAATACTAAAGGTAAAAGACCAAGATCAATTATAAGATCAAGATAAAAAACATAACACAAAATAAATTTCAACAATAGACGAATGTCATCTAAATCCCTTTGCCATGTTGCAAATATTTCGTTTTGATAAATACCAAGCGTAATTTAGTCATTGTTTAGACTACAAATATGAGACAACCAAGTAGTCATTCAATTTGTAACTTGAAGCAGCCACCGTATTTTTTCTAATTCGGAGTGTGTACAAAAGTCAACTCTTTGTTATTTATAGCAAGTAACTAATTGTAAGTTTTACATGAATTGATCTATTTAGATATTTTTAAATACATATATTTTGACTGACATCAGCAAATGTATTTTGATTTGGACTTCGAATCTTAAAAGTATGTATACTTTGCACATGCATGTATTTTATCAATGAATGAATCCCTGCGAAATGATCAGTAAAAAATTACTCAATTACTTGGATTTAACACGAGAAATTTAGTTTAAAAGTAATTTATGACATGTTAGACTAGTGCGGATAGCTAGTTTCCCCAAGAGTTACATGGTTTTCGAGTGGAAATGCCGGTAGAAAAATAAATAAAAGAAACATTGTCCAATTTCTTTAGCTAGAAAAATTTGTTTCACAATTTCATATTTTTGTACGGACTTGACTTGAAATTCAAGTCTTGAATGAAGCCAAATTGTGTAAGTATTTTTTAAAATTTTAATTGTTTCGTCAAGAGTTGCATGTCAAGTAAATTGCCAGCTTCAACATGCAGAGTAAATCATATGCAAATGCAACGTGCTATTCGGAGTAAAATAATTATATCATGTGCCTTGTCTATATTTGTCACTGATGTACGCATTTATAAAATGCTAACAAAAATAACAATCGAAAATGATAAGCTAAAATAATGAGGGTTAAGTCTGAATATTGTTTTAATTAACTTATTTAATATGCATTTATGTTTATTTATCTAGGTAATTTTTCTAGCTATGATTCCAACAACTACACTGCAATCATTATGACTTTGAAACATTGCAAGCTGACCTTTCATCAAAAGTCCCAGCAGTCCCAGCAGAAGGCATATGCTAGTTAGTAATAGTTTAGTTTTTAATAAATATGTGGTTATGAATAACAAATAATTTATTATAATTGCAATTGATGCATATCTATTTTAACTATGTAGGCGAGGACTTGGCCTTATGTTCAAAAGAATTTCCAACCCTGAAGGAGAATGACATTGTCGAAATAGCCACGACGGACGATAGCAGCTCTTCATTCTTGCTCAAGGTCACCAAGGGTTCACTGAGAGATGATTTTACGCCAAAAGGTATCACGTTAATATGACGATAGAACAGTATTCATTTGAAAGTTTATTATTTAAAGAAGCCCAATTAACAACTCCTGACCGTTCTTTCAGATACTATCAGCATCGATCAAGCCATTGGAACTGCATTTCAACTGAAGCCATACATCGATGTCACATTAACAAAGGTTGACGCCGTTTGTGTGGAACTTGATTCTGTTGAACTCACTTTCAAGGACCAATATTTAGGACGGAGTGAGATGTGGAGGCTGAAAAATAGTTTGACAAATAGCTGCGTCTATCACAAGAAGAAGATCGAGTTCTGTTCGAGTACAATTCGATGTCAAGTTCATGAATTATGGTCGGGTGGGCTCGTGGTCACTTCCGGGCTTGTGACTGAGGCTACCAAAGTGAGACTGCATAAATGCATAAAACTAGATAATTATTATAATAGATAATAAAAAGCATACTACATAAATCTGATTGCTTGGTTGCTTGGTTTATAGATTGTGTTCAGATCGTTAACTTCCATGGTGTACCTGTTCATCCAAATGAGCTCAGAGATGTGGGAATTTGATATTTGTGGGGACTTGTATTTTGAGAAGGCTGTGAACGGATTCTTGTCTAAACTTTTTAAAAAGTGGAAGGTATGCACAGCATTTAAAAAATGTATTATATAAAATAAAATGAATATCTAGATTCTACATGGACTTCCCATTCAATAAAACTAGCTGATAACACAGCGTGTGCTATATTTTAGAGTAATGGGAGCAACCATGAAGTCACCATTGTGCTTTTCTCTCGACTTTATTACGAAGCCTCCAGCCTCGAAAGATTTCCAGAAGCAATGCGAGAATGTTTACTTACTGATTATAAGGGTCGTTTTTATGAAGATTTTTATCGGTACATACTTGTAATATGAACTAATTTGTGTTTTTTAATTACAAACTAAAACGTTTCTCTACTTCCCTACAGGGTCGTAGTACAAAATGAGAAGTATGAAGATTGGAGAAATACTTTAATCAGTTTAAGACAAGTCTTTGTCGATTATCGTGAGTACCTGTTGAACTTTCATCAACGGAAATTCCCAAATATAAAAGTTCCTAAGGCGTACGTGTCGAGTGCAGCGCAAGGAAACTTTCTTGAAGTACTCAACATGTCCTTAAATGTTTTTGAGAAGGTAAAACATTTAATTTGATGATTTACAAATATTTGCAAGTATATAAAGTAACTGTATTTTGTACTATTAACTTATAGCACTTTGTGGACAGAAGTTTTGATAGAACGGGTCAACTATCTGTTGTAATAACTCCGGGAGTAGGGGTTTTTGAGGTGGATCGAGATCTTACTAATGTGACAATGCAGCGAATAATTGACAACGGTGTAGGAAGTGACCTCGTCTGCGTAGGCGAACAACCCCTACATGCCGTACCTCTTTTAAAAGCAAGACACAAAAGTTATATAGAACAGTAGTTATATATATATAGATTATTACATATATTATTTAATTAATTATCCAGTTTCACAACAAGGCAACTCATCATGACGTTGATGACTACAGCATGCCTCACTGGATAAATTTAAGGTATTTTCTTATTAAATAAGGTACTATACATTTATGTGTATACATACTACTCTCTAATTAACATGTCGTTCTATAAATTATGTACATTTTGTTTCATAGTTTTTACTCTTCCAACAAACAAGTTGGTTACGCCACATTCGTGCCTAGGATAAAACTGCCCAGTCTAAGTGATTCATCTCGAGAGACGATTTCCGTGTTCAGCCCACAATGGCGAAACCCGTTGGCTTCCATTCATCTCGGAGATGAGTCTGGCTGGCCCAACTCCGTTTATGATTTTGACAGCTATGATGACTCCATTTTTAAACCCTCAAGCAGTCAATTAGCATCCAAACAACGTCGAATTAAGCACATGAAGCGACCCAAGACTTTAGTCGATTCTGATTTTTCAAGAATTTTTATGAGGCAGAATTCTGAGCCAGAAATCCATGCGACCACTTCAACCGATATGTACTCAAGTACAACTTCAATCGCCACCGGAAGTTCGAGTCTCATTTTATCATCTTCTACACAGCCATCCTCAGCAATCACAATTCCATCAAAAATCAGGTTTCGAAAGTCGGACAATGTGTATTCCTCATCCTTTGGTGCTCTAAATATTGAACGTATAATAAAATATTTGTATTCATAATTTTTCCGTTCGATCCAATTTCAAATTAATATTATTCTAGCTGGATCATTTTCGTCAGTAAAGCCCAGAGTAGCTCTTACTCCTATTAATGATCGATGGATTAAGGAGGGCACAGCTTCTGGTGCAACGAAAGAACGTCATGAAGGATCGTCACCCTCTATGAGTAGTCATGGCGGATCTCCAAAAGAATTAGATTTTAAGGGAAGATTTGGAAATTTGCGTCGCCCTTCGCGATCCCTCATCAATCCATTTGATCCGTCTCATGCCGTCATCAAACTGACATCCAACCGGAGGCGATGGACACATATTTTTCCTCGAGGCCCAAGTGGAACTTTTATTCAGCAACATCATTTTTCAACTGGGCTGAATAAACTTGACATTGTACCTGAAGGAGAAGCTACAACTGCAATTGGGAATACCATGAATGACGGTATGATTTTTTAAGAAGCGTGCACAATTTAACATCCGAATTACTTATATTTGGTAAAAAGGTTTAAACAATTACTTTGTGATTACCTTAAGGAACTCATTCCCTGAGTCGACAAAGCATAAAAGATTCCCCTGATGGGTCGACGCGAACTAAAAAAGTGACCAGATTATGGGGGGCGACTGGAGAGCAGGAATGGACTCCTGCTCTAACAACTGGTGTGGACTGGAAATCATTAACCATTCCTGCATGTCTTCCATTAACTACGGACTACTTTCCGGACGAGCGGAGTCTTAAAACGGATTACCTTGTTTCTGACTACAGTCTTCTTCCTGATGATGTGAATGCCGACTATATTTCGCAAAGGGCAATTTATCGACGCCCACTAACTACCAAAGAGGTTTTCTTTGAGCTTGTTTCGCAAAGATTAGCTCAAGGCTTTCAAACCGTGATTCGACCCAAGCATGAGAAACCACCCATAAAACAACAATCTTCCTTCCTTCGGCTAAATATTCTCGGAATTGATGATGAAACGGAAGAGTATTTCCTCAGCATCGGACGCATATTTCATCAAATTTCGTTATCCAGCTCAACAATCACTGTAACACGATACAGGCCGAGGTGCTATTTTAATTTTAAAATAATGAGTGAGTTACGTATTTATATCTTACAATATCAATGTCCATACTAGACATCCTTACCCCGCGATCAAGGTTTATTACAAGTACCGATTCTATGCCCCTAACAACAACAACTTTGAAGTTTCCTATGCGGATTTTAGCACCGAAAAATTGGAAAATTACAACTGGAATTACCTTGGTGAGTTTGGATAACCATTGAAATATGTGGCAATATGATAATATAATGAAAGTTCAATTACCCTGTTAAATAAAGTACACAAACTTCCCTATAACTTAATTTAATTTGCTTTTTCAAGATCATTACATTTGCACGCGGGGAGATACTGATTTTGCTTTAACGGAGGTAAAAATATATAATAATTCTTTGTAGTGTATCAACTGAAATTTAATTTGTAATGAGTGTTTATAATGCTATATGTAGAATTTAAAGTACTGGAGATTTCGAATGTTCATCCTGCCCATTAATCAAGTCGTCCTGAAACGATTAATGGGGGAGGGAGTTTCTCCTGAGTGTAATATTTACGAGCCATTGAAGCTGGAAGAGAAGCGATCCCATATTCAAGAGTTTTTAAAATTTATTGAAACCTGCATTAATCGCATTAGACGACCAAATACTTCTATTCCGAAAGGACCACGGGTGAACATTGTAGTTAGAGACTTTTATTTACATATTTTTATGTTGTCGTATGTTTCATTTTAATTCCTTTCTCATTATTAGAAAAATATCAAATATTTAACATTCGACTTCATTTAGGGTGCAAGTGGTGGTAGCGTGAGCAGTATGGGTTCTGGTTCATTTCGTGAACGTGTTAATAGCAACCAGTTACCCGATCGACCTAGAATTCGGTAAGAATATTTTGCATGTAATCTAAAATGCAATGTCATTATAAATATTATTTATCAGTATATTAAAATTATGTAAATTATTCTGCAGTTCGGGCTCCAAACTGGCCGAGAAACAGCGCCATGAAAGTGCAAGTGGCAGGATATCACCCTTAGACAGCCCTCTGGATTCCAAGATATTCAGTTTGAGTGGAAATTTAGGGGAACCATTTCCAGACCTAACTCCTCTAACATTTCCCCCTCGAACTGAAAATACTACCGAGGGAGAATTGGTACCAATTATGTGTCTCAAAGCAGATGCAACGTTTAAAGACATTGTGATTGCAATGCGCAATCAAGCGACTGGATTATCTTTTATCAAAGGTATTAAACCCCATTGAATCATTTTTTTAATAGTTTGTACTGAACGTACTACACTATTATTAACTTTCAATATTTAGTTACGGGCTTGGAATTGCATCCGTGGACATTTGTCAGCTATGACGCTATCATGTGGTTGATCAATCGCATGGAAGGAGTCAGTACAGATTCAAAGGCCATGGAAATTTTCGATGTAAGCGTTGATCGATTTTTAACAATTACAGAAAACACATTAAATAGTTTGTGCTTTAATTAATCGTAATTAAAATTTAGGGAATGCTTAATGAACGTTTCATCATTCATGCCTCTGGGGATTCTAGTCACAAGTTTAAGAACGGATTTTATATTTACTACATCAGCAACAGCGACATAGAAGGTGAGCAGATAATATTAAATTAATTCGTATCTCTCCTGGATTGCAAAATTTTGTTGCGTTGCTTACAATTACATATGCTCTATCTGTATCTGTAGGAATGGAACCCCTCATCCCACACCATGATAATGGGATGCTTCACAATGAATGGATGGAAGTTGATGTGCCTTGCGAGTGCGAGCTGAATATCGACTCAGTGACAAAAAATAGTTTGCTAAATTTTGATTGCAGTAGCGGAAACCATAAATGGAAAGACGTTTATGTTGATGTGGACACAAGTAGAAAGAGCGATCGTCAAGAGTGGGGTCATATTCGGTATCAGTCTCTTTTCAAACCAGACGAAGCCTTCGAAATAACTGTGCAATGGATTCAGGCAACTGGCTCAATAATCACAGACTTGGTGTGTCTATCAATTTATACTGAAAGCTAAAACGAGTGTTCGCAACTAATATACATAATTCTAATATGTGAATGAATATGCAGGTGCAAGCATGGTCTAGAAAAGCACAACAATGTAATTTGCAACTAGTTCCAGTCCCCACGGATCCTTTTGCACTGCCAAATTATTCTTCAGACCCATTGCGTGGCCCAATAAAGTTGACCATTGATTCACTCACTGGTTGGTGACCATAAATCTAAAGTGTGAAATGTAAAATTTAATAGATGTTGAAGCTAGCTGATATTTATTTCTACTTTAGAAGGTGACGCTGGTGATTCGTCTTTAACACCCTCTGAAGTAATGTACTTTCAACACACTGTTGCTTTGAAATTTGGCTTCGTGCGATGTGCACCACATGCTCCGGCAGCACTCTTTCATGCCTTGAAGCCAAACGATTTACACTACGTCCATTCGAGCGGAAATATGTTTCTTATCGTTCCAATATGCCAATCAGTGGCCGATGTAAGTTTTAAGCAATTCATGATTTTGTGAAGTTGCGTTATTCATGAAATCTAATTAACAGGTCTGTTTCCTGTGGTCGTGGAACTACTTGGTCAGCAAGAGGTGGCGAATTTCATCCAACCCTGCCCTGGGGGATGATACTTTTATGTTTAAGGTGCTACACGACTTTAAATCATTTTGTGCCAATGAAAATAATCGTCTTACAAACTTCTGGAATTCAACCGTCATGAATCCTCAAAGTCCTGATGTTGATGAGACACTGTTAGATTCATCGCTTACTTCTGTTCCAGCATCAGAAACATTATAAAAATAAAATAACGGTGGCATTTTACATTTCGTGATACATTTGTTGCTTTATTGTTAATTTTGATATTTAAATCTCATTTCACATCGGTAGATAGAATAAACAAACTTAGCACCCCACGTTTCTAGCAAAAGCGCGTAAAATTATTTCACAATTTTGTCGAAACATTAAAACAATTCAATTTTTAAATGACTTGAACTTAATTAATTGTGTGTTAATTACATTCGTTAAAAAACATTCAACTCGAAATTAAAAACTTGATACTTTGTTATGTAAAACGAATAAATTATAATCTTTTATACTTCACAGCAAATTTTACTTTCGTACAATCAAAAATGTCCTCATTTTTATCTAAGCGTGCATGTGTGCCTGTGATGAACGTGTTAATAAAGTCGAGATGACTTTAAATGAGTAAAAACGAGCACGTGGCTAAAATTACAATAAATTAAAAGAGCGACAATAATTGCATGATAAATATGTATGTACGCACAGTGCATTATGCACTTACACTTATATACAATTAGGACGGACACAATATGTAATATGTAACAATATGCAATTAGTAATTGCTAAACTGAGGGAGCAGCATAGTATAAACAGAGGCACTGAGGCGGCTTAGTTTTTCGTTAATAAATATTTAGCTGCTACTACAATTACTTCATTAGGGTTCCTTAAAAAACAACGAACATATTTCTAATTGTCGACAAGTAGTTGCATTATAATATAACAATTAAATAGTATGTACTACATTATGTTGTTGTTGCAAGTGAACACATACATTACATTACATTTCTTGTAAATGCTACAAAAAGGATGCAAATTAATAGTTCCGAAAGGGTCACATGTTTCATCTTTGGTTTGATACAGTATTATTATTACATGAGTTTAATACGTCTCCGCATCATCACAATCATCCGTCCAATGTCCCCATACTGCAACAAAATGAACATATTTACTTATGGTTGTTTATACACAATTTAACATTTCACATGAAATTATGAAACATTGAAATGTGAAGTTTTACGTATTTACCTTCACAAGAGTCACAATAAGGCCGTACGTCTCCTCTTTTAACTCCGTGATGACTGTCAGCACTTGCGGCGGGGGTAGCTTGTGTTGGACAATCTTCGGTATCATGGACATCGAATTTTTCACAAATGTCGCAATATAAACGCATCGTAGCTTGTACAGTTTGATTACTAAATATGTAATTGAAAAAAGTTAATTTAGTTTATTTTCTGATTACATTTCAAGGTTGTTGAAAGTTAATAAATTTGATTAATTTAAATAATCCTACCTGTCACCAGCCCCTTCGTTCTGTCCTGTATTACTGGTTTTTCCATACATCAAGATATCCACTTTGGCAGATAATTCTTGATTTTTAGATTGTAAATCAACAATGATAGAGTTAAGGAATGAGACATGCGCCTCTAAATCGACTGCATCTGAATTTTCGGCAAAATTGTTCTTCTTTTTTGCCTGCTCCTCCACCTGCTTCGACTTCTCCTTATATTCTCGCTCAAGATCGGCCAAATTTTTAACCAAGCGTCGATTATCTTCCTTCAGCTTTTGAACTACGTCATGTTGTGCCATGGCTTCGCTAGCGTGGCTTTTTGTCTCTATTTCCTGTCTGCTTAGATCACTCTGCATTCCAATTAATTTCGCATTGGTATCCTTCAAACTATTTTCTGTATCGGCTGTATTTTTCTTTGCGGATTGCAGTTCTTTTTCCAATATTCCTATCCGGTCTTCACGTGCTAAAATTTCAGACTGTAATTTGCTATTATGCTGCCCAAGTTTGTCCAGCTCAGAGTCTAGGACGGTTTTCGTACTGGTTGACGACTCAAGGAGACGTTGCAAGTTTTCAAGTTCCTTCGTCTTGTGGGCCAATTTGTTGGAAAGGTCGCTGTATTCGGAGTCTTTTGAGGCAATTTCTTTCTCCAGGTTGGAATAAGTTAGAGACTGTTTGTTCAACTTGTCCTCCAGATCTTGAATCATTTTCACCTTTTCACCCGTCTGCAGTTCGGATTCGCCACACTTCTTTTTCAAATTGGTGACTTGAGATTCTAATTCGGAGAGTTGAAGACTCCTCTCGTGTACTTCCTTGTCCAGTGTTGACCCAGCTGAGAGTGATTTCTGTAGGCTGGCTTCCAGGTCGGCAATCGTTTTCTCTAAGCGACCCTGGCCAGTGGTAAGTTCTTCATTTTTGCGAGTCAGCGCAACCACAGAGGATTCTGTTTCCTTAATTTTATTTTCTCGAGTTTGCAATTCGAGCTCCAAAGTTTGTACATCGTTGCCTCGTCCGGCTATAATCCCTTCTAGCTTGGAGATTGAGTCTGCCCTGTTCTTTAATTCTTGCTCGAATTCAGTGAAACGCTGCTTCTGCTTTCGGCATTCCTCATCTAAGGACGAGTAGTTGGAAGTCGTCTTCTTTAATTCATCATGAATGGTGTCGTGTTCTGCTGATTTCTGTGCCAGCAAAGATTCTAGGTTTGAAATTTTACTAGATTTGTCTTTTAATTCAGCCTGTAATGAGTGAATTTGGTTCTGCAATTTTTTAGCGTCAATTTCCAAACTGTCCACTGTTGCTGATCGGGTGGCGATTTCTTTCCTGACCTCAGCAAATTCTCGTTCCACTTCCTTCCCAGCATTTTGTAGCGTTTCAAACTCATTTTCCTTCTTCTTTAGTGCCGAAAGAGATTTGGCAGCTTCTTGTTTCAGGTTGGAAATAAACTCCTCGTGTTGTTTGATGAGGGTGGATTGACGGGCAATTTCACTATTCATTTCCACCATGCTATTTGAATTTTTAGATATTTCAGACTCCAACTCGGCCACTTTTTTGCTCTTCCCCTGCAAATCTGCTAGGACTTTGAGATTAGTTTCTTTCCCCGTAGAGACATCCTGTTGAAGCTGATCATACTTTTCGGACGCCGCCAACAACTCTGCTTTTAATTCTTTTACCAGTTTTTCCTTAGCTGCAACTATTTCCTGTGTGTCGGACGCAGTTTTTGTTTTTTCTTGTACTTTGATTTCCAGGTCGGACAGTGACTGCTTCAACTTTCGGGCTTCTTCCTCCAACTGACCGATCCTCTCGCCACGTTGAACGACTTCTTTTTCCAACTCGCTCCCTCCTGCAGTGCGTTGTTTCAAATCCTCTTGGAGACGCTCCAAGGCCGCTGACTTCTCCTTTGACTCGCCTTCCAGGTTCCGATAGCGTTGATTATTGCTTTTTAGGTCCTCCTCCAACCCTTTGACTCTCTGCAAGTTGCGTTGCAGCTCAGCCTCGACTTCTTGATGAGCTTGCTTAGATTGATCACATTGAGTTGAAAGGAGATCTTCTTTTGCTTTGGACGCGCTAAGATCAGCGGCCAACTTGTTGTTTTCTGCCTCTTTTTTTGCAACTTGTTCAGCCAACTGTTCATTTTCTGCTTTCTTTTCCCCCACCAACTTCTCCAATCCGCTGGCCCTGGATTGAAATTTGGCCAGTTCTGCTTGTAACTCTTGAGACTTTTCATGTTGAAGGTGAGATTGTTTTTGTAAGTCTTCACTGCTCGTAGCATGCTTGGCTTTTTCAGACTCAATGGTCTGTTTCGCCTCTTTGAGTGATGTTTCAACAAGAGTGAAATTATTTTGTAGAGTTTCCAGAGAGGATTTGACCTTTTTATGATCTATGATAAGTCCTTCATTCTCTTTAGAGAGCGTAGAATATGCAGCTTGTAGGTCTTCCTTTTGTTGTTGGAACTCTTTAATTTGTCGTTCTAAATCATTTCTACTTTGATGTTGAAGATTTAATTCTTTTTGAAGCTGTTCCACGCTGCTGGCCGACTTTTTGACTTCTTCTTTAAAATCGATCTGCACCTTCTCAAACTTACTGGTCCTTTCATCCAAGTCGGTGGTTAGGGATTTTAGGGAAGATTTAAGCTGTTCAATTTGGTCGAGTTGTTCGCATTTTTCCTTTTCTAATCGAGTCATGTTCAAGGTAAGTTCTTCATATGACTTGGTCTTGTTGGAGATAATTTCTTGTAATTTACTAATCTCAGCGTTACTCTTGCCTAACAGTTCGTTAAGTTTCCCTTCGGATGAACCCTTATTGTCAACCAGGGCGGACAATTCTTGTTTCTGCTTGGTCAGAGAGGCAATATTTTCTTCTGCCTTGGACAATTTCCCTTGGATATCTTTTATAGCTGCGTCGCGGGTTTCGATTTCTGTGCGGAGTTGACTCGTATTCGAATTTTTGTCAAGGGTCAAACTCTCCACTGTTTGCTTATAGTTGCTCAAGCCGACTTCCAAGTCTTCAATCTTTGCATTCAATTTCTCCACGGATTGCAGTGCTCCGTCACGTTCTTTTTCTATTGACTGGGCTCGGGCTTTCATGGTTTCCAGCATGGTGGCCCGCTCTTGTAGCTTCTTGTGCATCTCGTCCATTTCTCCAGTGATTTCCGCAGTGCCAGACTCCTGACTGGCCATGTTGAGCGTCAACGTTTCCATTTGTTGAACTAGATCCGCCTTCCCAATCTTCTCCTCTTCCAGATTAAATTGTAAATCTTCCATTTTTCTCTTCTCCTCTTCCAAGGCGAGTTTTAATTTTGAAATGGTTTCATTATCCGCCTCGGCCATGGCTGCCTGTTTCGAGCTTAGCTCTGCCATGGCGGCCCTATTTTCTTGAGAAAGTTCTTCACATTTTCTCGAAATGTTTGCAACCTCCATTCTGTCAAGTTCCCGCTCCTTGATTAAATGTTCGATATGGTTTTCCTTCTCCTTGAGCACGGCTTGCATTGAACAGGTTGGAAGACATTGTGGTCCACGGGCAGGAACACGCCTGCCAGTACTGCGAGATTGGACAGAAGAGGCGAGACTAGACATGGAGACCAACGACTCACGAGAACTGTGGCGTCGCAGAGTCCGGTTCATAGGAGAACTAGTAACTTTTGATGCAGGAACAAAAATTCCACGGGCATCTTCACAGTGAAAATACCTCTTGCCCCCAACGCTTCCATCGTTCTTGCCTGAATTTGGTTTATCCAGTTCTACCCCGCACCATTGTCCCGCTGCAAAATCAGTGACACCAAAATATCGTAGGATGCCAATCTTGGTTCCCATCGCAGTTGACACAATGACTCGTTCCCCCACTTGGAGACCCCCAGGTGTGGAAGGTTTAGATCCAAAGGGGCTGGGTGATCGCTCATTGCCAGGAGTCGCTGCGAATGAGAAGGAAGGCATGCGTTGTCCCATCGGGGTTTGACTCATCGTGGGACCACCAACTTCTGACCGAGCAGGGGAACTGACGGGTTCTTTGAAGACGCGATTGAGCTTAGTGAATAGGCCGTGATTTGGTGAACACTGGAACAAGTACGATATTAAATTTTGTTAATTAAAGGTTATCATACAAATTCAATTACAAATTTAAAACATTGTACCTGAAAATATCTTTGACCTTTAACTTGTCCATCATGGTTTCCTTTAAAAATAGAAAGTAGACTTAATTTTTAGAGTTCTCCTGATCGTCAAGTAATCCACGTACGTACCACTAGGTTTATCCAAAGCGATTCCAGCAAATTCTCCCTTAGCAAACGATAGTTCCCCAATGTAGCAGATCTTCCCACGTTTAGTCACATCTCCGTTGACATACACAATATCTCCAATAGCAAAATTCTCTGCTGTCAAGCCAGAATCTATACAAAATATTATAAGCCTTAATTCAATTGTTCTTTTCTTAATAAATTTGTCGTTTTAAATTTATTTGTAGGTACCTTTTGATACTTGGGAAGTTTCTGCACCACTGGCAACTGAAGACGCTGCGGTGCTCTTGAACTTGATGGAGTTTGAGGATGGTATTCTTGACATGAGGGGGTTAGGTGTTGGTGGGGGTTGGCTGGGTGTAGCTTTCGAAGCAGAAGACGAACCAGATTGACTACCACTTGCACCGGCTTTATTATCCGGAGCGGAAGGAGCAGTGAAAGTTGCACCACTCACAGCGGTCGGCTGCTTCAAAGCAGTCGGCATCCGAATACCGGATGGCTTAGAGGAAGACATTTCTAATCTAAACACAACAATTAAAATTAATGTATAAGGTAAAGGTGAAACATTACGTCTCTATGTACAATATGAGCATATAGTGTAAGAAATAAACATACCAGTCGTACGTACTTCTTAAAGGAACTTAATGTGAACTCTACAAAAAAGAGCTAGACTGCCATTAGTTTATTGTCCCCTTTTAACTATTACGCAATTATCGCTTCTTCTTAAAGTCTTAAACAACAAGCAAACTTAACTTAATCACAACCGTTTTCTATTTATCTTCATGGTGAGCTCGCAAGGGAAAACACAAGAAGACTGCGAATTTATTAAAATACTGTAATCATAAAATATAAAACCAGTTACAAGTTTAACGGAACAATTAGAGCAATTTAAAAAATTAGTCGAAGAAGTAGAGAAATTGTGTATGCTTTTTTGGCGCTGGCCGCCGCCAATTTCTTCTCGTTGGTGACACTGAGACTGGTTTTTAAATCCAAAATCTCAACTTGCATGATGACATTTCATTTCCGTTTTAGATTTAGTGTTTCTCAGTTTAATTATTTAGTCGACCTTGTTCGCATATAAACATAATTAACATTGTGGTTACTAATTGTGGTGACTAATTATGACTGCAATGCGGTTAAAATTTTACTTTCATCAAATGCAAACAAACGGATAGCAAGAGAAATGATACCCCTTTATCAAAGTCGGATGTTTGGTCGCACTTTTTATCTAAATTTGCATAATAAATAAACCGTGATAAGTATTATACGCCGTCCATTTCATCCTTATTAATATGAAGGGGAGGGCGAAATCCTTCAAGTTTTCAAGAAACGAAAAACATTAGCTGTAGTAGCAATTTGAGACTTTCTCAATCCGCCTCCAAAGCCGTTCCATTATATTTATTTTTTTTATTCATCTCAATCAGACTTTCGATTAAAGTGGGCAATAAAATAACGAAATAGAGTGAAAATAATGGATGTGAATAAAACTGTGAAATTTTTGCGACTCAATTTTTCCATTTCGTTTGGCGAAAGGCATGTTACTTGTACTTATGTATGAGGAACTAGTGCAGAAAGTGGTATATTATATGAGGAATACTTTACATTATGACTTGTCTCCTATCATTATTCTCAAAAATAAACGGATCTCGACCTCGATATGCCCATGTAACTCTAGACATCAAATTAAATCAAATCACTACGTTGTATAACACACAACTTCCTTATAATGATCACCATCGCCGCATTATTCGCATTTATTTATGGTCCAGACATGACTGATGTGTCTCCTTTCTCGACGTTCTTTCTCGAAACTCGTTCTTAACCCAATCATCCAAGAGATACGTTATAATCAATCCCATCACCTCTCAAGGCGATCAATCTCATCTCTCCTTTACTTTTGCTTTTACCGATACTCATGAGCTGGAAGGTGAAAGTTGGTAAGCGAAAGAGAGGGAGAGAAAGCAAGTTTTTTTTAGATTGTTCGCTTCAAGTGAAGATTGATCGCATTATGTGTGTGTACTTTGCAGTTAGGAGAATACGTCCCTTCACCTTTACAAAAATAGAGTTAAGATATATGTGTATGCACATAAAGGCTTATTTTACATTAAGAATCTCCCATAGTTGTAGGCAAAATTCATATTTAGTAGCAAATAAATACACGTCTAATCATGTCTAGTTTCCTGTGGACTAAACATGTATGCATACACATTTGAGCATACATAAATTGCGGAAATAAGCGACTTTCTCGGGAGAAAGGGCAACTTTTAAAATTAATCCATGCCGTTGGGGAGAAGCATGTACACACTCGTTCGTCGATTCGATCCATATCCGTCAATTATATTGCTCAATCTTTGCCTTTTCCCATCTCCTCCTCGGATTGAATCTCGCACATGACTGCATTACTTGCGTATAAATCTCAAACAGGTAAAGTTACTTGAGCATTATGCTCATTAAAGCTGGGTGTGTCCTTCAACATTCTCACTCAATCAAAGGGACAAACTTGTATGTATCAAGTAAAGTTTCAAGATATAAATAACACAGCAAATATTATGCATGTCCAATTGACTGATAATTGAATTCACAAACTGTCAAGTTATTTCTCCTTCAAAGGAGAAAACTGAATACATACATGCTCAAAGGAATAGGCAAGCGGGTGAGTGAGCAAATAAACATATTGTCATTTGTGAAAGTCACTCCAGGGAGAGTACGTCTCTCCTCCTGGATGGATTGTCGTTCAAACATTTCATTATTACATGAGCACAACAAAGCTTAACTTTCCCCACCTCCCACCGCTGCCTGCCATTCCGGTCGACCCTCTCCGCCTGAACCTTAATGATTGGCCGTCATTGATTTGGAATTGCATCAGTGTCTGACTACCGATGACTACTACCTACAGGCCGGGCAGGCAGGCAGGTTAGGTAGGCTTGTCTGTCGGAACACCAAATAACACACAGCAGGAGCTTTTGTGGTGGGTGGGTGACTACGTACTGCTGGGTGCCTGAGTTTGGTGGAGGCTTCACATTTCACTGGGGGAAAGCCTCAGCTCAGAAGAAGAACAAACCGATCCAATGATGTGAACAAGTGGTTTCACCAGTCTTATACAACCGAATAGAGTCGAGGAGCCGGGAGAGCCCGTCCTCGTCGTCATCATCATCATCACGGGAATAATGGCATGGCATGGCGTGTTGGTTTTAAACGGGTAGTAGGACTGAGTGAGTGAGAGGAAGGAGGAAATGTAGCAATGGCAGCAGATCAACAACCTGGACAAAACACCGAAGGGGAAATCATAACCATGCACACACGGCAGCAGCAGCAGCACCGAGAAGAAAATTACTTCACGCTGTTGTTTTCTCTCTGGAGGAGAAAATGCACCTCAATTCAATCCACCATCACCACCCACTCCTTCCTTCCTTCCTTTCCTTCTACTTATGTAGCCACGAAATGAACATCTTTTCCCACTTAGTAATTATGCATGCTTCGGATCTCCGCACACCTGCCATTATTCTTTCATCATTATGAATCTCATTATTTTTGGAGAAGAGAAGGACGACAGCCAGCCTCGCCTTGATGGGACACGTGTGGGAGGAGGCTGGCTGACAGAAATTATGCGGCGGGTGAGTAGTGAATGGAATGCAGGTGTCGTCCAGGGAAACAAGATCCGATCCGATCCCCAAGAAGCAAGTGGCAGAGTGAACCGAACAAGTAAAAGTGTGCAAGAGAAAGAGAGAGAGCCCATTCCATCGGTGGTGGTGGTGGTGAAAGTGGAAAGGAAAGGACCGAAAGTTTGTGCAGGAGAGTGAAGTGAGCACTTTTTGATTTTGTGCTACACGGTACCCTACAATGACTCCAAGCAAGATCTCGCCGCATGGAGAAGACACAGATCTTGACGGGCGAAGGGGCCAACACAAGCCTTATGATAAGCAAAAGAAGGCCTTAATTAGAAAATGTTAGCTTTTTATCTCACCTCACCCCTCATTCTGAAGCTTTTCATACCATAAACGCCCCCCTTAATGACCAATTACTCAATTGGGTACCAACTTTCTCCCACCATCTATAGCGTCCTTGTTCCAGCCATGGCATGCCCCCCCCACCCGGAAGTGCATGTCCCCCGTGTCCATGCCCCCTCCCTCCCTGGCATAGAAAGTGGTTGTATAATAACGTCTCATGTTGTTCACCCACCAGCACTACTTACTTACTTGCTTGGGTGGTGGCAGCTAGCTAGCTAAAGTAGTGGCCGGGAGCTAGCTAGATATATAGCTGATGATGATGCTATAGTAGATGTGATTCAACCCCATCCTACCCTCACACGAACGAAACCTACCTTCTCTTCTGCTGCTGCTTTCCTTCCTCTCTCGCTAGCTCATCATTCAACAACACAAACCTTAGGCAAGAATATACTGATTCACTCTCTTATGCCCCATCCCCAGCAACGAAATCATAACCCAGAGCAACCTAAAAACATCCACCACCACCAGCAGCAGCAGCAGCAATATAAAATACACAGAGAGCAAAAGAGACATAACAGGACCCTGGCAGAAGAAGAAGTAAGTGGAAAAGTAGAGAGGCCAAAAAGTGCTCTCCGCTGTGCTGCTGATGCTGCTTCCTTCCTTCCTTTGGGCCGCCATTCACCTTCACCAGTCCAAAATATTAACTTTTCTCATCTTATCGAGAGGTGGATAACTGCTTATCGGGCTCCTTATCTCCCCCGTGCTGGTTTTGGTGGTGGCGACGACGACGACGGATGAGAGTGACAGGCGAAAAACACAAGCAGAGTGCTGCTCTAGGAGTTGGGTTTCTAGTGTGTGGCGATAAAACTGTGTCCAGTCCAGGCTGAGAGGAGGATGACACTCGAGCATTTATATTTAGATTGACCATCCAGTTGTTGACCATTCAGAGTGGCAGAGCAACTAACTCGTTCCTATTACTCATTCCAGAAGGAAGAACAAACGATAAGGGAGTTATTGAGTCTGATAAGCAAATACAAACAAACAAGAGGCAAGTGGATTTTTTACTGGGTCAGTGAAACCTCTCTTTTCAGTTTAGAATGACAATTAGTCGGTAAACGTTTTTGGTTTCGTTTTTTTTGTTGCATTTATTTGTTTCGTATTTCTATAGCATTTCTATTGTGTTTAGTCAATGTTTAGTCCTGTAATTATCAGACTTGTCGAATTGAGTTATTGATTGTGTGTCTTCTTATTAATTGTTGAATTATAGATTGCACTGGGAGGAGTAAGCCAAGTGTCTTCACAATAAGATTAGCCTTACACAGTCTGCTGCTATTTATACCAACGAGTGACACTTTTGTACGAGTTTTGCATCCTACAATCAACGAAAATGTGACAGTTTTATATTGAAGTGGAAGAACTTAGTTCGTATTTAGCAAAATGTCGTAGAAGCGAAGAGATAGATATTAAAAGTGCAATATTATTAAGTAGTGAAAATGGGGAGCGACTAGTAGTAGAAAAAATACTACAACAACAAGTGCAGCGAATTTGAACCGTTTTATATTGTTGTATTTTAGTGGAAAGAAAAACTACCAAAATTTTGGTAACGTTGATGATTTGATTGTTGAGTGTGTTGAGAGGAGATACATCATTACCATCGTCATCATCACCTGACCATTGACGACGATCTCGAGTCGTTATGGGAGGGCGATGGATGATGTGTTGGGCGTTTTTGACGACTTCTCTCTTCGTGGGGTTGTCGGTCGCAGGAGGATCTCATGTCGTCACAACCTTTTCCGACTCTTCGGGAGGCAACAGTACGATAAATAATCACATGGTGGTGCACAAAGAGACGGGGATCATTTTCGTGGGTGCGGTCAATCGAATTTACCAACTGGACCCGAACCTTCGTCTCATCGCGATGAACAAGACGGGTCCTGCTGAGGACTCTGTGGACTGCTCAGGATTTCGAGATTGTCCCGAAAAGGCGCAAACTCGCTCCACAAACAATGTTAACAAGGCTCTTGTCGTAGATTATTCGAGAGCGCGTCTCATATCTTGTGGCAGTTTGTACCAAGGGGTCTGCTGGATTATGAGTCTGGATAATGTGTCGAATTCGGACTCGGAGTTTGTCAGCGAGCCAATCGTCGGTAAGACTATTGCTAATAAACAACAATAACATTTTAATGCGTTCAAACATAATGTAAAAACACCTTCATTCAAAGTTAAATCATTCATGACCAGTTGAAAAGTTTAAAAAAACTCGATTCATGCAATATCATCGATCCGAATTGTTTTAATAACTCAAATTATTTTAAAGCTTTTAGTTTGACTAGCATTGTGCTGAAGTTGGAGTTTTTGTTTAAATTGCAGCAAATAATGACACGGCCAGCACGGTAGCATTTATTGCTCCAGGACCACCGACCCCACCAACATCGACGGTAAGACATGGTTTAACTGTTACTAATTCTTTATTATCAATTGGTTAGTGAGAGGAAACTACTGCAAACAAGCACGTGATGACATATGGTATGCTAATTTATTTATAGGTGCTGTACGTTGGAGTGACCTACACGGGTAACTCCCTGTATCGAAATGAAATCCCTGCCGTGTCCAGCCGCAGTTTAAGACCCCCAGACAACTTTGGCATTGTGACGACCAGCGTGTCCTCCGGAACCAAGATGCACATTAGCAATCGCGACCAGTATCCAATCAACTATGTGTATGGATTCAGTTCTGAGGGGTTCTCCTATTTTATCACCACCCAGAAGAAGGAGACCGGTCCAAACTGGCCATTCATTTCGAAGCTTGTCAGAGTTTGTCAAAATGATTCCAACTACTATTCATATACTGAAATTCCTATCGAGTGCGTCAGTGAAACTACAGGGCACAAGTTTGACCTAGCTCAGGCTGCTTTCGTTGGAAAACCCGGACCTGACCTTGCCAATAAATTGGACGTTACGCATCAGGATGACGTTTTATTTGCAGTTTTTGCCAAAGCAGAATCATTTGGTAGCCAAACTCCTGCACGTGAAAGCGCACTTTGCGTCTTCTCCCTGAAAGATATCAGAAGAAAGTTTGTGGAGAATATTGAGCTTTGTTTTCAAGGGAAGGGGAACAGAGGGCTGGGATTTATAGGTAAGGGTCGATTTTATTAACAATTCATATAAATAATACTTCACTTAAAAAACGCATCCTTGAAACTTGTATTATTGGAATGAGAAACAGTAATAGTGAGGGATTGGCCTGTTAAAAAGTTGAACACTTGTATGTACAATATATCCCCTGATTCAGCAGTGTTGATATGCTCATATTTCTTGTTATCACGGATAATTGGGATGCCATTCCGAGAAAGTCCCTTCATCTGTGCAATGACGAGGGTTGTAATTCCCAATGCCTCCTTTCTAGTACAATCATCTTCAACTAATTTGCGAAGGACCAATTGTGCATCAGATAGTTGTACTTGTTCAGGTGTCCACTCACCCCGAGGTGTTTTGGGTGGGACAAAATTAGCAATTTCAATCTGATCAGGGTTCAAAGGAGTTTGATAAAGAGGCCCGGATGAGAATGAATCGCCACTGCAATTAAAACCGAAATGTAATACTGCCAAATATTTGAAATGAATTTGAACTCACTGTGTGAAATTACTGTGAACAGCCCCCTTAACTGCAACTTTCAATCTAATACTAATTTGATTGTTGGACTCGGTTCCACAATAAACGTAGGGTAAATTCCAGGAGAAAGTAGTCTCATTCACAAGTGTAGAGTTGGAAGGTTGCTCTTCTTTTTCATCACCCACGGTGAAAGTTATCCCGTTTTCAGACAAAGTTCTTTCCAGCACTTCTAAATTGGCAGAAAACATGTCGACACGGTTTTGAAGTAACTCGTGGGGTTGGATTTCGGCACCATTTTCTACTCTTTCAATGTTTCGGAATAGACAGATTAGAGCGGTTGACAACTATAAAGAATAAAGGAAGCATTGTTGCATAAATTCATAGTAGGCATAATAAGATGATAATAAGAAACTCACTTTTGCAGTATGAAGAATTGGCAGTTCGGTTAGTGAAGAGTGAAGCATGGATTTGGCATATACCTCGGAGAAATTGGATTTGGGGTGGGATGTCAAATGGTGGAATAGCATGGTCATGTTATGACATTTCGCAATGTTTTGTACCACAGTGTTTTTCCACCCAGTTTTCTTGATCGTCTTTTGCTTCAAGACAGCATAACATTTGAGCGTCGTTTCATTCTCATCCGTCAAAACTGCAAAGTTGCTAATTCTTGTAGAGGAATGGGCTGCACAGTCAAGTTTGTTCTGCCAACAGTGTGCACATTTCAATTTAGGGGGCTGAGTGTATTTCGTCCCCAGTTTGTCGTACTTGATTGTAGTTCCATCCCAATAAAGTGGAATAAAATCCTCCTCCTTTTTCTTCTTTTCTGGCATTGTTGTGCCTTTCTCGAGAGTAGTAGTGGGTGTGGTTGTAGGAGTGTTATTTTTCTGCTTTTTTGTTGGTTGTGGAATTTCCACAGGAAAGAACCTTTCTTTGCCAACATTTGTCTCATAATGTTCCGTCCATTCATTCATGATTATGAGAAACATTGCATCCTTATCTACATCTTCATCCTTCAATTCTGCATGATTGTTTTGCAACTTTCTCCTCCTAATAATTTCTTCTTTGCAGTAGTTGAAAATGGCACGGAGGTAAGATCCCTTCTTTGGCAACTTGAATTTGAAACTGATGACATTTCCTTCCCCATCATACTCTGCATTATCCTCATCATCATCATCCTCTGCCGTAGTTGATCCGTCATAATTCGAAGAGGGAGATGGACTTGGTAGCATTGGAGAAGCAGGAGAAAGTGGTGGAAGCATAAGTGAAACGGGTGGTCGTGGGATAATGTTCTACAAAAACATGTGAATATGAAAATGGGATCATAGAATGAGATGTTGCATTGTTGCATTAACTCACATTCGCTACAAGAATATCAATTATGTCATTACACATCGACACCGTACTCCTCACACTGGGTTTGACATGGAGATCAGGAGTGGTGGGTGGTTCATAGTCGGCAAGGTGCACCAATGTTTAAAACTAGGAAACAATGAAAATTACATATTAAATAATAACGGAGAAAGAGGCTCAATTGTTGTTTTTACCATTTCTCAATAATCCCGTCAATCTTTCGCATTCGTCTCTTGACCGATCTACAAATATTTCCAGAAATGGCAAACTTGACTCTTGGTGGGACAGTCTTGCCTTTTCCCTATCCTAAAAAATGACACATTCTGTTAGCTACATGTTTCATTCATAATTGCTATAAGATATAAATTTACTTGCGCAAGAGGTGCAACAATGCTAATTATGGAGATGAAGCCTTCCTCCGTGAATCCTTTTGCATGTTCACTGACGAGGTGAACAAAAGAAGAACGGTGGTGTGGTTTCGCCAAATCCAACTCTTTGCAGAGTCCAGCTCTCATCTTTTTTCCATCAAACTGTTTGACAGGGATTCCACTACTTTTTAGCATCTGGGTCAACTCGTCAGAAATTGTGGATTTCCCAGCCTTTGCTAGACCTGCACATTTAACAATAATCAGTGTTGTTTAAAATAATATGCATGCATAAATACTCACCTGTGAGAAGAATTGTGCATCCTTTCTTATGTGATGGACTGGATTGCAGTTTCTTTCTTTTTAAGGGTGGAGATGCAGATGGAGAAGGGGTGGTTTTACTGGAGGAGGGTGTGGTTCGATGCATTTTTAATTACTTTGTTCCACGAAAAGTTTATTAAATCACTCTAATACTGTGAGTATGGATGAATGATTTGACAGGAAGAAAGAAATGTGAGCATCTTATTGTGGTTCATTTCCCACCTGCATATCATTATTTTTATGCTCCATACTCGACGTCTCATACATCTCAACTCTCCCTCGATTGCGTCTCGTGATTGCTTAATCTAATTGTTTTTGTTGTCTGTTTTTCTAGCGATGAATCAACAATGCGTTCCAACGGTAAGTAATTGTTTGTAGTACTGTGTAGTTTATGCTTACATATTTTTATTACATTTCTTTGTATTGTCTTGTCTAGAAATTGAAAATTATCGAGGAGGACTTTTGTGGAATGGATGTTAATACTCCGCTTGGAGGCGAGAAACCAGTCATGGCTGTTTCCGTGCTCAACTTTACTACGCTACTTACATCCGTTGCAGCAACTTCGGCTGGAAATTACACTGTAGTTTTCCTTGGAACGGATGACGGTCATCTCAAAAAAGTAACTGCACATCACAGTTCGCATTAGTGAACTTTAAGGAAATTATCTTAAACTATTATTACAATTATGTGGTTGGACTGTCTACAGGTCGTGGTTGAAAGTGGTAAATCTGGATCAGAGTATGACGACATTGTAATTGATGCAAGTAGCAAAGTCAATAGTGACATGTTTTTCACACCACAAAAATCTCATATTTATGTCATGACTGAGAAAAAGGTAATTTTCATCATCCAAGATATTCCTACTTTGCGTACCCTTTATTTGATTATAAATAACGTTCTGAATACCATATCACATATTCTTACATTTACAGATATCAAAGGTTTTGGTACACAACTGCTCAGAGTATTTTACTTGTAACGAGTGCGTCGAAGCTGGTGACCCATACTGTGGATGGTGTTCTTTACAAAATAAGTGCACTCTAAAAAACAATTGCCCCAAGGGACCCAAAGCGTCAGAGTTGTCCTTGTACTGGATCTCCTACAAGAGTGGCCAGTGCACTAGAATCACACAAGTTGTCCCAGGTCAACTCCAAAGTTCAACTGCTCGCACGGTAAGTATTCCCAGAATTACATATTAAATTGATGCTGGCTAATAAAGTCATTATTTTAATTTGATTATAACTTTAACTCTAAAAATTTATGGTTACAGTTAACAATTAACATTGACCATTTGCCAACTCGATCTGGCGCCTTCTGGTGTGTCTTCCGCTTCTTGAATGGAAAAACGTTGAAAACTAATGCAAGTCTGACAAGCAATGGAGTGACCTGTTACACACCCCCTACCTCAGAACTTCCTCCTATGCCACCATCACAACGTAATGACAATTTATGCTTTTTCTGCCAATCAATTTTGTATTTCGGAGTAGCATTATACAATTTTACCTTTGCATTACAATTTAGACAACTTTACTGCGACCCTTTCCGTTCGAATGGTTCAAGATGGGACTTCCCCCAACGACTTTGTTGGTGAGTAACAATTTTTGTAGTAGACCTTTAACTTTTGACAAAGACTCGCGTCGCAAAACAACAAAAAATTCATACAGTTCGCAATATATTGCCTCATATTTTTTTTAAATATCTACTGGGTTTAATGACAATTAACTTTTCTTTACAGCTACGGATTTTGTATTTTTCGACTGTAACACATACACAACATGTACCTCCTGTGTGACCTCAGCCTTTCCTTGCGACTGGTGCGTGGACAAACACAGATGTACTCATGATACGGCGGAGAACTGCAGAAATGATATTCTGGTTACCGGACTCAATGTGAGCTATCAAGTTTAATTAACCAATGTTGTTTGCTACGATTTGTTGGGTAGTTATAAATAAAATGTTTTCAACATCTATCAACAGAGAATTGGTCCGAGTATAAGAAGTGGTCCTGGGTTTTGTCCACGAATTAATGTCACAAACGGATCTTCTGAGCTACTGGTTCCTTACGGAACGTTGAAACGTATTCAAGTCAAAGTGGATAATATTGCTGTAAGTCTAACATTTTTTGTAACTTTGTAAATCTGGAAAAAATAACCTTTCAACATAAGACATCCCATTATAAATTTTACGTTTTTGTAGCAACAAATCATTGTGCAAACTCGTTTCTCGTGCCGTTTCAACATCGAAGGCCGCGTGACACCTGCTAATGCCAAGTTGATTGACACCACAATTTACTGTGACTCGATACCCTTCAACTACAATTCACCAGCTCCAAATATTACAGTCCCTTTCGCAGTTGTATGGGGTGGTGGAGAAACAAAATCATTGGACAACCCTGATAATATTCATAGTATGTTTCTCTCTCACTTAACCTTAAACAGAATATAATTTTGAGCTTTTTTAAAAAAATATTGTCACAATTACTATTTAGTTTTGGTATACCGGTGCCCTGCAATGGCCGACAATTGTGGAATGTGTCTTGCGATGGAAGAGAAATATGGTTGTGGATGGTGCCAAAGTTCCAATCGTTGTCAGGTTCGGGAACAATGTGACAATGGGATGGGAGTTTGGTTGAGTCGAAACCAAACGTGTCCAAATCCGGAAATTCGCTCCTTCCACCCAACCTCTGGACCGTGGGAAGGTTAGATTGATTACTTTGAATGAGAACGCATTAATGGTAATGAACGAATGATTAATTAACTGATTAATGATAATCTTGAAGGTGGGACGAATGTCACCATTGAAGGAATCAATCTTGGGAAAACCTTTGATGTATGGAATATGACATGATTCACTTATTGCTAATGAATCATACCAAATTGTTTTTATAATGTAAACGATGAATTCAATTTTAGGATATCTACAGCGGTGTAACTGTAGCTGGTGTATCTTGCGAACCATATCGGCACCTGTATTTACAAACACGACGAATTATCTGTCGGCTGGATGGACCTGGAATAAATGAACCTAAGGCTGGCCCCATCATCGTCAAGGTATACAATTTATTTTTAAAAGTCTAATCTTTACAACACAATTAAACTTTTCTTTCATAAATATAAAATGTTTTATATTTTTTACTTATTTAACTGTTTAGGTGGCCGACTTTAGAGCCGAATCAAGAGCTTTATACCAGTTTGTAGACCCCAAAATTAAAGGAATTAGCCCAACAAGTGGACCATTATTTGGAGGGACTCGTCTCACTATTTATGGAGAGCATCTTAACGCCGGAAGCCATACACAAGCATTTGTGGACAAAGTTTCTTGTGAAATCCTAGTGTAATCTATTGTTCTTTATATGTTTTTGTTTTATTAATTGCGAATGTAATGAAGCGAGTTTTAATCCTAACTATGTATTTTATTTATATCTCCAGTCAAGAAAGTGGTCGCATGGAATGTCGCACCGGTACCAGCAAGAAGAAAGGCAAAGGTCATGTCATAATCAAGTTTGACCAACGGGATAGAACTTATGAATCGGGTTTCACATACGTGGAAAACCCAATCCTGCTCCTAGAGAAAGTAAGTTCAGTCAACTGAACTCTATTAAATGGCAAATATATATAATTAGAATACTAATCATTGTTGTGATAAATAAGGAGAAACCAATCCGTGGAATACCTGCTGGAGGCATCAATGTCACTGTGGAAGGGAAGCATTTCGATGTGATTCAAGAACCTCTAATTTACGTAGTTTACAATGGAACATCATATGTTAGCGTAAGTCAACTATCAACTTATTTGCATACCATTTTCGTCATTTGTTATGTATATAGCGTCTCAAATAATTTTACAACTTCCTTTGGATTATGTAGAGTTGCAACATTTCCAACAATGAAACAATGTTCTGCTTAACACCCCCATTTTCGGAGGAGCCAAGTTTCACAGATATTGAGAACAGAGATGGTTTTATGAGGCTTCCATACGGTTTCATTTTCGACACCGTCAACTATACAGAGATGCAAGGAATGGACGATGAGCACATGTTCCAACTCTTCCCAAATCCACAATATGAACCTTTTGAAGAGAAAGTAAAGAAATACAAGAGCGATTATTTAACCATCAATGTAAGTTGAGCATTTGTTACCTACTCCTATTCCCTTATTATGTGAATTAAATTGTAAAATGTAAATGGTCATTTTTAATTAGGGTAAAAACTTGAACTCTGCATCCGACGAGTCCGACATTATTGTACTGATTGGAACTAGTGTTTGTAATGTAACATCTCTATCAAAAAATCAGTTGACTTGTAAACCACCTTCTTCTCAGCCCCCTGATTTAACTGAAGAGGGAAGGACGGATTCATCCAAACCTCCAACTGTCGTGGTATGGGATTTTTAAAATCAGTTTTCTATATATCCTCTGTATCGAAATATCACCAGTTTTGTTATGTTATTATACACCTGTACATAATGTAGGTGAAAGTTGGAAAGAATTTGAGCTATGTAATTGGACGACTTCGTTACGACCACTTGTCGGTCCAAGAGTTTCCTCAGAAAGTGATGTACTTGATGGTTGCTGGAGCTTGCGTACTCATCATCGTGTTCATCATTATACTTATCCTTTACCGAAGAAAGTCAACGGAAAGCAACCGGGTTCTAAAAAATATGCAAGAACAGATGGACGTTCTCGAGTTGCGAGTTGCTGCCGAGTGTAAAGAAGGTACGTGAATGTATCAACTGAAAACCAAAATAATAACGGCTATTATACACAACAATACTCAACTTACCAATTCCATTTTGGTATTTACAGCTTTCGCCGAACTACAAACTGAGATGACTGATCTAACCGGAGATGTGTCGGCTTGCGGGATACCATTTTTGGACTATAGGAATTATTCCATGAAAATCCTCTTTCCTAATGGAGAAGATCACGGCATTCTCAGCCACGAAAGACCAGAGCTTGTATATAAGACGAAAGGACTTCGCATATTCGGACAACTCGTTCTCAATAAAACCTTTCTTTTGTTATTTATTCGTACATTGGAAAACAATAGATATTTCTCGATGAGAGACAGGTGAGAAAACATAATATCAAATATCAACAACTATTAGTAATATTGAAAATGCATAATACAATCTTAATTAAATACTTCTTATTTTAGGGTGAATGTTGCATCACTGATAATGGTGTCCCTGCAAGCAAAAATGGAATACTGTACAGACATATTGAAAACCCTTCTAGCAGAGTTGATAGAAAAATCTATGGAGAGCAAGAACCATCCGAAACTGCTCTTGCGCCGGTGAGTAGTAAATAGCTTTATACAGTCAATAAATTTACAATTTACAGTTAATATTTTGAAAATTAATTAACTAAAATGTATGTAATTACAGGACGGAAAGCGTGGCAGAAAAAATGCTCTCCGCTTGGTTCACCTTCCTACTCTATAAATTTCTTAAGGAATGTGCTGGAGAACCTCTGTACATGTTGTACCGAGCAATCAAACAACAAGTGGATAAAGGACCGGTCGATGCTATCACAGCAGAAGCCAGATATTCATTAAGCGAGGAGAAATTAATTCGTCAATCAATTGGGTATAAACCCATGGTAAGTAGACACATTTAGTAAAGTATTGTCATTAAAGTTCGGTTTAATTAATTATGTTTTATCTTTGCAGACCATTTTCGTATCAATGTCCCACCAAACTACTTACATGACGGGGTTGGATCTGAACCAAGAAAACACTGACGTTCCAGTTAAAGTATTAGACTGTGACACTATAACTCAGGTCAAAGAGAAAGCTTTGGACACCATTTATCGCGCAACATTCTATAGTCAACGACCTCGGAAGGAAGATTTAGATCTTGGTAATTTCAGAAACATTATAAATACGGTATTGGGCCTTAAAACTATTTAATAATGCTAAATAATTGTATTGTTTTCAGAATGGAGAACAGGGAACAAAGGTAGGTTATGGCTCCGTTATTTTTATTCATGAATTAGAGAATAAGTTATAACACATAAATACTAACTAAATGACTTGCTTAACTTAACCCATCTCTTATCTTGTTTTTTTTAAATTCCAAACAAAGGACGACTCATTCTTTATGATGAAGATAGTACAACAAAGACTGAAGGAGAGTGGAAGAAATTGAATACACTAAGTCATTACAGAGTAAGTTGTGTTGTGTAAAGTGTAGTGCGAAATGAAGGAACTCCAAATAGTAACATGCGTGTTTTTATCCACATTAGGTTCCGGACGCAGCGTGTCTCACTCTGGTACCTAAGCAATCATCAATGTACAATTTGTCTATCTTGTCGGAAAGATCAGAGAAATCGCACAAGTATGAGACTCTGAACCACGCCAAGTATAATTCTGCTAGCCCACCGCTCAGTAGAGCCACGTCACCATTGAATCACGACCGAGAGGGTGGTTTGAAGGTACACAAAATATGCATATTAAAATAATTAAAACCTATATTATGTACATATTTATGGAATCTATACAAAATCTTTTATTTCCAGGTGTGGCATTTAGTGAAACATCATGATAATGATAACCAAAAGGAAGGAGAACGTGGAAACAAGATGGTTTCCGAAATTTACTTGACGCGTCTTCTTGCAACAAAGGTTAATAACTTTACAAACCAAACAAATTGTTATAATAATAACAATAATTAAAAATTGGAAAATTAACTTTTGGTCTTGTGTTTTGTCACAGCTCACACTTCAAAAATTCGTCGATGACCTTTTTGAAACCATTTTTAGCACTGCACACCGAGGTAGTGCGCTACCATTAGCCATCAAATACATGTTTGACTTTTTAGATGATCAAGCACTTCAACATGGTATCAGGTAAAGACTGTTTAAAATTTACATGAACTTGTAGAAAAAAGTTACAACCTACACATCATGTACTACTGACCTCATTATGGTATTATTCCATAAACTCTAGTTTAATTATCTCATGATTTATGTTGCAGCGATCCAGAAGTTGTTCACACATGGAAGAGCAACAGGTACCCAGCAGAATTATCATCCATGATATCGTAAATGCATATAATTTCAGATTATAAAATTGTGCTTGTTTTGTTTCTTCAGTTTACCACTCCGGTTCTGGGTCAATTTAATTAAAAATCCTAATTTCGTCTTCGATATTCACAAGTCAAATATTGTTGACTCTTGTCTGTCTGTGGTGGCACAAACCTTTATGGACGCCTGTTCAACGTCAGAGCACAGACTAGGTATTGCATCGTCGCTGTCTACCATAGTATTTATATTTCTCGTGTTTCCGAAATAATTTTAATCCATTCTGCTATCTCTTACAGGCAAAGATTCCCCAAGCAGCAAACTTCTCTATGCCAAAGACATTCCAGGTTACAAAGAGTGGGTGGAACGTTACTACGCCGACATTAAAAGGTATGGGCATTTATTTAATTCATTTGAAAAATACGAGTACTTGACATACGTTAAAACAATTAAACAATAAAATTAATAACAACTTTCTGATCCTGACCGATTTTCCGTCCACAGCATGCCCTGCATCTCTGACCAAGATATGAACTTAATGCTAGCTGAAGAATCTAGAGTAAGTTTTTTTTTGCATAAATGATGCATATGCGAACTGCTTAGCAAAATATTAGACTCTAATAATTGCATCCCTTGTTTTACAGGTGCATTCAGTCGAGTTCAACGCGGAGAGTGCATTGTACGAGCTATATAACTACGCCTCCAAGTATAACGATCAACTAATGATGACTTTAGAAGAGGATGAATTTTCCCAAAAGCAGAGGCTGGCGTACAAATTAGAACAAGTACATCACATTATGGTCTCTGAAGGTCACTAAAATGTTATACTGAAGGAATGAATGGTGGGGCTGCTGCTGCTGCTGCTGCTGCTGCTGCTGCCATATTTATAGCCGAGGCGTCGTTTCTCTACCAAATCCTCTATTCATTCATGACTGCTGTTGTAATTATATCCTGTCCTTATTTGTTACTGTATGCACTATATAAACGTGATTTGTGTCGTTGGGAACATGTGCAAAAATTGCAAATTTCCATTTGGCTGCATAATGTTATTATTATCTAGTAAAAATATATTAATTAATTGTTTCTCAAGGATTGCCGTAAATATGGATTTAATTTCCTATATATGTTATTCTTCCCAACAAAGTTAAAAATCCATACATACATAAAATTGTAAAACGGAGGTACTATATTTTTTCCATGTTTTTATGTAAATATCAACAATATTAACTAACATTGCTCGCGAGGGAGAAGACTTACTCGGAGGTAAATTTAGCAAGTGTGTGTGTTTGGTGGTGTGTAATCTTCTAAAAAAATGATCTAAAGAGTATTGGAACGTATAGTTTTCGATAATGCATAATAATGAGGAGGAGAGTCGTATCCAGTAAATATGGATGACTGAGATGGGTGTAAATATAGCAATGACACGCATGATAAGATGATGACCACGTGTCTACATTTTGTACAATAATGTAATATGTACTTTTATATGGATTATTATCTCGCTTTTATCGCATTATCTTTTTATTGTTATATCCCAACAAGTTTCCGTTGGGCAGGTTAAGTAACGAAAATGACCAGACGTTTTCTATAAGTTTTAAGTATTGCATTTATTTTTACTACATCATCCGAGTATGAGATATTTATTTCGCGTGTTAAAAAAAGAGAAAGATAAAAGTCAGCTGAGACACCATCAGCGGCATTCAGCTGCATTAATTAATTGTGTTAATTACTGCTGTGTAACTGCAACTTTTGTTCGATACCGGTTCAGGGGAGGTGACCTCTGGGCAACTAAAGACTTATTAATATCTGTAACTATTACCAGCAACTTTGTACTTCTGTAATTCGCTTCCATGAAGAGCTATGTAACGTATGTAACAACAACAAGTATATAATTTGGCAGGAATTTAGAGAATATATTATTATAGTAGTTCGCTCGTTCAGTCAATTTGTGTTCATCTATTTCGTACTTTTTTATTGCGTCCGATACGCTGCTAGTTGGTTGTCAAATTTGATTACATGGTTGAATAAATTGTTTATGAACTTATTTGATTGTTGTTTAATTTGGTTTATTATTCTGTATCTGTATTAAAACCATTATACGTAGAAAAACAGTGGCTGGTAAAAAACAGACTAAAATACTGGGCTGTAATATCTATGGAAACAATAACTGCATACATTTACGTACTGTATATATAGTACTGAATTTAAAGCTAGTTAATCATTAGAGTGTACAGTTGATTAATTCGGAAGAATGAGATCCAAACACTCTTCACCTTCTAAATCATAATCCGCTGGAGTCGATTTTAGATTCAGTAATTCACCCTCAAATTTTATTCTAATACCCGTACTTGGAATACCTATTTCGACTGCATATTCTTCTACTGTAGTTTCAAATGTCTTATTCATTCTCATGTACACCCACTTATCCTGTCGTCCTCGACGATCACTAGTTTGTAGCTTTAACTTCAACACATTGCTCGAACCTTCATCATAGAGTTCCTTGTCGGTCTTCGCGTTCATGTACGCTTCAATGGTGCATAAATTTGATATTCCACATTCTCCTAGAGTTTTGTCATCCTCAAGACGATTGTGGGTTCCAAGGAAAAGTAAAGGAATCTCACTCGAACAGACGTCCAACTTTTTAGCGATAAGAGATCGCAGTTCTCGAACAAACTGTTTCTGAATTAAAAAATGTAAGGACACGTGTTAATATATTGTAATAATTCTAATTATTAGTACATATGTAGTAAGCATTTTACTTATAGCAACATTTAACATACCTCATAAAGACGTACTGGCCAGGTGTCGCCACGACATTCAATATTAAAAAGAAGCAACGCGCCTAGATCAACTTCTTCTTCCTGCTCTTCTTCATTTTTGCCACTAAGCACTAAGCTCTTGGAACTTGGTTTTGTACTTTTTCCTTTGGATTTCTTCTTACCACGTTTGATTGCGCTCACTCTTTCTGTAGTTAGAGAAGGAACAGATATAAACAATAGATATTTGAATTCAGGTAACATGGAATTGGCATGTAAATGATGTCTCAGATACAAATTAAATGATATAAACGAGACGATAACTATTAGAACCCACAAAAACATAAAATTCATTCGAAAGACAAATACTGATCGCCCAAATTTGAAAACGATCGTATTTCAATTAACAAAATGAGAAGGAAGAGAATCAACGCAACAATATGCCAAAATGTGACCAGCAATGGGAAAGACATCGAATATGCAAAATAAATCAAGCCACCAAATGTCCCTCAACCTAGTGGGATTGGAAAGTTTTAGTCTGCTTGCAAACAAAAATACTCTATCAAGGTCAGGAGGCAAAAAATTTGCAAAATTCAAGCTAATTTGGATAAAATTTTGAAAACTGTGGCGGAGAAACTGGGAAAAGAGCTTATGTCTCATGCTTCCAAAATAATATGCTCAATCGGATACAAATGTGTCAGACAAGCACTGTGTGGCATTAGTAACTCTTAAAAGCATTAAGGATTCCGGATAAATTTTGCATTTTAGTTTGTAGAAAGTAGTGTTAATTTTATATATAACGTTAGTTCATTTAATCTATCTCTGAGACATTTTTTTAAATTACTAGAACACGTGGGCTTATCGTCATCGCTGTCGGAAATTGTAATTTCTGTGACAGGTACAGTCGTCTTCTTCCCATTGATCTATTAATAAATCGTCAATTATCTAGATCAGACATATCTCATCATTAATATTTAGATAATTATATACTTACAGGGGGGCAACCCTTTCGAGGGATACTCCGAGTTCGAGAACCAGAAGGGCCCGATACCTGCAATCCATACAATAATAGATATCATTTAGTACCAGATTTATACCAATCTCCAATCCATAGGCTGTCATGATGAAAGTTATTTTCAGAAAAAATTGACTTAGACTACGATTCTGGTAATAATAACCATGAAGAACCTTCCATTATTTACAAATTATGATTGGCACCATGTATTTTATATATGTTCATCTATTGATCATCAATTACCTCGTTTGTATCGCCTTGTATTTCTTCAACCGCAGTGTCCCCTACGCCTGGAATTGTTGAACTGGAATCCACCCCCTCCTCCATCATCTCAATCTCCAAAACTGGAGTTGGACAGTTTCGTAGCTCTTCCGGAGTCATTAAGCGCTGCATTTGCTGTATCTGTATAGTGATCTCGTTCTTCGCTCCATTACTTTTTCCAACTATGAAATCTTTCTTCTTCTGCACGGCTTGTACACCTTGCTTCGTAGGCTGGGATGCTTCATTAAACTTGCGAAAAATATCTGAAACATATATATATATACATGTATATATATAATTATGTATACATAAACGATTCACAATTGTACGACATTCATTTAAAAAATACTCACATTCGATTTCACGCTTCGACGAAATGGCTTCATCATCAGAAGAATCTAAATCCAAAAGTTGAAACTCAGCACTCCTCACCAGCGATTGTTTCAATGCAGCCGCAGCACCACTTGATGTCGAAGCAACTGGCCCTCCTGGATAACATAAAGCTAGAATTATTACAAATTCAATTCTTTAAATAGAACAACTCACCAAGAATGCCATTGACATTATTGCGGAATGCTTCAGGAAATGATTCCACTACCGTTTCCACAGCTAGAAATGCAAATTTATCTTTCAAACTAAAAACCTATCACCTAAAATCCAATTATTTCACAATTTTTTTTACCTCGATTGATCGTCTCCAAATGATACTGGCTTAGCCGACTGTCACTCGTCCTTGTAGTCAGATCGTCCGTCCTAGCTTTTTTGGCGACAGGTTTCTTCTCCTCATCAGGAGCACCTGCCTTTTTGGGAGGCATTGTCTGACCAAATTAAACTCGACGTAATTAATTATTACTAATTAGCAATTGATAACCGCTGGACTAATTTTCAGCCAACAAAATGGAGAGAACTCAGAGAGAAGAAGAAGTTCGTCTGACTCTGACTCTGACTTTGACCAACTGAACTCTGACTCGCTCGCTCTGCTGCTGCTGCTGCTGAGCCCGGTTTTTGAGAGGACAAACTCAAGAGAAGCAAGCTCACTGGTTCTCTCAGCCTCAACCTCGCTGGTTCTTCAGCCTCCATAATCCAGCCTGCCTCACACACAACAAATCTCACTCCACCACTACTCTGCTTCTCATAATCATCCACGTTTTTGCGCTTTCAGGGCAAATTAGAAAAGTTTTATTTACTACAATTTGTTCATAGAAATGTGTGTTAACGACGGCAGGAGGAGCGTTATTAGTAATTGTGTAAAACACAGTTTAAAATATTGAAACTAAACAATGGCAGAGCATGAAAATCCGTCGACTTCTGTCCCCTCAACGCCGTCCTCGTCGGCGACGTCGTCGTTGGGGACGGGGAGTAACCGGAAGCGAGAATACGTCTCATTCAAGCTGATAGTCGATCCAGCCCTAGTCAAAGCATCATTCAAGTCTTATCGGTACGATGGTCGTCTCCCTGAAGACCCTTCGTACCCTCTCGTGGTGGTTCGAGACCCTCGAAATAAAATAAGGGCACATCGTATCGATGATTTCGAACTTATAGTGCCCTTCTTCAAAATTGATAAGACTTTTGTAGGGAAACCTCCCTCGATTCAAGTGACCGTGACAAATCTTAATGATAATATTGACCGTAACTTTTTTAAGAATATCTTGGCTAAGCATTGGAACGAGGCGTACGACGACTTTCAAATATTTCATCATCCCGTGACCCACAAGCATTTGGGTTTAGCTCACATCACGTTTAAGCGTCCGTCATGTGCAAGAACGTTTGTGGAGAAACTGAACAATACTTCTATTATGGGGCAGAAAATCAATGTGTTTTTGGACCCTTTCGTCACAAAATGCAAAGAGTTAGTGGAAGAACACACTGTGGTGAAGAAACCTGAAGGGACAGACTCATCCGCCAAGAAGGAGGGTGGTGATAAGGATGGGAAGAGTAAAATCATTGTTAAACGGTCCCCAGGTGTCAAGAAGGATAGTAACAATAAAAAGAGTAGTAGTGGTGGTGGTCGACATGTGAGTAGTACTACGACCAACCCGATCACGACAAATGGGCGATTTTTTATGCCAGGCGATGGGGTTGTGGAGGGACATGTTCCCATTCCTGGTAGCGGAGGAGGGCCGAAGCTTGATCTCAACTATGGAAGCTTCCCATTTATATTCCCACCCCCACCACCAGACGACGTAGATTCTAACAATGATCAGCAACAATCCAAACTACTACCATGGGCCATGAATGCAGAGCTAACTTCTCTAAATGACGACAATGATGACTTTTTCTCCCCAAAAGTGGACTTGGATACTAGAATCCGACAAGTTTTTGCGGGTGAGTTGTTGGTATTTATCTTAATTAAATAGTCGGCTAAATAAATCTGCATTATCTTATATGAATATGAAATGTACATACACGAGTCATATGTGGTAAATTAACTATGATATTAAAAACCACGCGTTTTTATTTTATTTTATAGGTAACAGGTCCATGTTGTTGGGGATACGAATTCCCATGCTGGAAAGTAGCGAGAGTGAGGAAGAGGAAAAGCTCAAGCGAAAACGGTTGAAGTACGGAATGAACAATGAGATTTGGAGTTCCGATAGTGAAGACGACGACGAAGAGGAGGAAGAAGAGGAAACTGTTGAATCAGCTTTTGCCAAAAAGTTTAAGAAGAACACATTTGTCCCAATCCCAGGAGAAAGTTCCCAAAATGAAGACGACATGTCTCCACCACCTTCGCCCTTCCTCGCATTAACCAGTATCGATCCGGAGGATAATTTACCGTTATCCGCTCTCCAAAGTCTCAAACTTAAACTGCAAGCCGAACTGGAGAAGGTCGCGTCGGATGAATCCCATGGAATCTCCCCTATGCGGAGAAGAACCAAAAAGAAGACAAAACATTCAATCCCAGCGTCACAATTTGTAATTGAGGATCCATCTCAAATTAGTCTTCCACCGAATCCACCACTTCCTAATCCCACAGATCTCCCCCCACTCCCACCTGGAGATGCTCCCTTGCCCACTGAGCCAACCTTGATGCCGGCCCAGTATTATCCGCAACAGCCACAGCAACCACAACCAGGTTATTGGCCCGATGTTCAAATGCCTTATCCACCCTACATGTGGAATCAACAACCCATGGAGTATCCACCTTTCAACTTTTACCCACCCCATGAATATGACCCATATAGTCAGCAGCCGACAGAAGGAGGAGATAACAAGAACGCACTGTTGTATGATGCTTGCAGTGAGGAAGAAAGTGACGACGAAGAGCTTACAGTTCTTGAAGTTACAAAGCTTGTGATTGATCGAATTTATGAAGAAATGAAAAACACTCTACTTAAAGACTTTCATAGACGTTTATTGGAAAATGAGGCATACAAAAAGTTTGAAATTTGGTGTCAAAAGCGTGAAGAACTCCACAAACTGAATACAAAACAACAACAAGGAGCTAAAAGTGCAGTGAATGCTGAGGTGAATATTAATAAACCACCCGTAGTAGATTTCAGCGAGTCTTTGTTCTCTGGTAGCATGCTTGGTGGGAATTTGCGCTGCGCTATTCCAAAGTTGCCTTCATTCCGAAAAAATATACAAGAGCCTGTGTATCAGGAATCGAGAAAGTCTTCAGAACCAGAATCGGAGAGGAGCAGTGCGTCATCGTCGGCATCGTCGTCGTCTTCAGAAGAGGACGATGAGCCTATTCCTGCCAAAAGGAAACTCAAAATCAGTATATTTTCCGATGCTTCTTCTTCCACTTCGTCTTCCTCGTCTGAAGGCACAACTACTTCATCTGAAGAAGTGTCTGATTTTGAGGACGAAATTGAAGAACATCTTGGCAAATTGTCTCCGGTCTCCGCATCGTCGGGAACTGAAGAAAAGTCAAACAATAACAAGCTGGCGGTTAGTAATTCATTTTCCATTGTAGCAGAAGATGACACCAAAATCAAAGCTGCTAAGGAGGAAGTCAAGGTTAAAGAAGAAATTCCCATCGTTGCGAAACCTCAAAAGAAAAAGATGCCTGTGAAAGATAGTCAACCAGAAGGGGTGCCTCCAGATGAAATGTACATTCATGAGTATGAAATGTACCCCCCTGATATGGTCTATGTGGAGGACACTCCTGTCTCTGAAACCGATGATTTCAGTCTTCAGGACCACACCTACTCTAGAACGTTAGACCAAGACCTTAACCATGAAGAGACTAAAGAGTATTATAGGAAAAATAAAGTCAAAGTCAAAAAGGTGCCACCAGCCAAAACACGATCTCGAAGAAGGTTCCGACGTCGTAACGGCGAGGAAAAGACGAGAATTCTTTACGACATATTCTACAACTATTTGGACGATGAAGATGTAGAAGGTCTCCGACTCGCTTTCGAAAACTCGTTGGCCTTCGATTCCAATACGGTCTGGTTAAATTGTACCCACTGGGTCGAGTACCCCGCCACTGCCCCATCCCTACCAAAAAAGCGTCGCGACCCTGATGCTCGGGTCCACAAGACCGGCAGTGCTAGAACAGAAGGATATTATGCACTGACTAAGCCAGAAAAGGCTGCCAATCGTCGCCAGTGGGGCGTGGTGACAGAGAAGGTAAACAAGTGCGTGGGACATGTCGGTGCTCTGAGTACGGAGAGGGCAAACTCGAAGATGCAGGTCGCCATTTCTCGAGAAGCTCGATCCAATCAGCGCCGCTTGCTCACCGCGTTAGGAAACGAGGTGGACTCGGACTTGCTCAAGTTTAACCAGTTGAAGTTCCGGAAGAAGGATATACGTTTCGGCCGCAGTACGATTCACGATTGGGGACTCTTTGCATCCGAAGCCATTGCTGAGAATGAGATGGTAATTGAGTACGTGGGACAAATGATCCGACCTGTGATAGCTGATCTTCGAGAGAAAAAATATATGGCGGTAGGAATCGGTAGCTCGTACCTCTTTAGAATTGACCTGGAAACTATTATCGACGCGACGAGATCTGGAAACTTGTCCAGATTCATTAATCACAGTTGCAACGTAAGTCTGTTTTTATTACATTAAAATTTATTCATCATAACTTAATTTTTCAACAAATCATTATATATGATTTAATTTATAACTTGCAGCCGAATTGCTACGCTAAAATTATTACGATTGAGGGCCGAAAGAAGATTGTGATATATTCCAAGCAACCCATTGCTATGAACGAAGAGATTACTTATGATTACAAATTCCCCATAGAAGATGAAAAGATCCCCTGCCTGTGTGGATCCATTGGGTGTCGAGGGACTCTAAATTAGTCGATTTAATTACATTAAATTTATAATATATATGTATGTAGATTTCTCTGGGTCTGTAAAATATCTAGGAAACTTTGTTCTTTATGATACTGGTTTTTACTCGAGCTTTCATTATTCGTATTTTTTTCTATTTATTAACGACTCATGATTAGGACTGAATTTCGTATCTATTTGTTACAAATATTATTTATTCTAGGCATTTATTTCTTGTTTTGTTTTCTAATTATAAACTTAGTAGCATAAATGTACGTTATATTTTTGTATCGGCTGTATTAACGAATGCAGATACAAAATCTCGAATTATTACATGCTCAATATAAAAAAATATCTAAACCTTAATAACCCAACTTTTCACCGGATGCCGCATCATCATGATTTTCTAACTGCACTTCTTCAGTAGCATTCATTACTCGCTTTTATCTTCCCATATGCACCAGCATTTACGGATGTAGCGCAGTTTTGCATTTTTCTTCCTTTCTACCTCCGTCATTAAATGAGCAAAAATAACAAACACAATAACAAACTTTGCTAAAGATCAAGGAGAGAGACGAAGAACACAATGTGTTCTTGTTTATACATAAGTATTTGTGCGCAGAATTGCAGAATGGTTTTTGGCACTCTCATCCATGAATTTGCGCATTTTGTGAAAAAGCTGCATCACCCTTCCGTTCTGAATTTAAGCAAAAATCTGCCCATTTTATTCCATCCAGTGAACATTATACTTTCCTGAAAACGAAAATGCGAATATATAAAATTCATGCTACTTTTTTCATGAGAAACCCTCATGAAACTGATAAAAACGATGTGCTGGTTGCCTCCCAGGTGGCGACTCCTCCGGCTTTTGCCACGTATTCAGCTGACTATTAGCCTTCCGAGAGGGAGGATGCCGGGATTGAGCCGCACGTATATCGAGGCTATGGTATTATTTTGTATCTGTCATTTCTAGGTCTACCCACTCAGCCAGCCACAAGAAGACTCACCACCACCGTCGAGAGGGAGTTGCACTGTGAGTGAGTTCCGAATATTCCGATTATATTCACCGAGAGTCTCTCGTCCACCCTCCAATCCAACCAGCCATAAACTGGGAATCCGTCTGTCAGTAAATTTAACTACCAACACAGTCATCTCGTCATCTCGGAGAGGAAGATACCAATAATCTGCTAAATCTCCACTCCTCCTCGCAGAACGAAGGGTCAGGTGGACGTGTAAATTGATTGCCAAGTGTTGCCCCACTTTGCCTCCTCCTCGTCGTCCTTTCCCCGTCCAAGCACACCCACAGCCGGGCGTTGAAGTACGTCATCATGGCTTCAGGAATTATTCCCATCCGGTTTCAGGAGCATTTACAGGTACACAATTTTCTACTGCATCATCGAACGATGAGTCATCTTGGGAGGGATGAATTAATGGAAATTTTGTAATGATGGATGGGCGTTTCTTGTTATAAATTTTTGAAATGCTTTTTTTTTGTGCAGCTCACCTCCATCGGAATTAATCAGGCGAACATCAGTTTTAACAACTTGACGATGGAGTCGGACAAATTTATCTGTGTTCGAGAGAAGGTGGGAGATTCTGCACAGATCGTTATTATCGACATGACGGATCCAAACAGCCCTATTCGTCGCCCAATTACAGCAGATTCGGCCATTATGAATCCTGCCAGCAAAGTGATTGCTCTCAAGGCTGGGAAAACGTTGCAGATTTTTAATATTGAGATGAAGAGCAAGATGAAGTCGCACGCTATGGTGGAGGAGGTCATCTTTTGGAAGTGGATTTCCCTCAACACCATCGGTCTCGTTACGGACTCGGCCGTCTTTCACTGGAGTATGGAAGGGGAATCCATTCCACAGAAAATGTTCGATCGTCATTCCAGTCTTGCGGGGACACAAATAATTAACTATAGGACTGATGCTAAACAAAATTGGCTCCTTCTGGTTGCAATTTCCGCTCAGGTACGGCATAACGTCATGCTGATATTATTTATTCAAGTCATGTGATTGATTGACAAACAAAAGATGATTGAAATTCTTGTATGTGAAAGGTGAACTATATGAAAGAAATTAATGTTTTTGATTTGTTTAGCAAAATCGAGTTGTTGGTGCGATGCAACTTTATTCCGTGGAACGGAAAGTGAGTCAACCCATTGAAGGACATGCTGGAACATTTGCACAGTTGAAATTGGAAGGAAATCCTGAACCATCCAATCTTCTTTGTTTCGCTGTTCGAAACGCGCAAGGAGGAAAGGTAGGCTAATTATAAGTTATAATATAAATCATATAAATGATGTAAGATTAGTTGAATTGAGTGTGATATTTGTGTTGAATTCATTCTTTCCTGTCTTTAGATTCATATTGTAGAGGTGGGCGGTGTCCCGACTGGGAATCAAGCCTTCACTAAAAAGAGCATGGACGTCTTCTTCCCACCAGAGGCACTAACTGATTTCCCTGTAGCTATGCAAGTACGTGATTGACCGAAATAACACGTGTTTAGTTGGAAATGGATTTTTAATCTATTGACTCGTTTTATTTAGGCAAGTAACAAGTACGACATTGTCTATCTGATCACAAAGTACGGATACATTCATCTCTACGACTTGGAGAGTGCTGCGTGTATATACATGAACCGAATTAGCTCTGACACTATTTTTGTTACTGCTGCTCATGAAACCACGGGTGGGATTCTTGGAGTCAATAGAAAGGGACAAGTCTTGTCTGTCACAATCGACGAAGACACTGTAGTTTCTCACATTGTCAATAATTTGTCGAATCAAGATTTGGCCCTCAGGGTGGCATTCCGAAACAACTTGAGTGGAGCTGAGGATCTGTTCATTCGAAAGTTTAATACCCTGTTCCAAAATGCGCAGTACACGGATGCTGCCAAGGTCGCTGCACAAGCTCCCAAAGGGATTTTGAGGACGCCTCAGACCATTCAACGGTTTCAACAGGTCGCAACTCAGCCAGGACAAACGTCGCCACTTTTACAGTATTTTGGGATCCTTTTGGACCGAGTAGGTTTACACACTTGGAGCTAAAATTCTCTGCAATAAGGTTTTTGTATTTGTGATGAATTTAAGTTAATGATTGGACTTTCGTTTGTTCAGGGTCAACTCAACAAGTTTGAGTCTCTCGAGTTGTCTCGTCCAGTTTTGCAACAAGGGAAGAAACAATTGATGGAGAAATGGCTAAAGGAAGACAAATTAGAATGTTCCGAAGAACTTGGAGACTTAGTGAAGCAGGTTGATCCTACATTGGCCCTGTCGGTGTATTTGCGTGCAAATGTGCCCAACAAGGTAAATAATCGTATTGATTTGCATAAAATCATATGCATATGTATTCTGAGGTGACGTAAAATTATAAATCTGGGTTTGTCTTTATAGGTCATCCAGTGTTTCGCTGAAACTGGTCAATTTAATAAAATTGTTTTGTACGCCAAGAAAGTTGGCTATACGCCAGATTATGTCTTTTTGCTACGTAATTTGATGCGTGTCAATCCCGATCAAGGAGTTGGATTCGCCCAAATGCTTGTTCAGGACGAAGAACCTCTCGCCGATATTAACCAGGCAAGATACCCTTAGTTTTTTTAAAATTAGATATAAGTTTTATGTAAACCAAGTCTAATTACTCTACTAATGGTCACACAGATCGTCGATATTTTCATGGAACAAAACATGGTTCAACAATGCACTGCATTTTTATTGGACGCCTTAAAGAACAATCGCCCAACTGAAGGCCCCTTGCAAACAAGACTGCTAGAAATGAATTTGATTGCTGCTCCACAAGTAAATTAAAAAATGTATAACTGTTGTGAACGTTTTTATGTTATGAGATAACAATCCTATAACACTTTTTTTAATTTAAGGTGGCTGACGCGATTTTGGGAAATCAAATGTTCACTCACTATGATAAGGCCCATATTGCCCAGATGTGTGAGAAAGCTGGTCTTCTGCAAAGGGCTTTGGAACACTACACTGGTATTTTTTTCTCTCTCTCTCATTCTCTCCCTCGTTTTCTCCTTACTATTGATTCATGTCAATCATATCAAACAATTATTAACGATTGGCTTCCTTTAAATCTTTTATAGATTTATATGATATCAAACGAGCCGTTGTACACACTCATTTACTTAACCCTGAGTGGTTGGTGACATACTTTGGCACGCTGTCCGTCGAAGACTCTGTTGAATGTCTCAAAGCCATGTTGACTGCAAACATCAGACAGAACCTCAACATCTGTGTTCAAATTGCCACCAAGTATCATGAGCAGGTATGCAGCATGGAGTTATAATTACTTTAATAACGTTTGTTGTTTGTCTTGCAATTATGATGATTAAATAACAATGATTGTTTTATATTGTTGCAGTTGACAACGAAAGCTCTGATTGACCTTTTCGAGTCGTTCAAAAGCTATGAAGGACTATTCTACTTTCTGGGCTCTATCGTCAACTTTAGTCAAGACTCAGAAGTTCACTTCAAATACATTCAAGCCGCATGCAAAACCGGACAAATCAAAGAAGTTGAGAGGATATGCCGAGAATCCAATTGTTACAATGCGGAAAGAGTCAAGAATTTCTTGAAAGAAGCCAAATTAACGGATCAACTCCCACTCATTATTGTGTGCGACCGCTTCGACTTTGTCCACGACCTTGTTTTGTATTTGTACAGGAACAATTTGCAAAAATACATTGAAATCTATGTTCAAAAGGTAAGAAAAAATTGCTTATTTATTCATTGTAAAAGAAATCGTGCATGAGCTTGGGCGCAATTTATTTATTTCCAGTTTGTTTGATTGCAGGTCAACCCTTCCCGACTTCCAGTTGTTGTGGGCGGTCTACTAGACGTGGATTGTTCCGAAGATGTTATCAAAAGCCTTATAATGGTGGTTCGAGGGCAGTTTTCAACTGACGAGTTGGTTGAGGAGGTAGAGAAACGCAATCGCCTGAAGCTGCTCCTACCATGGTTGGAGTCCAGAGTTCATGAGGGTGTCATCGAACCTGCAACCCACAATGCGCTTGCAAAAATCTACATTGATAGCAACAACAATCCTGAGAGATTCTTAAAAGAGAATCAATACTACGACAGCAAAGTTGTGGGTAAATATTGTGAAAAGCGAGACCCGCATTTGGCATGTGTCGCATATGAACGTGGTCATGCGGATCGGGAACTGATTCATGTTTGCAATGAAAATTCACTTTTCAAGTCGGAAGCAAGGTAAAATAATTCACATTTGGGACGTTCTTATGAGTTACAATTATTAATGATAAGAATGATTAATCTTACAGATACTTGGTACGACGACGGGATCCAGAGTTGTGGGTCGAAGTTTTAAACGAGGAGAACCCCTACCGAAGACAGTTAATTGATCAAGTGGTCCAGACAGCTTTGTCGGAAACTCAAGGTTAGATTGATTTTGAATTCATTATTATCAAATAACAGGTGGCCTTATTTCCTTTGCTTGTTGTCCTTAGATCCCGAGGATATATCTGTCACGGTTAAGGCTTTCATGACGGCTGATCTTCCCAATGAATTGATTGAACTGCTCGAGAAAATTGTTTTGGACAACTCTGTATTTTCTGACCATAGGTAATAAGTCATATAGAAGAAACACAAATTGTTTGATATATTTGACATGAACTTACACTGTTGTAATATTTATTTGCAGAAATCTACAAAATCTGTTAATCTTAACGGCGATAAAGGCAGATAGAACAAGAGTTATGGAGTACATCAATCGCCTGGACAATTACGATGCTCCTGACATTGCAAATATTGCAATCAACAATCAATTGTATGAGGAAGCATTTTCCATCTTTAAGAAGTTTGATGTCAACACTTCTGCTATTCAAGTTCTCATCGAGAATGTGTCCAATCTTGACCGAGCATACGAGTTTGCCGAGCGTTGTAACGAGGCCGCAGTTTGGAGTCAACTAGCAAAAGCTCAGCTGCAACAAGGAATGGTTAAGGAAGCGATCGACTCTTACATCAAAGCCGATGACCCTTCAGCCTTTGTGGATGTGGTAGAAACAGCCCATAAGACAGGTGGCGTACATAAATTATTAGTTTGTTGTTTAAAATGATACAAATAAATAAATAACTTTATTTTAATTGGTTGTGTTTGCAGGAGGATGGGAAGATTTGGTCCGATACCTTCAGATGGCCCGTAAGAAGGCTCGCGAATCTTACATTGAGACCGAGTTGATTTATGCCTATGCAAAAACTGGACGTTTGGCCGATTTAGAAGAATTTGTGTCGGGACCAAATCATGCAGATATTCAAAAGGTACCAATTAACTTGTTGTTTGTTCAAGTCAAATAGAACATAATCAAATAATTTACCTCACCAAATACTCGTTGATTAATGAACTGTTAAACTGACTGTCCAACTGAACTTGCAATGTCATTTTTCTGCAGATTGGTGATCGTTGTTTCGACGCCGGAATGTTCGATGCTGCCAAGCTCCTCTACAATAATATATCAAACTTTGCCCGACTAGCAATTACATTGGTGTATTTGAAAGAGTACCAAGGTGCCGTTGACTCAGCGAGAAAGGCTAACAGCACACGCACGTGGAAAGAAGTTTGTTTCGCGTGCGTCGAGTCTGGAGAATTCCGATTAGCTCAAATGTGCGGCCTACACATTGTGGTTCATGTAAGTATATGAACTATGTATTTAATACACTTGAATTGTCACCCTTGTGTATCTTGGTTTGGTCTTCTATTTTTTGCTTAATTTTTTTGAATTTCATCATAGGCGGACGAGTTGGAAGATTTAATCAATCATTATCAAGACCGTGGATATTTTGAGGAATTGATCAATCTCTTGGAAGCAGCTTTGGGCTTGGAAAGGGGTAAGAGATTGGATACGTTGAACAGAGGATAAACGAAAGTAAACTTACATTTCAGTGGCATATAAAAGCAAATGAATGCAACGCCTTTATTTATATCTCATCCGTGAAATTCAAATTATCAGTATGCTCGACTGAAATAGTAAGGGACCTTCCCGTTAAAAAATTAAAAACTGCCTGTACAAAAACTCTGTCCCCTGTCTCAATGGTGTCTACATGCTCAAGTTTCTTATTGTCCCTTCGAATGAGGATGCCATTGTAGAATTGACCCTTCATTTCTGCAAGAACAAGAGCTGCATGACCCAATCCCTCCTTCCTTATGCAATCTTCTTTCACCAAATCGAATACATCCTTCTGCTGATCCGTCCACTGTTTAAAAGATTTAGATGTGTCAATGTTATTTGCAATCGCTAGCTGCTCATCCGACAGGGGGGTTTGGTAGATGGGTCCTGATTTGAATTGGTCACTACTACATTAGAGAAACAAGAATTTTAGCATGATATATTGATTTAAACATACGTGTGTGTAAACTAACTGGGTATAAATAGAATGATCCTCCTCCCCAACCCTGGACGTTTTTAATCCAACATTGACTTTGTTGTTGGGTTCAACTCCACAATAGATTCTAGGCAGTTTTGAGCAATATCGATCTTTGTTGATTAACGAGGAACTGCTATCATCATCATCATTTCCCACGGTGAAAGTCACTCCATTCCCTTCCAAAATCTTTTCCACCGCTGCCAAATTAGCGTTGTCCATGTATAACTGTTTATGAAGGAACGAATGCGGTTTGATGGGGGCGTCAGACTCAATTCTTTCCATGTTTCTGAATAGTGTGATGAGCGAAACTGACAACTTCAAATACAAATACAATTATTATTAGTTTTTTAAACACTTATGTACATGGGAAACTTACTGTCATGGAATGAATGGTTGGAAGTCGTTCCGGGGAAGAGAGCAGAATAGATTTTTCATAAATAGGGGAGAAATTGGCATTAGGATGAGTTAAGTTTATCCCTCTACTCCTCTCGTGTTGTGAGCAGACGTTTCAAACAACTTGTTTGTCCATTCTTTTTTATCCACACTCGGATAACATAACGCAGCATGATAATGGATGGTTTTCTCATTGGTGTCATGCAAAACGGCGAAATGCTGCAATCGGTTTGTTGAATGGCTATTACACAAATAACCCATCGATGTTGACTTCGACCAACATTGCTTGCATTTTTTGAGGTTAGGGAAGCCTAGGTTCATATAGCCGTAACACAACGTTGATCCGTTCCAATACAAAGGGATGAACTCGTCCCACTCATCCTTTTCTGGGGTTTTAGCACCTTTGGTAGGGGTTTTACCACCTTTTTTTGGGGCCTTGGGACCTTTGGTTGGGGTTGTTGTAGGTGTGTCAGATCTTCTCTGACTTGTTTTACGCAGTTTGACAGGGTAAAACTTTTCCATTCCTCCTGCTTTATGAGTATTATAGTGAGTCCTCCATTCCTCCATTAGTTCAGAAAATAAGGGATGTTTGTCGATTTCTTCATCTTTTCCAACAAAACCTTTTTGAACAAGGACACTTTTCACATAGTCGAATATTGTTCGGATATCACTCTTTCTTGGTAGTTTGAATTTTGGGACGCTATCCCCTTCGTCGTCCAACTCTCCAGCACCAATTCTGTCTGTCTGTCCTAAAAATATGCATAAAATTAGCAACCTAATCATGCAATATCACATTTTTTCATATCTCACCTCATGTAATGGAGCCACAATGGAAATGATGGACACAAACCCTTCTTCTGTGAACCCTTTTGCGTGTTCACTAGCCAAGTGAACAAACGCCGACCTATCCTTCTCTTCCTCAAAATCAAGATTTTTGCAGAGACCAGCCCTCAAATACTTTCCATCTATCTCTTTGACGGGAACCTTGTTGGATTTGAGCATTTCAGTAGGGGCCTTCGAAATCGTGGTCTTCCCCGACTTCGCTAGACCTGTTCATACAATCATAATTATTAAGAGATACAAAAATTGCAAACTTATTAAGCCCCCATTCAATAATAATATTGCATAATTTTATCAGTAATATAATAAACATACCTGTCATAAGAATCGTACATCCGTTCTTTACCTCACTTTCCCATTTCATCCTCTTAATAATTGGTGGTGAGGGGGATGGTGACCCAACATGGGTCATTTTACTAGAGGTGGGGGTGGATGGGTCCATTTTAAGTATTATTTTCTTTAATAATACAAATAATAGTGCAAAAAGTTGTTTGAACCATTTGTTCAAACACAAAGACAAAAGAGAACCCGGCAATTGTTTCTTGGATGGTGTGGAGTATGTAGGGGCATATCCATACAACACACGTCAACTGATTACTAACTACTTGGTTTTACTTTTCAGCTCACATGGGAATGTTCACTGAGCTGGCTATCCTTTACTCAAAATTTAAGCCAGAAAAGATGAAGGAACATTTGGAACTGTTTTGGTCCCGCGTTAATATTCCAAAGGTATATAGTTGTTTTGTTATAATTTTACAATTTACTAGATTATGTATTCACTACGTGTTTGTTTACAAAGGTTTTACGAGCTGCAGAACAAGCTCACTTGTGGGCAGAATTGGTATTCCTCTACGATAAATACGAAGAATATGACAATGCCGTGACGGCAATGATGACCCATCCAACTGAAGCCTGGAGAGAGTCGCACTTTAAGGATATCATTACCAAGGTAGCTAAGTAATAATTTATTTTCTTAAAGTAATGTTGTTTTAATGTACGCTGACTAATACCTGTAATTATTTTTTCACAAAGGTGGCTAATATTGAGCTTTACTACAAAGCCATCCAGTTTTATTTAGACTACAAGCCCATGTTACTAAATGACTTGTTGGTGGTGTTAGCACCAAGAATGGACCACACCCGATCTGTCAGCTTTTTCGCTAAAGTACGCCCCTATTCCTTAGTCAATTTGATTATACAATCATTATCTAACTTGTTTTTTGGTTGTACTAATTGATGTATTTTGTTAACAGGTAAATCATTTAAAACTGGTGAAACCATATTTGAGAGCCGTTCAAAGTCTAAACAACAAAGCAATTAATGAAGCATTGAATACCTTACTAATTGAAGAAGAGGATTATCAAGGTATTTTTTAAAAATTATTATTATTAATTTGTGATTGGTCTAGTTTCAATTTTTAATATAAATTAATCTAGGTCTCCGTACGTCAATTGATGCCTTTGACAATTTTGATAATATCGCATTGGCCCAAAAGTTGGAAAAGCATGAGCTCATAGAGTTCCGAAGAATTGCTGCATACCTCTACAAAGGCAACAACCGATGGAAGCAATCTGTCGAGTTGTGTAAAAAGGATAAACTTTACAGAGTAAGTAGTTTAAATAATTTGTCTTGTAAATAGAATGAACAATTTATCAAAATAATACCATTTGCAGGATGCCATGGAGTATGCTGCCGAATCCAAAAATCCTGACATTGCTGAGGAATTGTTAACGTGGTTCCTAGATCAAGGAAATAATGACTGTTTCGCAGCCTGCCTCTTCCATTGTTACGACTTGCTACATCCCGATGTAATTTTGGAATTATCCTGGCGCAATGGAATTATGGATTTCGCCATGCCCTACATGATTCAAGTTCTACGTGAATATCGTACAAAGGTCAGTGTGGTTTTTTCCAAAAATATTTATGCATCAATGATTTCATGTATACTTATTTCTCTGTTTGTGTCTAGATTGACCGATTGGAGGAACTGGAAACCCAAAGAGTAGAAGAAGGACACACAAATGATGGAAAAGCAATGATCATGGGTGAGTTGTTGTTGACTATGATTCATCACATCTTCTGAAATAATGTTGAGAATTATTTACTAAATACACGCGTTTGTTGTAATAACTTTGGCAGAACCCCAATTGATGTTAACAGCTGGACCTGGAATGATGCCCCCTGGTTATCCTCAAGGCTACCCTAATGCATACGGAACCGGAGGTGTACCTTATCAAGGTTACGGGATGTAAAGTTATTCTTGTAGTAGTGGATCAAATGTAATCAATCTGCAAAACCAAGTGTGTCAGCGAGTGCATCTGCTAGTGGATATATAAATAAGAAACAATCCTTTAACATAAGCTTTAGATTAGAGAAGAGATTTGATTAGGTTTAGTAAGTGTATTAACCAATTATTTGTGCGTGTATTTATGATCCAAATTTGTATGATGATATGATATGAATCAAGCTGTGTGAAATACATTCCGCTAAGTGTATTACAAATATTGAGATGTATGCTGAGTAACTTTCTTCAATGATAATAATACCGATTCCTCTTATTCTTAAAATGGACACAACAAGTGTAAAAATGAATTGGGTTTGTTTGTTTCATTCATATAGTTATACATATATATAAATTCACATTATTTTGTATTTCAATAATCAGACTATGCTATAAAAGTATATAGCTTTTCTTTAAAAAATACTTCAGAAAAAAACGAGTAATCAAACACTAATTACATTCCAATCAAAATGTGTCTAATTTTGAGTCATTTAAACACACCTGGCATATTTAGCTCATACTGGTATTCATAATCAGATAAATCAGTGGCAAATTAGACATTCATTTCTAATTTCACATTGGTTGGTGGCTCGTCATTATTCGTTCAGCATTTTCATGAATAAATTGTGCGATATTCGGATACGTCTCCAGCCCAGCCTGTTGTCTCATGCTGTCATCAGTTGGGATTTCTCCAATTATGAAGCTAGCAGTAATTAAGTGAACATTTAATTGAATGCTGTCAAATTTATCTGCATATGGGATGCTATTAAATAGAGATGATGAAATCAAAGTTCTAATGCAACTGCTAAAATGAAGTTGGTGCTTGTTGTTTCATACACAAATATTTATTTCAATAATCAGACTATGCTATAAAAGCTTATAACTTTTCTTAAAAAATGACTTCAGAAAAATGTGAACAAACTAATCAAACACTACTAAATTCCAAATGTATCATATCATCGTCTTTGTCTCGTACTGTTCACTTGGAAGTGAGAAATCCTTGAAGTTGTCCCAACAAGTTGGTGTACAGCTTGTGTTCATAATCAGTCGCAAAATCGGACATTTTCTCCGCAAACTCATTTGTAATCCCTCTTTCTTCCAACATGTTCATGAATAAATCGTACAAATACTGGAAATATAAAAAAACAGATAGACATTAATTCAAGTTATTAAATTCGGTTAAATCTTATAACTTACACCGTCCAAAATGTCTCCAGCTACGGCGTAAGTTTGCTCGTTCCATTCTCCCTCATAAATTGAGATTTCGTCAATCACGAATGCATCTTCTGCTAAAGCATTACATATTTATGGTTATAGAACATATCTAATCGTGAGTGTAGCAGAGTAAAATAAGTTAGGCTACATACGATATTCGTCCTGTTGAGGGTCAGCTGCAGCAGCTCCAGCATCTTGCAAATATGAGCAGCTGAAGGACAATATTTTATTCCCCTTTGTAATTTCAATCTCGAAATTAGGTCGAGATCTCATTTCTGCATCCTTTTCCGCCTGTTGTCCACCTTTGTCCAACTGCTGCTCATCCGCATAATCCGCATCCACAGTGTGGTTTACGTTAAAGTTGATCACCACTCTATAAAATGAAAATTTATTATTAATAATATTAAAAATTACACTCAACTATGAAACACAAGCTAGCAAAAATTTCAGTTATTTTCTTCTTACTTTTCCTGATTAAACTTTTTCGTAAATGTAAGTTCTGATTGATCCAATTGTATCTCGAACCCGTCCAAATTCGACGGCAAAGGTCCAGCTCTCTGATTTTTTTTCTCCGTGGCAATTTCTTCCGTCAAGAAGCTCACCAGCTCGTCGTCACCTGGAAATATAGAATATCGACAATTACATCATTTGATAATTAGTAGATTAACCCTCCAAATTTAGTCCTTCGTAGTCATTTCATTTCTAAAAAAACTTGTCCAACCTTTCGCCTTGGTGTCATGCACACTTTTGACCGTTCCGAGCGGTCGGAGGAGGCCGGCTGGGCGGAGGAGACCCTTCGAACCACCCACGAGCGCATTTGTGTGGAGAAAGCGTGGCGTTTGTACAACTTTCACCATTGCTTGTTCCGCACTCGAAGCAAGTTTGGAAATTACTGATCGCAAAAACATTTTGTATTTAATCTTTTCTTCTCTTGTACTAACAAATTCTACTCGACGATTGTATCCTTTCAGATAACTTGGCTTTTAATACTTGAGAGAGAAAAGTTATAATTTCTGATGAATTGAGTAGAAATTTGCAAATTTTTTGCTACAAACACGTGCCAAAAACCGGTGTGAAGAGTGAAGTGAGAAAATGCGACTAGAGAATGGAAGTCTGCCGGGATTGCATCATCACACCACTCCTCCGGGGCAACGAGCCCAGAACTTACTTGCGACATTTTTAGTCTCAACTGATCCTGAGTTGAGTCAACTCAATAAAAATGTGAGACTCGGAAAATTGAGAATTGGAAATCTAGGTATTTTTTTGCCAAACCGAGTACGACCAACAAGTTCTGAAAATGATTTAAAAACTGATTTAACAAATTTTGCTTATGCCTTTCTTTAGACAAATTAGCGTGATATGACGCAGGAAAAAGTGAAATAAGGAATGACTTGGTGTAAAAGTCGACGAATAAAATGGTCATTAAACAATGGGTGATTCATTATGCTTACTGCCGAACAATAACTACGCAGGAATTTATAATTGTGTGTATGCACGAAAATGCGATTATCTACATTTTTCACCATATACTCTAGAAATTAGAAACCATAAGACAGCGCATATTTGTTGAAACAATACTGTAAACAAATTATTCTGATTTTATACTTCGTAGCTTCATGATTCCCATGATTAACTTAATTTATTTTTGCACAACGTATATACGTGAGTGAATGAAGTGTATTCTGCATGGATTCTGATTGGAATAAATAATGTGAGACTGAGGATAAAAAGAAAGATGAAACAAATGAGATTTACTTAGCAAGTTAAACTACTTGACCTTGGTAACCCTCCTCCAAAATAACAATACTACAATAGGTTTGACAATCCCTATTTTTAATTTCTTTGAGATGAAATGAATCTCTCTGATTACAAGCGCACAACTACACGTACTAAATAAAATGACTAATTTTTATGAAATAATTTATATGAGAGATATGTATGTTAATTATAAATGAAGTTAAGTTTTCCTACTTTATTTTCCAGTCTTAATAATTATATCTACATTCTTGTTATATCTGCATTCTTTCACTAATCATAACAAGCTAATTTGATTACTATTTTTAATTTAACGACATGATTTTACATAATTTACGTGCTTCTGGTCCTTATCCATCCTTATTGTTGAAAATAGTTTGCGGTTTGTCAATTTTTCCAAACATAGTTCGGAATTTCGTCGCATTTTCACCATCTAAAAATAGGAAACAAAGGCGACGAAACGGCAGAAAATGACGGAGAAAGGAGCATAGAGCGAGTACCACGGTTTCACGGCGGCTGTGACACTGCTCAAACTGGACGGAGAGAGATAAGGTCACAGCAGCCAAGAGGGTGACAATAATCATCACAATCGTCGAATATCAGGTCAAAGGTCATAGTTAGTCTGGATCAGGACGTGTATAAGACAGGCACGAGAAGGATCCCATCATCAGTCGGCTGAAGGCTTCAGCCAGTCGACGACCAACGACAACACGATACGACGGGCTTCCACACTTTTTGTGACATTTCTCATCCGTCCAACGTTACCAGTTGGTTCTCCAAATTTCCAGTGAATATAAACAAAGAAGGTAAGCATGTACCAAAGTATGTTTTCAGAACAAAAACAACATTACTCAGCATCATCTGTCGCCAAATGGCATAGAGCTATTTATATGTTTTGTTTGTTATTGATTCTTGATTGTCATCATTCTTTATCACTCCTGTTCCGAATTGATGTGGCAGGCAAAAGCCAGACATTAGGCTCTCGGCAATTTTGGGTTTAGTTTCAATACCAATTTTAAGCAGGATAGTGATAGTGATAGAAAAACATTAAAGATACTGTAAAAAGTGGGTGCGATAATAAAGTGTCTTATCATCTGTATATAAATTGGTACGTGATAAATATGTCTTTAGTCACGCATCCTGTCACCATTTTGCAAGAACAGCATTTTGATGTTATTTTTCTAATGAATAGTAATTACAACAAACCGAATCGATGAGATCAACTTTCGAGAGTAGTGTTTTAATGTGGCATTTAACTCTCGTTTTTTAACAAGATGAAGGTGACAGTCTGACTTTAATTTTTCGTGGCAACAATTTAATTCTACGAGAAGTGGTCATCTTATCTTTTGTGGATTATATTATTGCCCTCATCAGCTATGCAATATGATGATTATATACATTTCAAACGTGTTTGTACCATTGAACTCTATCATCCATCCATCCACCACCCATAATCCTGCATTTAATACTTTAACAACATAATGTACGAAATAACACGGCACGAGGAGATACATGAAATAAGTATGAAAGAGACGCCTTCGTGTCATAAACTGATTCGTGTTATTTGCATTTTATTTTATTTATACTGAGTCGAAACCTCTCATGCCCAGCCACGACGACGACTCCTATTTTACCATATCACCATCACACATATCTCCACGAAAGGTTTATCAGTTAGTTAGTATAATCTTTAAGTGGGAACCAATAAGTCAAGTCATATGTAAGTTGTTGATGCATACTATGCAAATTAACATTGTGTACTTATTGTGGGAGATGTAATATGCAAAACATGGAGTACAGTGCATATCAAACTGTACATGTTAAATGTAAACTTGGTGGATATCTAAAATAGAGAGTTCATTTCTAATCTAATATCTAAATGATGATTGTAAGGGCTTGACTTAAGCCAGAAAGTTGATCTTCTCATTAGTGGGCATAACCTCTCTTGAACATATTGGAAGTGTAACACGTATTATGGGGTGGGTTTTCTGTGGGTAAATTATTTTTGTGGTGATTTTGAAGGAAAAAATCTGTTGGATTGTTGCTAATTGAAGTGATTTTTTCTATGTTGCAGGTTTTCAAAATTAACATACTAAATTCTTGTGGTAATCAACATGGAGTTATCTCAGGAAGATATCCAGTCCTCTGTTAAAGACTTTGAGGATCTCACAGAGGAATTCAAAACTTTTTCGGTATACAGCCATATTTTAAAATCTTTTTTAAAATGTGAAGCATAAATATATTTGGTATTAATTTATATTTTTTAAGGCCTCCCATAAAGAATATATGCAAAAATTGGATGAACTCAACGCAATCCAATCAAAATGTTTGAAAGAATTGACCCATCAACGTTATCGACTTGGCATCATCAAATCTTCCCTGAAAAAGTTTGTCATATGCAATTTTAGAGTATTTACTAGGTTGTAATAACAATTCACGATTGTTGCAGATTTTCAAAAAAACCAGAATCTAAAGAAATATCAGAAGAAATAGAAAAAGGGATAAGTCGTCGTAAGATTCAGTTGTACGAGATGGAAGAAGCACTTCCAAAGAAGAATGGGTTATACCTTCGCATAATACTGGGAAACGTCAATGTATCAATTTTGAATAAGGAAGACAAGTACGTACAATTTGTCCTCCACATCTTATCTGTTGTATAAAATTTAAATAATATTTTTGTAAATATATATGTTATGCTTTGCTTTCTTTAGATTCAAGTACAAGGACGAGTATGAAAAGTTCAAATTTATTGTGAATGGAATCGGCCTACTAATGTCACTGAGTAATATTTTCATCAATTCTCGGTAAGCAACTTACCTATCCATTACTCTGGTTGACATGTTATCCTTATGTTGAAGTTGGCAAAATTATATTTTATTTTGGCCGTTGCAGGGTGTTGGATTTAATTTTCATGTTCATGTTAGTCTGGTACTATTGCACACTTACCATTAGGGAAAGTATTTTGAAAGTGAACGGCTCTCGGATTAAGGGTTGGTGGAGAGCTCACCACTTCATCTCTACCGTTCTCGCTGGCGTCCTCTTGATTTGGCCCAACAACTCGGTGTACTACCTTTTCCGACCCCAGTTCATGTGGTTCAACGTGTACATCAGTGAGTCCAGATTTCCCATTAATCACGGTACAAAGTTCTAATCTGTTTGGTACAATCCTAGGCTTGGTACAATTTCTGCAGTTTCGCTATCAAAGAGGGTGCCTTTACCGGCTTCGTGCTCTGGGCGAAAGGCATAACATGGACATTACCATTGATGGATTTCACTCATGGATGTGGAGAGGTCTTAGCTTTTTGTTACCGTTTCTGGTTGGGGGATATGTCTGGCAACTATACAATGCCTATTTGCTCTACGAATTGAGCTATAATCCTGAAGCTACTTGGCAGGTATTAAAAATACGCAGAAATTATAAAACTTCAGCGAAGCATAATTTATGTCTGTAGTAAAACACTAATAATTTCTCTTATCTTGATTTACCTCCTCCTCGACAATAAAAGGTTCCAGTCTTGGGTGGACTATTCTTGACCGTATTTTTGGGAAATGTGATCACCACCTTGATGATCATTCCTCAAAAATTAAAAGAAAAGGTGAAATTAAAGCAACGATTTTCTCAAACAGTGTCTTATCTTCGGCGTCAGAATCGCGAAGACTCCCCTCCTCGGCCATCGGAAGAATCAAGCAAAAGCAAGAACCAGTAATAAATACTACTATAAAGCAACGTATACTTTCTCTACTGTGCATGCATTACCAAATCTACCAGTGATGAAACTCTTACAATTCCGTAACAATTAATCTACCACATTTGCAAAGGATTCAGTGTGATAATCATTATAAAAAGTAATAAATTAAACTAAATACGTACGGTATATCATGATTGACCTTTATTGTATCTCTGCGATGGTAATTCGGATACAAATAAATAATTACCATTGTGAAAATTACGTTTTTTGATAAGTAACCTATGTTCATCATCATCATCATATTTTTACAAAGTAACAACAACTCTCTCCAAATACATTTATCAAGCTAAACTATAATACAGGTAAATTACACTTAATTAAACAACGTTATACTCGCACAAATTCAACACATATCTGCTGGATTAATACAGTAAACTACCTTTTACTCATGCTACCTAAATACGTTTTTATCGTCATCCAGAACCCGGATTAGTAAGAATAATTTTAATTACTGGTGGGAAGAAGGAACTCATTCTCCTCATACTTTTTTATGACACGCGACGACGTCAAAACTAAATCAATTTCAATTCAAAAAAGCGAATCAACAAAACCTAAGTAAGAATAACTTCAAAAAGACAGATATTTTCATCATACTTGACTTAAAAAACCCTCGTCCACTCTCCCCACCCAATAATTCCCCAATTAATAATACCCCACCCCCCGTCCCCCCAAACACCATCTCATTATTATGCACGCTTACTTTTTTCTCGCTTCGTCAGATCTATATAAATAGGTTTATTATTCTCATCATCATTATTATTTTGGTAACAATATTTCATAACAGCTAGAAAAAATAATGCAAATAAATAAATGCATCATGTGAAACGAAATGCACTCTTCTCCTGGTCACATATCTGTCTGTACACCAGTAAATATAGCAGTAAAATATCAACAAAATGAAAAAGTATTCCATGAATGACAAGAAAAAATACAATAGGATAATACTCCGCACAAAAAAGTATACAAATGTAGTGCTTTTATACACCTCATCTCATCTCCTTACATATTCTTCTTCAGCATGTAGTAAAAATAAATAAAAATCACAGGCAAGTTTATTTGATTTCAAAATTTTGAAATTCAAATGCCGTTTAGAAATTCTTGTAGTGAAAAATCCTATTTTTTATGTATGTATCATTGGTAGAGTAGTACATATGTAGTAGAAAGATATATATCGTCGTCGTGGGTCGTGTTTTTTTATGCGATATGATAAGTACCATTTCCACCACCAAAACCACCACCCCTCTCGACACCCCCACCCACACCTGCAAAAAGTAGGGACAAGTGGGTGTGTCCGAGCAGCAGCGGTGGGTGTGTCGTGTGTCGTATTGTATGTGCAGTAGCCTTTTTTATGGTAATAGCTTGCGTTTTCATTTAAAAAGAAAGGATTATTCAGAAGGAAAAATCACCATCGTCAATTTCATGCATACAAATTGTTGTCCATATGGTCATGGGTTTTTCTTTTTTCGCAACAAGTGTGCGTTTCTTGTAATGTACATAGTAATTTTTATGTAAGTGAAAACAATTCATGCTCACTTCGTTCGATTGGATATCATATTATTTTTCCTAAACCAAACCGATATCAGCCTTTTTATGGCGTATGTTTTTTTACACTTTTTTAAAAAATAATTATTAGCCCATTATTATGATGATGATGACGACGACGACGTATTTTTAGCAGCCATTTCAGTCCAATAACAACATGCATCCAATCAATAATACTGAATTGAGATTGAGATTCTGCTAATAAATGCTCATTCTCTTTACACCTCTGGTTCTCGCATACTCGCATTATTTCATTTATGTACACAAAAATCACAAAACTTTCACAGTAACCATTCCTAACTTATTAGTACTCTTATTAGCCTTATGTCATTATGTATGTATGTATAATATGTATGTAGCTATCTGTATGCAATTCTTATATATCGTACTTTAGTTTTTGGTTTTTTATACCATTATTTCCTGAATCAACGAAAAGTAAAACAGTCTATTTCACCTCACTCACAGTGATAGGGCCTCGAGTTAAAGAGAGCTGAAATTTATTGGGATGTGATGTATTTTGTTGTTCTTGTTGTTCTTTGTTGTATTTAGACGAGGGCAGGACCGTTACAAATGTACTTTATAATCCCTATCGTCTCGATATATGTGTAAATATCCAGGTAAATTTTTATGACGTGGCAGCTACAAAAAATTCCCCTCACTTACTTATTTAAAACAGTTTTGTTCGATGTATTTGATCTTCGAACAACAACAAATTGCTCAGAATGAAAGTATCCTCGGTCATGTCATGAATATATCATCATCATGACTTTGTTGTATTCTTGATCACGGTAAATTCTTGGATTATTACTATTATCATTATTATTATTATGATTATTACTACTTTTCATATAAACTGCACTATATATTAATTATTGCCCATTATTCATGTCCAGGTCAAGATTTGCATTATTACTGTCGCAAAGGAATTGTATTGGATGACAAATGATGGATAGATTTGTTTTCTACGAGTATACAACAACAACAACATACATACACACGCGCAATAGATAAAGAAGAAAAGGGTTACAAAATCCTGGCACAATGGGAATTTAATTAAAAACTTTTTGCATATTTCTTTCCTGTCGGTAAAAGTCTTCTCAGATTTAAGAGACACATGGTTAATTATATAACCTGATTTAATTGTCTAATTCGCTGGTTAATGTGCGTGCGTGTATCATCATTGGAGGAGTCATTTTGAGAAAAATGCTTGTCCAATTCGAACCAATCCGTCTAAGATATGATCTAAGATATTGTCTATTTCTATACTTTGGGATATTTTTACCTCGTTGTATGTATTTATTTACGTACCTAATTGAAGATCAAGATCTATATATTTTTATGTGGTTTGTTATGATATTTATGGATTTTCTCAGGGAAAGTTTCAATTAAATCCGTCCTATGTATTGGGAATTTTGTAACCATTATTTCTAAACTACTACGACTGCATCAGGATTGTCAAATTGTGTTTGTGTTTGATAAACCGCATCTCCTTTTCTTTACTTCACACGTACATGACAGACACAGAGAAGACTGACGAACGAATTAACTCCCTTAATTCAATTTCTTTCTTTCGATGATAGGTTTTCCTCTTAATAAAGTAAAAATTATCTAGTAAAACAAACAATGACTTATGTATTTGGAATGGAATGTAAAACATGGATTGATAAAAAATAACCCATCATAATTTCTTTGCCGTTAGTTAAATGTAAATTCCTGAAAATGTCAGTAAAATAGACATCCGGACTCTTACTTAAATACGAAATATTATTATTTTTTGAATGATTTAACACTCTTATGTATTTTTGAATGATATTTGCAATATTTCCAATTTACTTGATATAGTTGAGTTGAGAGAGAGATTCACCAAAATATATACGCGACGATGACTCGATAATATTTTAACTTTTTATCCACCTCTTCTTCACGTATATGGATTTACAATTACAACTTATTGTCTCGTGATGAATTGCTGTGGTCATTATTATTTATATATAATTTATGAGAAATAGTTTATATATATCAGTTTTAAATGTCCTTTGACCTATCATACGTACTACCTTCCGCCACCCAGTGTGTATTTTGTATGTGTGTATTGTATTTATAATCTTGACAAATTCGCCAGCTATACGTATCTATATCCAAATTATGTTTAGAGTCTTAATTTGCCACCAATTCATACCATCCAATCGTCAATCCACTTTTGTTTGTATGTAAAGAAATGTATTACAGACAGAGAGTACAAGAGATTGGTTCCAGTAGAGGCAGAAAAATCATCATCTAATCAGGAGAAGGGCTACATGTACGGAAAACGTCACCAATTAATTGTGTTTTTGTGTGTATTTTGTGTATTTGTTCGAATAATGCCTGTATCTTTTTTCGTACACATATATCTTTGTGCAGTGTGTTCAATTGTATTGCTTGCTTATCCCTTCAGCACAAACCAACCAACCTCTTCTTAACATCACGATAAGGCATCGATGATTCAAGGCATATTGAATTATTTGTCGTCTAGGTTCGCGTCATTCCATTTTTTTCAAAATATTTACTGATACAACACGTCATAGTCGTGACATAATATGTATGATTTGGATTTTTTAGCGTAGAAAGTTCGAGAGAAACAGGAAATGTCTAATATTGTCTGTGTATACTACTGTGCAGTTCAATCAAAAAAGTTGGGTGTGTAGAAAAAATTTTGGAAAAAATATATAACTGGATAGTTATGAATATTGAACTGGACATACACACACAGGGCGTGATAGAGTTTTCAGAACTTTGTAGAAATTGACGTGATAAAATAAATGGTTCGAGTTGTTTCTTTCAGAAAGAGAGAGAAGGACAAACACAATACCAGGAATTTTTGTCATCTATGAATTTAAAATGCTGGAATATTACTTTCTTCCTTTGGTCGTATTGTACATAGTCTGCCAACCAATTGGTTTTTTCTTGCATTTTTTGATAAGATATGGAGATGTTTTATTTCGTTTTTAGCTTTTGCAATTTCAAGTACGCAATACTAAAATAAGCACGGCAATTAAACTCGGTCCCACCCACAATTATGTAGAAGGAACACAATAATATCCCAAAAATCGAACAATTGTGAGGAAGACTCGCACTGAATAGCTTTAAGATAATTATTGGTTGGTTGGTCAATAATGCCCTGACTTTTGATTATCATTTGTGCCCTTAACTCTACCACCACACACAATATGTCAACTTTCTCCAATAGTCGTCGTATAGTATGCAACATGAAATCCTATCATCATGCATGAAGGGAGGAGGAAATAGATAGACAAATCTTCCAATAATTCTTTGGAAAGTTTTCTTTCAACAAAACTGAAAGCAGCCGAGCTTTCTGAAAAAAGTAAAATTAATACTAAAAATTTATTCTGCCCATAAGTCTCCCAGAAAAGTCATTACTTTCGAAATTGGAATGCAGTTCAACAATCTACAACAATCAACAAATTAGTCAATGGCATAGACTAGATTTGATTTCGACGGCGTCTGAAACGATACCTGGTAAATAATATAATAAACAGTGCGTTAAATGTATTTGCTTTTTTTGTGTGGTATGTTTTGCACCCGGAGAAAGTAGTGTGTTCATTATTTTTGTGACAAACAGTCCGTACCACGCCACACGTAGATATTTAGTTATCTATAAATAATATATATCAGCCATCTTTTACTTAATACATGGTTTTTTTGCGAGGTGACGACGACGACGACGCCTGGTAGGTAGGTGTAGGGATAGGTATTTTTTTGGTAGTGCAACAACTGGAAGCGAACGATCGCCTGAGAACATGGAGAGTTTACTTTCTTTTCATTTTATACTGTAAACGGTAACTATACTTTCCGATTTTAATTCACTGGGGAATAATGCAATCATGCACAGTCTTCCTGTTTCTAAAATAATACTAGTGATAATTTGAGATTATCTAATTTTTTGTTGTTGTGTGGTTTGAAGGGTTAAATTTAGCTGTAAGTCTGCCCTGAATGCAGATGGTTTAAATGCGCTACCCATTTAATAGTAGTAGTAGCTAAATTAATAACACGCTAATTAAAGCATAAATATTATATATATGCTTATGTATATTATGCTTGCAAGTTCCCTCTCTCAGTCACTGGTATTTCTAAATATGTATGTTTGCGGAAAATACTGAGACTCGATTTAGTTAGATATTAAGATACCATTGTTCTTGTTTTTGTTATTATTGTTATTATAATTATTATTTCAAGGTTCTCGTCAAATTGTATAGTCAATACGTAAATGATATCAAATATTTTTGAACCTTGAATTCTCTCTACCCTTGAATTACTCACAGTCAACGCTGATAAAAGATACCTCAATTTTCAAACCTCCTCGACTCATGTAACCCCGACATTACTTAATACTAAAGTCCAACTTAAGTTGTCGTTAAATTAAATTAAAGTAGTTAAATCTATGGTATAGTGTAGCATTACGGAGACGATGACGATTTCTAAACGTACGCATTGTATACCCCTGACCAATCCAAGTTCTGAAGACCTGAGACGTCCACAGATGTTGGAAGTGCATAAGCCCCATATGCTGGAGCCGATGAAAGACTGGGTAACGCGTTACTACTTGTGGTATTCTACAACAAAAAAGAAGGACAATTTATGATAAGTTGTAGTCCTGTTTCCATTATGTATGACGATGTGCCCAGCAGCAGACTACCCGCTAGTTAGTGTATGTATTTACATCTAGAGTACTGCAGACTTACCAAATTTGGTAGAGGATAAGGCGAATATCTGTAGTTGCCAAGGGATGGGTAATTGAGACCACCGCCAAGAATTTTAGAATAATTGGCCGCTGCAGCTGCCACTGTAATTTGAACCAAGGAAGTTGCGATTTACTATTATTATTGCAATATAATCAACTTGGTCAGTCATCCGGACAAAAAAACGTGAAAAGTTCTTCTTACGTGAAAACGTCGGCGAACCTTGTGCAGCCAGAGATGAAGCAGAAAGTGGAAGAACCATACGCTTAGCAAGGAGATTCAAACTCGCAACGGTTTCCTTAGGTTGAGCCTTCTTACATTCCACCTGGACCAGTCAGTCGAAAAATTTGACATCTTTTAGTATAGAATCTAACTCCAACTTCCGTGAAATTATTCCCATAGGATTTCAAAAGACGTGCATACCTTTTTCCCCTTGATTGTATGAAAATGTATCTCACAAATGCGATCCACTACATCCTCAGATTCAAAAGTGACAAAACCGAAGCCTCGATGTCGCTTGGTTTGTTGATCCATGAGCATGACTGCTTCTTCCACCTGAATGAAGGAGAACATGTGCATTTTATTTTATTTTTCATATACGTACGAATGTATGCACATGTCAACCCACCCACCAATCTTAATCACATGCAAATATATAAACGGGCAAATAACGAGACCAAGTGTTATACGGTATGCGACATCACGAACGACTTACTTTCCCAAACTGGAAGAAATATGCTTTCACTTCCTCCACCGAGGTCTCTTGGCTCACCCCACCCACGAATACCTTCTTGGTTTTGTTTGACCTGGAGGACAAATCAGAACAAAATAGATTTCGTTCAAGTCAGTTGAAATAGACAGGAAGATAGATTTTTTGTCTCTTTAGAAAAGAATAAACCAAATTTGTTTTTACCCAGATTTGGATCGAGGTGTCGCCCTGAAAATAGAAAAATTTCAGAATATTATTTACGGGTTCTTTTCGACTTTCTCTTCTGAATTTTTCTCGCCCACCAGGAACAATGCATTTATTTCAAGTGTATGTATATTATTCTAATCAGGTAAGTCTTAAAATAGAGACAAACTCAATCTCAGACGATTGAGGGGTATGACATTTCTCTTCAAGTTGAAGGTTCACATACGTATAATCTTTATGTAAATAAAAACAAAGCCGCACAGGAGAAAGTTTAGTTTAAGTGGGATTGAGGGCTATGTATAGTCATTGTTTTGATTTCCTAAATCTATTTCCAGATCACTCTAAATTTGTTGCTTTACTATTGACAATTGTGTACACATTGTAACACATTGTATAAATAATTATGTTTTGCATACCGTTTCGGGTCGATTCTTTTACCATCCAGCATGTGAATAGGAACTGCCAATACTCTCGGAACTGTGGTTGAGTCGGTAAATGTGATAAATCCAAACCCCCGACTTCTCTGTGAATTCATAAAAATCACGCAATTAATAACATTCATACATCAACTAAAACACTTAATAAACGCGTGCAGCTTATGTCCTGTTATTTTTAAGTGAAAATGTAAATTTTAGCTTTACGGAAAAGTGCAAATCTAACAACGCCAGTCTTACTATATTCTCGTCATTTTTCAATATCATTCCTAAATTGACGTGCAGTTTAGTATCTCCGCTTTTTCCACGTGTATGTAAAATTCTTTGTCAAGTTTGGAACACATATTAAAGTTACTGCATTTTTCATCTTTTGAGCAATTTTCTTCCATTTTTGAGCTCGAAACTTGTACTAAAAACGAAACCACGTGGGTGGGGCGACCCTACCTGAGTGATGGGATCCTTCATGACTAGGACATCGGTGACGGGTCCAAATTGAGAGAAGTAGTCTCTTAACTTCTCCGGCGTCGTCTGCCAACTCAGCCCCCCAACGAAGAGTTTGTTCTCATAGCCGGAGGATGAGCTCCCGTTCGTCACGCCCCCATTCCCTCCCGAGGGCGACGACCGCGCCGAGTTTGTCTCCTCGCCCGATGGGTTGTGAATCATGGGCGTCGTCACAATGGTCCCGTTCTCTAAGGACAAACCGTTCAACAGCCCTCCGTCCATCTTCAGAATGTTGTTTGGATCTGTAAAGAGTAAGAAACATAGTTAGCACTAGTCCCTTTGACTCGTTTTCGTACAGGGAGGGTAGGAGGAGAGGATCAGATAACGTACTCAGGGTTGCCAACCAAGAGCAATATCATTCTCACTATCCCCCAGATTCAGAAAACTAGGATTCAACTCCTCATTTGTAGTGCTTTTTTAGTTATTTTAATGTTTGCTTTTTTATCTAGTTCATTTTGACTACATTTAAACAATGACATATGTAGTTGAACCAGAACATGTTCTAAAAGTTAAGTTATGTAGTTTTTAAAATGTCGAAAGTCCCGTTTAGTACGAGTCTCACAGTCGTAATTTGTCTTGCCTAAGGAGTCTCAGATCGAACTGGTTAGTAATTTGTCAGGTGTATACAGTACGTATTGTATGTAGCTTGTAGCAAGTGGATAAATTGTGCCACATCTTGACCAACATTTTCGAAAAATACTTTGCAATAATCGCAACAGTAATCAATAAATTTATGATGGGAATATTATTAGTTCACTCAAAACCCCATTGCCATAATGCCCTGCGAGCCATGGTTGGTAGTAGAAATAGAGTGATCCTACTAAAAAGTACTTATGCAGAGTGAGTGGACATGGCTGAAAACAATGCATTTTGGCTTTCACCAGCATAAAAAGTGAGGTTGTGTCGTGGGCGAGTGGTGCGTGAATAAGTGGTCTCTCTCGTCCTACTCGTAAGTAATAAAACTACTCGACTTTTTTCCCATTTGGCCCACCAAGATTACATTTACTCACCTGCCTGCCATTCCCATGTCATTACCGTCGCTCCGGAATTTGTGATTAAACTGCAATGATAATTGTATGGTGGTGGAGAAAGCGGAGAGGAAAGTACAGAAATTTCGTCATGTTCCTCCCTTCATTCGATCCATTATTCCTCTCTCTCTCAGTCAATACTTACACACGGCCTGTTTTGTCGGTAGTCTTGCTTGGCATTACGTAAACCTCTCGGTTCTTTTCCTGTCGAGACATTGCTTTCATTCTTCTAACAACATGGCTTAATAGCCTAATAGCAATGCGGTTGGGAGCAATTTATTGCATATTCGAGTCATAAAGTTGAACCAAAGTATGGAATTCTTTGCGAAATCTTGCAACTTTCTCTCCACTCGAAGAGGAAGAAGAGGATTAGGGCCAGAAGAGAGATGTGGTATTATTATCTAATAAAATTCCACTTAATCTCCCACCATCATCATCCCCTTTTCTTCTTTGGTGGGACGACAAGCATCAGGAGGACACATCTGCAGCTCGGCTTGGCTCAGGTTACGTTGTTTAAATTATGTTCCTTCCTCAGTGTGTCCCATTTCGCATAGTTGGAATACCACATGAGACAAGACAAGGAGATGGATGCCAAGTTATGCATACACAAGACAAACCAGAAGACCGAGGACCAGGTACATGCGTCCGTACAATAAGTTTCGCAGTACAAAACACAATAGAGTCCTCCGCGTCCCGAGAGAGGAGATGAGGACAAGTATTTTGGTTGTGGTATTCAACTAAGGAGGACAACTTGGGACTGAAAGACTTACAGATTGTGATGTTCTTTGGATGTGTTGTAGACTGGGTGAGTGTGCGAATAGCGAAGGAGGGTTTTACTCCATGGCTCCGTTTGCGTCATCCACACCCCCTCAAAGTGGCAAAAAAACACGAAAAAGACCCTGTTGTGGCTCATTAAAACCTTTGTCAAAAGCCCAATTTTGATCGGAGTTTTATAATTCTAGCATTTTCTTGATAGTTGTTTTCCCATATCAAACTAGACTTTTTCGAAATTTTGTTTTTTTCGAATATATGGTCAGAATATTTTCTAAAATATTGATTTAAAGATTTAAAGAACCGAGATTGAAGTCGGGTACGATAAAACTAGTATATAGGATAACAAAATTTCAAAAATTATGAAAATTCGATAAAAATTACAATTTTTTGGTGAATTTTTTAATAGGAACAGTTTAGCATGGGGTTCCTCTTTGAGGGGGTTTTTCGCGGACGCAAATGAGGCCATGGGATAAAACCTTCACTTTTCGTACACTCACCTCGTACTTCAACACATCCAAAGGGCGTCAAAATCTGTGAGTGCGTCAGTGACAAGCTCTCCTCCAAAGTACACAATCACTACACTCCACTCCACAAACTATTATTATTACAAGAAAGACGATGAAGAGGAGAAAGAGAGAGTAATAAGGATCAAAGTTGAAAACTACATAGACCAACATGCTACTTACGTATTTACAACAACTTCCAAAGTGCATACACCACGCATGCATTAAGAAGAGGAGAGAACATCACATAATAATAATGTCCTGTTTTGTTTAGCAAGTGATTATTCCGTCAAGAAGGAAGGAAGTCTCATTTCGTTTGGCATTTCGCTATTTTTTTTATTTCCGTCTCCATATCCATCCCACTTATGCCTGATTGTTGTTGTTCCTGCCCAACCAAACGAGTAGGAGACGAATAAGAAGAATCCGCTCGGAAATAAATAATTTGTTGGCATCATGTCACATATGAGACATGATGTTTTTACTTTAAATGTTTTCTCCCTTTCGAGAAGAAGAATTGAAAATTTAATTGGAATCAGGAGATGGATGTACAAATGTTGAATGCCAGGCTTGTTTAGATCGCCTCTCTTTCATCTTGTTTTACTCTGAGGAAAAGAAAAAACTTAAAAAAGTTGAATTTTCGCTACTGCTACTGCTGCCTGGGTGGAGGGGATATCGTTTATGATCTCCCCTAATTTCTGGGACGATTCATCTTATTTTATTATTTAAATGTGAAAGTCTCTCCGAGATCCATCATTCATGTTCCGGCCGTCGTTTCTGGGAGGAGGAGGAGAAGAAGACCAGCAGTGATGCAATACATTATGCGATGGGATGATGTTGTTTGTCTCAAGCTAGATCATAATAATTTCTCGTCTACTGACTGATACGACGACCACGAGCACGACTGCTGCCGCTACTACGACCACTGGTACGAACGACGAACAACTGACGACTTGTCGGGTGGTGAACGAAATGAAGATAAACTCGGTTTAATTCATGAGATCAATTTGTATCTGACTGGGACCAAATCCCTTCCTTGCCAAACTCCAGTCACTCAATTGTCAATGATGGATGTTGGCGTGGAGGAGGAAGATGAGAAATGGGACAAATGTCGGAGCCATGAGTTGACATGAATTTCTCCTTCCTCTCCTCCTTCTGAAATACATATTTACTGCTCAATACTACTCGGAGGAGCAGTTTTCAAGTACTTTGGACGTGGTGGACATAGTGGTGGACTGGACAGTAAAAGCAAAATGTGTACACAATTGCCACCTTTTTACCACGCTTGAGCAAAATGGGAGGAGAAAATGCATGTTAAATAGGAAAGTGGTCCGGTTTTTGCAATGATGTGGAAATAACCGACTTAAAGTGGTGGTGGAGGTAGTGGAGGTGGGGGGTGGTTGTGGATGGGGGGTGGGATTGGATAGCTGCCTGCCTGTCATGGAAAGTGAAAGAGAGTGACACATTCAATCTACAAGCTGGATATACTGACTGGCTCGGCAGGATATTTAGTAAGTGAAGGTGGTAAATGCACACGAGTCGTGGTGGCGTTGGTGAGAGTATGAGCATGGTAAGTGATAATATTAAGAGAGAAAGCCGGCTGAAATCAGGGAAAGAAACGTGCCCAAGATGCAAATTGTGCTTTAAAGAGTAGCACTAGAGTCGCATGCATGATGCCCGTTAGTAGCACGGCGTCCAAGCCGCTGCCAGGTTTCACAGGAAGGAAGGATGGAGAGAGAGAGAGCTCTTATATCTAATCTACTTCACAACCCTGATGTCATTATAATACTCACTCACACCGATGAGTAATACATGTAATGTTAGTCTAACCCTGTAGAATAATAGGTTCTGGTGAGGCTGGAAAAGTGTTCATGTTTCATACTTACTGAATCAATTATTGGCTCTCTTCTGCTGGAAAATAAATTGCAAACTTGCTTACGAGAGAGATGAGCTGCTGCTGCCTGGGCTCGAATTTGCTAAATGATTTACACACATTGCAAGCAACCCGAAGTACAGGACAATCCAATCTCAACCCCGTAACCAGCAACCTTTCTCTCTCTCCCACTCTCATCCATTTGGTCATCTCAATTCGAATAGTATTGGAATTCATGATTGTCTCGTCTCGCTCCCATCCAATTAAAATCACTCCACGGCCATACATTTACACTGAAATCAGATATTCCGTCGGCAGATAGTGGTTGTTGTTGGGGGAGAAATAGAAATGAATCATGCGTCAGATTTGGTGGGCTTCGAAATAGCATTCCTGTGGAGGAGTTAGACATAATTTCCCAAGTGATGATGGGATAGAGTAGAGAAGAAGGCACAATATTCAGTTGTGGCAATAATAGGTATGCACCCACAGTAGTGGAAAGAAGAGGGAAGAAGAGAGGGTGGCCAGTCAGTGGTGGTGGTGATGGCTCTACTACTGACTAAATACCTACCACCACCACTGCTGACTGACTGGGGTGAAAGTCTGCTGTCTGGCTGAGGGAAAGTTTTCGCTCGGGTTTTTCTCTCTCTCTCCCTAGTCTCTCGTACATAATGTTGGTTAGTTAGTTGGCGCAGAGAGAGAAGTGAGGACGGAAAAGGTAGTCGCCCTGACGCCGGCGCCCAAATCGCCCCCTCCGTCATGATCGATTGGCTAAGATTGGAGAGAAAGTCCACACCAGTTCTTCTCCCTCACTCACAATCCACCACCCACCGCTCCTACTCCTCAAAACCTGAGAAACCAACAACACCAGCCCCACCAAGTCCTCCTCCCACAGCTCGTGCTGACCCCACTTTCACCTCGGAAAAAGTGCCCCCTTCCGTCCTCAAGTCGTCGCAAGTACAACTTTTTGGTCACCTTCGGAGGGACATTGTACGGAAGTAAGAACTCCTGCTCTCTCTCTCTCACTTTCTTTATTCTTCCTGGTTCACCTCCCAACAAAAACCATTGAC